CTGGATTTTTTTAAAACCGGACTAATCGAAGAACCAAATAAAATATAAATAAACTGAAACAAAATTCTAGTTTTTATTTCGAATTTATTTTCATAGCGCTCAATTAAAATTCAGTTTGTTAATATTTTTCAAACCGGACTATATTTTATTTGGACTTCTCGAAACCACATTAAACGATGTATTGCTATAAATGAATGGATTCACGAAGTGTCTTTTTAAAATTTACTTTTATAAATAAGTGTCATAAAAAAAAGCATTACTACTATGTTATTAAATAACTTTTTACTGAAAGTTTATAAGATTTTTTATATTATTTTTGTATAAAATAATATTTTATATCGGACTATTCTGAATCCGAACTGATTGAAACCGTACTAAGCAAAGTATTGCGATATAAGTGCCATAAAAGAAGCGTTACTTGTAATTGTTTATGTTATTTTAAAAATTAAATAATGAATAATTATTTACTACCCTTGTCATAAATCAAGGATATATTTTGAATTGTTAAGTCTCAACAGATTATCAGTAATTGGGCGAAAATAATGTTCTGTTACAAATTAACGTTTTTCCCTTATCGTTGAAATATTTATTAGTTTCATGACCGAACTGGCTAATATCATAGCTTATATATAAATAATCGCCAACATCCTGTTTAAAACAGGACTAATCGAGGAATTTTATAAAATAGAAATAAATTACATAAAAAAAACTTGACTGGGACATAAAGCGATAATTTTTGTATAAAAATAATAATTGTCTTTACTATTTTTTTAGAATTTATTTACATTTTGTTAAATTAAAAATTTAGTTTGTTTAGAAAAAAATTATATCGGACTATTGTGAATCCCAACTGATAGAAACCGCACTAAGCAAAGTATTGCCTTATAAGTATCATAAAAGAAGCTTTACTACTTTGTTATTAAATAAGTTTTTCATGAAAGTTTATAAGATTTTGTATATTATTATAAAAATAATATATTGAACCATTATCATTAATCAAGGATATATTTCAAATTTTTAAGTCTTAACAGATTATCATTATTTGGACAAAAATAATGTTCTGTTAAAAATTAACGTTTTTCACTTATCATTGAAATATGTATTAGTCTTAGATATAAATAATTACCAACATCCCGGAGTGTTTGAAACCGGACTAATGGAGAAACTAAATAAAATAGAAATAAACTGCACAAAAAGAGACTAGACTTGGAAATAGACCGATAATAACAATTGTCTTTACTATTTTCTTTAGAATTTATTTATATTTTACTAAATTAAAATTTAGTTTGTTTAGAAAAGTTTTATATCGGACTATTATAAATCCGAACTGATTGAAACCCCACTAAGCGAAGTACTGCCGTTTAAGTGTAATAAAAGAAACGTTACTACTCTATTATTAAATAACTTTATAAGATTTTTTATATTATTTTTGTATAAAATAATATTTCATATCGGACTATTGTGAATCTAAACTGGTTAAACCCGCACTAAGCAAAGTATTGCCGTATAAGTGTCATAAAAGAATCGTTACTACTCTGTTATTAAATGACTTTTTAATCAAAGTTTATAAGATTATTTGATATTATTTTAAATAAAGAATATTGAATAATTATTTATTACCCTAGCAATAAATCAAGAATATATTTCTAATTGTTAAGTCTTAACAAATTATCAGTAATTGGACAGAAGTAACGTTCAGGTTACAAATTTTTAATAGTCTCATGTCCAAACTGATTAGATATAAATAATTGCCAACATCACGGACTGTTTGAAACCGGACTAATAGAGGACCTAAATAAAATAGAAATAAACAGCAGAAAAAGAGAATTGATTTGGGAAATAGACCGATAATTTTTGTATATTTTTTTTGAATTTATTTATTAAATATTTAGTTTGTTTAGAAAAAAATCTAATCGGACTATTGTGAATCCGAACTGATTGAAACCGCACTAAGCGAAGTATTGCGATGTAACTCTCATAAAAGAAGCGTTACTACTTTCTTATTAAATATTTTATTCATAAAAGTTTATAACATTTTTTTATGTTATTTTAAATATTGAATAATTATTTACTACCCTTGTCATAAATTAAGAATATATTTTGAATTATTAAGTCATAACAAATTATCATTATTTGTGCCAACATCCTGGACTGTTTAAAGCCGGACTAATCGAGGAACTAAATAAAATAGAAATAAATTGCACAAAAAGAGACTTGACTGGGAAATATATCGATAATTTTTGTATAAAAATAATAAGTGTTTTTACTATTTTTTTTTTATTTCATTTTTATTTTACTAAATTAAAATTTAGTTTGTTTAGAAAAAAAATCAAATCGGAGTATTGTGAATCCGCACTAAGCGAAGTATTACCTTATAAGTGTCATAACAGAAGCGTTACTACTTTGTTATTAAATATTTTTTTAATGAACGTTTATAAGATTTTTTTTATGTTATTTTAAAAATAAAATAATGCATAATTTACTACCCTTGTCATAAATCAAGGATATATTTTGAATTGTTAAGATAATCAGTAATTGGGCGAAAATAATGTTCTGTTACAAATTAACGTTTTTCCCATGCCATTGAAATATTTATTAGTCTCATGTCCGAACTGGTTAATACATACAATAATAAATATCACTGCTTAGATATAAATTCGTGATGATTAAAAATGCAACGTTTATTTTGTCCGTGTTCTTATATATTTTGTTGATTCCAAAATTGGACAAATATAGTCGGTGAATAATTGATGAGCGCTAGAGAGGTGATCGGGTATTGTTTAGTGTATTATATGGCACTAAATAACGTTGATTTACAAACACGTATAGTATAAGTGTGTTTTTTTTATAAATATTATTTTTAGTGGACGTGTTCTAGTTGTTGCTGTCCGTCCATGTGTTTTTCGGTTTGGAAAATTATAATGGTCGGGATACGAGTGTGTATCAGAAATGTATTAGATTATAATCGAGGGCTCATATAAATACGAAACCGAATTTATTATTCATGGGTATAAATGCATACGGCATAGACACTAAATGATGGCTACAATTGAACGACGATCTTTTCCTCGCACAAACGAATTTATCAAAAGGAAACCCTAACATTTCACTCTTTGATTATTCAAATAAGAATACCAAATATAATAATGATAATATAAAATAAAATGAAAAATGTATTGAAAAGTATTCCAGAAATTCAATTTTAAACAACTTTGACTCTTTGTCAATTATGTCCCAGTTTTTCTATTATGTCTTTCATACAGCGATTTTATTCAAAGACCTAAAATAATGGTTGCAATCTTTGTTTTTAATAAAACACATTGTATTATTTAAAATACAAATTAAGTTTTTGCTTATACTTATTATTGAGTTTATCTCTAATTAGTAAATTAGGCATGGACATTTTTAGTTTTCAGCACGTTTTTATGATAAAATTCTATATAAATAAAGACGAACTACATGCAAGTAACTAAATCACAATGAAAAGTATAATTTTATTACTGTGCGTCTTCAATTCTGCGTTAGCTGCTGATGTTTGTTTATGTACATCAGAGTACAATCCCGTTTGTGGTTCCAATGGAATAACATACTCTAACCGATGTGAATTTAAGTGTTATGCGAAGAAAAATACAAAAATGTTCATAGTTATAGAAGCGCAATGCGCTTCTTCTTGCACTTGTCCTTATATGTGGGCTCCAGTTTGTGGAAGCAATGGGATCACATATTCAAACCCATGCGAATTAACATGTTCTGCCAGAATTAATCAAGGTTTGATGATAGCGTCCAAGGGTCCGTGTCCGTGCATCTGTCCAAGAAAATTTAAACCAGTGTGCGGATCGAATGGTGTAACTTACAGTAATCGCTGTGTCCTCCAATGCGCTGCTAAACTTAAATACTTGAAATTTGTGAAGAACGGACTATGTTAAGAATTTGAATATATGTTAATAATATTACTAATTTTAATGTTCTGGCTATTGGCCTACTCGACAACAGTGAAACTACAAAAAGGCTGAAGCGTTGCAAACCACTAGATTTAGTATACAGATTTAAGTAATTATTAATGTTCAAATCATCATAACTATCCACCGGGAAAGATTATCCATTTAATGTCAACCGCAATCTTAAATTCACTCAATGTTCACATTGATGAACAGATTGTGATTGTGCGTGTTTTAAAGCTTTGGGTCAAAAATTCTCTTTTACGAACTCAAAAACTGTACTATTTAATTAAAATATTTATATAATTTATTTATGAATGTGCTTATTTTTCAATTAAATATAAGACTAAAAGTCTTCAAGAGAAAAACTTAAGAAATATGATATTCTAAAAAAAAAATGTATCTATATACTATAGATCAGCGTTTTCAACCTTTGGGTCGGAAAATAACAGATGTCACCTTGTGTCAAATCGAAGAACAGCTGATGAAATCTTATTTCTTTTTATTTAATTTTCTCTATATCTTTTACGAACTTAAAAACTAATTAGTACAGTTAACATTCACATAATTTATTTGTGAATGTGGTTATTTTTCAATTAAATATAATTAGGAATCATAAAAATTTCTTTGAATAAGACATGGATTACGGACTATTAATTTATTGGAAGTATGAAAATAAAAAAAAGTAATGATACGAATCTAATACCACGAATCGAATATATAAATTATCTTTCGAATATCGTCGGTATTTTTGTTGTTGTCCTGTCCTATCCCTGTCCGTCCTTTCTCCACATTAGGGCGTATGAAGTCATAAACCGTGGGAATTTATCGAGCAAATTCAGGTGTCTTTGTGACACGTAAGGCTATTGCGTTGCTTATTATAAAATAGTCACCGACCTCTGAACGATCAAACGATTTACCCACAAAGACCCTATTAGGGCCCATACACATACACACGGAGACGTATAGACATCAACACGAAACCGCCGATAAAAATTAATTATTTACGCGAAACACATTACGTTTCTGTAATAATACAAAAAAAAAATAATAATAGTTCAATTTCTTGTTTCGTTGTGTTTTTTTTATAAATAAAAATAAATCTTTATTATTGTTGAATCACAATGGGCTTAAATACAATGCATATCACTTATTGTTGAGGTATCGTAGGTGGCGAGAGCCGCCTCGGCCGGAGTTTTGTACTCGGTGTTCTGATTGGGCTGCTGCCTGTGCTGTAGGAATATCTTGTATAACATGAGATGCGTTATGCTGCAGATCAGAGCGAAGACGCAGAAGATCTGCAGAGCTCCCCTTCCGCCTATGTGCTTGTAGAACAGTCCACCCACCAAGCTTCCAATCGCGTATCCTGAAGACATGAAAATTAGTTATAACATTTGAAGTTAATAGAAACTCACCGAATCCATCGTCCATTCCGGCGGCGATTCCCTGCATCGTTGCAGAGGTACCCGGGGCTGCGATGGCATTTGCGTACGCCACAATCGTGGTGTACGTGAGGGCGTAAGTCGGCCCTTGCATGATGAATTCAATCGGAAGAATCCACCAGGGCGATGGGACGACCGATATCAGACCCAGTCGAAGGGCGTAATTGATGAAGCACATGCTGAACGAGTGTGCGTGCCCGAAACGCTCCAATATCTTTCCTAATTATAAATAAATTTGAGTAATTAACCACAACACATTACTAATTAGAAAATTTACCTGAAATCGAGAAGAATATGACCTCTCCTCCAAGAGTTTCAGCAGCCACAATCAAACCCTCCAGAAGCTTAACATCAGTCGTATCAGTGGCTATGGCCAAGTCTTCTAAATACCTTAAAAATAATATTGCAATTTATTATCATCTTAATCAGTAGGTTTCCATTTAATGATGTTTTATTTTTAATAATGAAATAAATTGTGAATATTTACCAAAATAAGTAATACACGAAGAAACTATCGACGATTCCGGCGAATACTGCGTAAGTTATAAAGATGATGCAGTGCCTGTTGTTGAGGAGTTTCCTCAAATCTTTGAAGATGTTCTCGGGGGTTTCCATGATGGGAAGCTTCAACTTCCAGCAGGAGAAGAAGTCGAAGGCAATGAAGACCAACATGATTATGAAAGCTGGTGTATAACTGGTGGAGTTTCCCGATGCCCAATTCACGCAGAAGCCGGATAGCAAAGCGGTGAAACCGAAACCAATGGTTCCCCAAACTCTTTGTTTACCATAGTCATATTCATCACCTGAAAATTGATAATTTATTTTAAAATAACATAGTTAATATATAGTTGTAAAGTTACCAATAACGTCAAAGCAAATGGCATCGCTTATAGAATTTGTTACATTGAAGCCAATAGTTCCCAAAGACATCAGAACGATGAAGACCCAGAACGTCCAGGACGTGTAAAGGCAAGAGTTGCTGTTCTCGATGTTCTCCGTGCATTTGAAGCTGCAATTCCTTCCGATTGGAAAAGACTGCGAGATATTCCCAGGGATGCAGCTCTGACTAGAATCGATGTACAGAAGTGGAAGTTCGTGAACTTGGCCGCTGATCTCGCAGCTGCAGATCATGTGAACCGTGGTATTGCAGTCGTTCCAAAATCCCTCCTGCAACGCACAAAACAAACTTAAATCAACTATGCAATGGACATGATCATTTACTAACTGAGTCATTACATATATCTAATTGATCGCTGGTTGCGTCGAAGTCGTACTTCATGAAGCTCCTGGAAGGAATGATGTTGAGGAGCGCGAAGGCTCCGGCCATAATCATGATGAGGCTGACGAATATAGATTTCCGATATTCTCTGTAGATGTCGACGATCAAGCCGAACAAAGGTTTGGCGAGTAGGAAGATTATGGGTAGAATAGCATTAACGGTACCCATCACCGTCGACGAAACACCCATTTCTTTACCGTAAACCGGAAGTTGTGGTAAAATAGGACCCATTGCTAAAGAAAAAATGAATTAAACATGCAAAATAAATCATAATTGAAAGGTCACTCACCTGCCATGAAGAAGAAGTAATGGGCCTTTATGGGCATGAGATCTCTATTGATTTTGATAGGCATTTTTCTTCCTTTTTTGTTATTGCTTAATGGAAAACGAAGCAGTCAAATTTTGTAAAATTATCTTAGTACAATCTACCTGCAAAAATATAAAAAAAAACACGTATTTAATACAACAAATCATAATAATTGACTTAATTAATTCTATAATTAATAGAATTTTATTTATTTTAATAACGAAAAATCAAGAAATACTTAAAAATTACGTAAATCTATTCTATTTCATTACAAATTATCAATTAATTTCAACATTACTTGTTTATTTTATTTCATAATTTAATGTTTTTTTTTTTAATTTAAAAAATACAAAATAAAATTGAATTTTAAACTTTTTAGAATGTAATTACGTTGCGTTTCATAATAGAATAACGTTCAAATTTTATGTTAATTGGCATTTAAATGTAATGAGTATGGAATTTTAACTATGAGCAAAGAATACGTTTAATTTAAAGTTTCGAAAGTTCTTTTAATTGAATCCAACGTCATTGCAATAGAATCGATGCTATAAGGATTATTAAATAATATATAACTCGGACCTACTTAATGATTTAGTTGTCAACATAATTGTGTTACGTAATCACTGTTTGAATATAGGCAACTTGAAATTGCGACGACTATATTCTCTATTGGCTACAAATAACAAAATGCAAAACAAAACAAAAACAAACAAACACGTATCTTAGGTACATAAACATTGCTCTTGTTGTAGGTTAAGTCCACTTGAACTACTCTCCTACTTGTAGGTTGGGTGGTATACTTATGTAGTTCTAATGAACTAATGTTTAAAATTTTGCTAAAACTATTAAATTTAGCAACTAAGATGTGCTTACAATAAAAATCAAATAATAATAAAATAATTATCTAATTTAAAAAAAATGTAAGTCAATTGAATATTAGATCAAGTCACAAATTAGCAAACAAACGCCAACTAATTAAAATGAGTGGTCTAATTAAGTTTCAATGACTCCTAGATAAATTTTGCTGATTCTTCGTATATTTAAAACAAAGGGTTTCACTAAATAAGTCGTTATATTAATTGGATAAACGTTGGTCAGTAATGCTTTTAATGCTCGAATAGGCGCAAAAACAATGTTTTCCCGAGCGATTATTTATTAAATTAATTAAATGTGTGAATAATGCACGGAAACGGCATTCGTAATTATTCATGTCACTCGAAATGTATGAATACATACATAAAACAGCATAAATTCTTAATTGTTTATGGTGACGACCGAATTAGGTCATAATAAATGCACGTATCGAATTATGTCTAGGTCGAAAATTCGAACGTTTTGCAGTATTGGCAAAAAAAATGCATTACATAATTATATGCGTATAAGGCGTATTTGGGCGAAGGACGACTTGCGCAACATAATGTACCGTTTCTCTATGAATCACTCGATTATTAAAAATTGTTGCACAATTGTTAATATTTATGTAATTAACATTAACTTATTTAGTTTTAACGTAAAAACATACTTGATAATTAATTTACTTTTTAATAAATACAATTTAATTGGTATACACAGAGCTAGAACACATAGTTATTGTACCAATTTGAATTTAGTTTTAGAATTTCTAAGAAATAATCTGCAAAGAAAATCAAAAGGTTGAAGTTGAATAGCCTCAGAAAGATATGTACATGATTGTTTATCAACAATACAGAAATATCTCCAAATGACATAATATGTTTATGTGTTTAAAAGTAAAATTTATTTATTTTATCCAACATTCAAATTACAAGACAATCATGGTTATTAACTATGTATTGATAAAATACAACATAAAATATTTTTAGAATTTTCACTATACTTGTATAATTACTTTCGTTTGGTTGTTTATGCACAATTTGTTTTTCGTTCTAGACTGTGATGATGTCAAGCAAAGTTTCTATTTGCGAATGCATATTTTTATTATATTTTTATGCACGCGACGTGTATTTCCTGAATTTTGGCGATGTTTCAATTACGCATTCAAATTTAATGAATTTTTGTATACATCCATTATTGTTTTTATTATAATTAAATTAAATAAAGTTAAACTATAAAAACGGCACTTTCAAAAATTTCAATAATCTAATGTTATTCTCTCTAATTTACTTAAAGTGAATGTTAATGTTTTTTTTTTCAATTGATTGTTTACAGTAATTATTATACATTCAATTTATTGTTTATACGTATTAACTTATTGAATTGAATAATTAATAAAAATAGAAAAGTAATTATCAACAGAAAAATATATTTTTTTAATATTATTTATTTATTTAATATTTTTTATTGGCAAAACGACTTTCTGCTTAAATTTTAATATGTTTCATATTTTTTGACTAAATTTTCGATACAGAACTTTAATGGCTTAGTCTATTGCCCAAAAAAACTCATAACACATGATTTCATCAATCTCATCAGATGATTTTTTTATAGATGTTAGATTACGTTCTAATTGTATCAATAATTGCTCATAAAGATATGCCTTCTTTATCTAAAAAAAATGACATTGATAATAGAATGTAGTTTTATTATGATTGTTATTTATATTATGAACATTTATATACAACAAACAATAAAAGATGAAATAATTGTGTAATCATTATTGAATTTATAGTTTTATATGTAAAAAATAGTAAAACTATCATTAATTACTCTAAATAATTACATAGACTTAATTTAATTACATCTATAAAATAAAATTTCAATTTGTAACAAAATTGAATAACTTGTAAATTTAAAACAATGTAATAATTATATTTGTTAGAAGATTTATCTTGCACTGAAGTATTCAATATAGTATGAATGTAAGTTAAATTAAGTTAAGATTTGTTAGTTGTAGGAAAGTTGAACAATTGTTTTGATCACCCAATCGCAATAAAAATGCTTAACTTTATATTAAAAATTGCTAACATGTTTTTAGCAATAACTATAATTATTAGTAGGTTTATATTTTATATATTAATTGTTTTATTTTTATAAAATACCAAAGAGTTATTGATGTTTTAATAAGAGTCAATGCGAATAACGAGTAATGAAGTATTGAATATTGTATGAATATAAAGTGAATAAATTTAAGATTTGTTAGTTATTGGAAAGTTAAAAAATTGTTTTGGTCACCCAAATGCACAAAATTTGCTTAACTTTCTATTAAAAACTGTAAACATGTTTTTGACTATCAATAAATATTTATTTTTATAAAATACGAAAGAGTTATTGATGTTTTAATAAAACGTAGTATTGTCAGACTAAATATTTACTCATAGGTCATAAGAGTCAATGCGAATGACGAGCAATAAAGTATTGCATATTGAATGAATGTAAGTTGAATAAAGTTAAGATTTGTCAGTTGTTGTAAAGTTGAAAAAATGTTTTGGTCACCAAATTGCAATAAAAATGCTTAACTTTCAATTAAAAACTGTAAACATGTTTTTGTATAGCAATAACTATAATTTTTAGGAGGTTTATCTCTTATTTGTTAATTGTATTTGCTTGTTTTATTTTTATAAAATACCAAAGAGTTATTGATGTTTTAATAAAACAACAAGTATTGACAGACTAATTATTTACACATAGGTCATAAGAGTCAATGCGAATAATGAGTAACACTGAAATAACAACTTATTTTGATATGCAAATACTTGTTGATCTACGAAGCTGCTGCTGCTTTTAATATTTTTTAAATGATCAAAATTATGACTACGAACAAAACTAAATTATGTCATTTTCAACATTATGACTTTTTCGAACAAGCTAATTTATATAAGACAATGGTGTTTTACCTGCAGGACACGAGTAAGATCAAAGAACAACTACATCTCGTCAAAATCTCGACAAACGGAACACATTTTTATTGCCACTTAATGAGCGTCGCATCAAGTTTCGCTAAGATTAAAAATCTAAATGTTAAGCTTAATTACTTTATCTATCTTATCTCAATGTTATATAGAGAGTAAAAAAAAAGTAATCGAGATGAAGCATCTACAATAAGTAACAAGTGTTGATCTTGTTGTAATTAAATTGCATTGTGATTTGTCTAATTTACTCACTTATAATTACACTATATTTTATTATCATTATATCAAACACTATAAACAATTGCTAAACTATTTCGTATATGTAATATATAAAAAAAATGAAGTAAGTAATTTTATCAGACATTGCTAAGATAATATTTAATTAATGCTTATCCATATTTTTTCAACTGTTCATACATTATTTATGTTTTGAATTGTTACCAAGTGATAACTTTTATATCTCGAGCGATTATTGTTATATACGCGTTAATTGCAAATTTCGATATTTGTTTTGTTTGCGTGAAAATTGGTGCTAAAGTTCTTATTTTCGGACTTACATTTTTCTTCTAATTTCCTTTTCGTTTTCTGGCACGACCGGCTCAGACCTCGCACTTGAATCGAATCCAGCTGAAAGACACTATTACATCCATTATCTGGCACGTTATCAGCTGCTGTTTCGATAACACTGTCCCGCAGAGTATAAAAAAAAGAATAATAACGATGGAACCGCTAGACGACAAAAGGAAAATCTTATCGATTCCAGTGTTTGCTTAATGCTTTTTAAATACAGTTTATCCTTAGCATTTCGAGCATAGACTCGATGCGAACGGCTTTCTCCTACTAACCAGAACCTCGCTTGTTTACTGCGTACTCGTTTGTTTATTTTTAGACCTGATTTCTTACAAAACGCCCAATTTTATTGCAGCGTCAGTGAGGAGAATATATTTTTAAAAAGAAGCAATTAATTAGGTTAATTTGATCTAATGTATTTGTTTTTTGGGTTTCGCGTGGAATTTTGGAGATTAGTCGGAGCGCAGAGATTGCGAAATTCGCAATGAGTTTAAATCCGATTTGCATATAAAGTATTTTACGACTAAGAGTTTATTGACACGTGTTTTATCTGATACTACAATGTATTTGCCTTTTCCTGATAAGCAACAAAGTAACATCCATTTAGTTATATAAAAAAATACAGTTTATAGGAAAAACCAATCGAGAAATTATGTAAGCTACTATTTACTGTTTGCTTAATGGATATAAACGATGTAGTTTTTAAAGTTCTCGTGTATTTGTTGTAGTCATTAGCGTTTCTAGACGATTTCGTTAGAAGACTTTAATCAACAAAGATATTAAATTTGCATTTAAACTTTCCAAATAATAAAAAAATCTAATTTATATAAAAAATACTAAAGAATAACTTTAAACCTACCTACCTATTTTACATAAGAGTAAAAAGTCAACAATCTGAATATTTACTAAATTTTTAAAATGAATAAATTTAAATACAAATATAAGGTATATTTTAACTATTTTTAGATCACTTTTTAAAATATAAGTTTACAGATTATTTTCATAATTTAATTTACATATATTTATGGTACTTGAAAGTATATTAAATATTTGTCTTTCAATAATATAAAAGATATAATATATTTGAAATTTCATTAAATTGTTATAGGCAACTAAATATACACATAGAATTATCAATGTGTGGAACAGGATGTATTTTAAATAAACGATTCGAATAAATAAAATACAATAATTAATTAATTATAACATATTGATTTGTATATATTGTAACTATATAATGATTCTATTCTCATTCTTTGTATCAATAATATATATCAAAAACTTTACTAATTTTGTTATTTTAAATAAGTATGAAGAGATATTTTAAACTGGTATTTATTGTACATATTCAACTAATATAAAATCGATTTAGTATTTCCACATACTAAAATAGAATTTTAAAGTGATTATTATCGAACACCTGTTAGTACTAATTGCAGTTCAGTTATGGTATAATTGACCTACAGATATTCTACGTTAACCATTTAAATACTTAAAGTAGATAAATAATGCAAGGATAAGAGAATATCGTTTTATTGATTTATTTAAACCTTCTTGCACGATTTCTTTTTTCTTTTCCGAGGACATTTAGGTGAACATTTCGAACTATCTGAGGATTCATTATCTTTGCAAGGTTTCTTCCGATTCCGATTTGGCTTCAGACAGCAAGGTTTCTCAGCGGCGCGCATATTCGCCATCTGCAGGTTTGAGACGTACAATTTATCGCAGGGTTTCTTGTTCCTCTCCTTCAAAACGCACTCCAGCTTCGTGAGAAGATTCAGAATGCTCGTATTGCTCCTATCCAGAAGATCGCCTTTGCACTTCTTCTTCCGTTTCTTCCGGCCGCACGTTGACTTTACGTTAGATTTATACATGAAAACGGACATTGTATCCTCTGCTAAAGCTTTCCGTTTGCACGGATTGTCGCACTGCTGGACTTTAGCGATGGCACCTAACACGAAATATTTGGACTTAGCCTCGTAGACAAGACCATTATTCGCTGCTTGAAGCATCGAAGTTTCCACCTGGCTGAGGACGTCGCCTGACAAATTGTACGTGCACTTCATGAATTTGGCCAAGGTCTTCAGGGAAACGCCGCAACGGTACTTGGGTTGGCTCAGGAGGGATTGAAGTGAGTAGAGGACCTGGTTAAGGAAGCTCGGTAATTTCGGATTGCTGCTAGTTTGATTTGGTTTCGATTCGTCCGCGCAGCTACATCCAGGTGTGGACATGTTTCAAATTCATTTTCAAAAAATTAATTATTACACAAAACCGCGCCTGACACTTCTGACACGTTCGCATCAATCATTTTTGAATAATGAAAACGCTTTGTTTATCATCATGTCATTTTTTTATTATAATATTATATAACAAATCGAGTGTAAATAGTTAACAGTTACAAACGTCTCAGGTAGTTCTTGAACATCTTCAGTTCCTCATCAAAACGCGTCCGGTCCTCCTTCAAAGTGTGTAACTTCAATGGACCATCAACGGTCGCTACAGCCTAAAAAACAAACACTCACTCAAAACCAATACAAATCTAAGTAACTTCAATAATCACCATCGATGATTTGTGAATTTTCATAGATCTAATTGGAATTCCATATGCAGTTGTTTGGATTGGCACCAAATCGCTGATAGCCAGATCCCAAACGGTGATTAAATCTCTATTGCACAAAACGTAAAAAGAGCATGGCTTGTTGTGGGACCACTGGATTTGGCGTATTTCCATATCCTCGTCGTCCTGCAGAGTCATCAACGGCCTCCGCTTAAGTTTGAAAAATATCGAAATGCAACCGTTGCTGAATCCTGCTAGAAAGTAATCCGAACAGTAGGGATGAAGGTCCAAACATGTCACTTCGCTAATTGATCCAATAGAAAATGATTTCTTAACACCTGCAGAAGTGCTGTGCAGAATTTGGCCTTGATTTGTGGCAATATAAATTTGGTTCGAAAATGCTACCATTGATATACATTGCATATTGATTTGCATGGTCAACGAAAGGGAGACGTTCTTGACCAGAGATATACCTATATTAGGTTTGTAGATAACTCCCAATATCATCAAGAAACCGTTCTCGTAAAGGGCTGCAACCTGTAACGGTGTATTTTGCAAATTTTGCATAAAATTATGGGTTAAATAATTACTTGAGCGGAAGAAGCGAATTCCTGTTGTGAACCTTCATTACGATACGTTTTGATAGCATTGACTCTGTTGCAATTCATCGTACATGCTGGTAATGTGAAATTAGGTAATTGCATCACCACACGTGCGTCGTCATCATCGGACGGTAAACAGTGTTCGATTCGATGAACTTGCGACAAATCCCAAACAGCAATTGCTCTATAATAATATAATAATAAAAAAAGTAGCTACAAATAATAAATTACTAATTTACCCATCTTCAGATCCTGCGAATATCACTTTCGAGTTTTCCTTTGCAAAAGTGACGCAACTCACTGAACCATACTCAGCGAAGACCTCAACAGGTTCATCGCTCTCCCAAATGCATCCGATACTCCGTAAATCATCTGATCTACATCCATAAACAGTCAACAATTTCCCATCCTCACTAAACTCTAAGCAATTCACTTGGCGACCCTCCGAAAAACTGAAATACAATTTACGAAAACCATCGCTAAATCCTAAATTCTCCGAAACCTCCGGCGGCTTCTCCTTTTTCCTCAGCAGATCAAGAACATCCGGAACTCTTTGTCGAAGGAATTTGCTCAGTCTGAATTCGTTATAAATGACATTTACTTCTCCAGCAGTAATTTCATCACTTCCGGAGCCCTTGATCTCCTCCTTAAACTTACTTAGGTTTTCGAATTGAGCAAACTTGTTAGGAAATTGCGTCCACTTGTTACTGTTCCCAATGTAATCGGTTTGTACTTGTTCATCGATCCAATCATCGCCCGTTTGCGACGAAGCCTGCACGTTGTTTTTACCTCCAAACGACTTTATGAAAGTGTCGTAACTAATCGGTGCGATTTCGAACAGCGTGAAGTTCTGATGATCCAATCGTATCATACTCATCAGCTCTTCGCCGCGTCTGCTGCGTCTTCGTTCCGCCTTTTGCTTCTGCTGTTTCCGTCTAGCATCCAAAAAATTAATGAATTGCAAAGATTTGGTCTCTTCGAAGCCCTCGTCAGAGAGTGAAGCCGGATTCGTTTTGGTCTCCAATATGTCATCCAGCATTGGCTTGTGTTTACTTTCTTCCGGTAAATCGAAATTTCCGGAATCCAGTTTCTTCTCATCTTCAACAACTTGAGATTTCGTGGTTGGTTGGTCTTCGGAATCCGAAGATTCCGTTTCAACTTGACTAGGCAATGACGATGCTGACGAAGAAGATTCGTAATCCTCGAAGTCAGAATTGTAGGAATCAAAATCGTCTTCGTAATCATCTTCTGGTTCCGCGTGTGCCTGCGCTTTGGGAATGTCTGGTCCAGCTATGTTCATGTTAACTATGCTACCTTTGCGCAAGGTCGCGGTGCGGGGTCGTTCAGGACTTCTTGGGATTGGAGATGATGCACGGCTTTGAAGAGCGCTCGCGTACATGGATTTCGTAGGGAAAAACTTTGATTTAACCACTCGACTGCTGTTTAGCGGGCTCCTGGTTGTTTTTCTCTTGATTGCCGGTTTAGCAGTCGTTTCCGTCCTCGTTGTTTTCGGTGAAGGCTTCACTTTAACAGCCGTCGCGGTCTTCGAAGGTTTTGGTTTTACATCTACATTCGATTGTTTTGATTTTACATCTACTTTCGAAGGCTTTGGCTTTAATTCTGTCCTGGAGGTGTGCGACGAAGGCTTAACTTTTGGCTTCGGATCCTTCGGACTTTGCGATGCAAGTTTCGGCTTGAGCTTTTCATCTTTCTTGGTCTTATCCCGCTCGTTCGTTGACTCTTTTTCCTCCGGCTTTTTAAGTTTCTTAACCACATTCTACAAAGATACGCTTGAAACTAACACGCAGATCATTTGAATACTCTTACCTGTTTCCTTGTAGACATAGAGTAGAACGTTACTCGTGCCCTGACATTTGTTGTGTGTTCTGACGGTATTTAGGACAGCAACTAAACCTGCGTGTGTATGTGTTTCACGGAATAATCGATAGGACGGAGGAGGGTGGAATACATTTTATGCAAGGCTGCACGCAGGTTGAAATAATCAATACCGGTATACTTAATTAATATAAAAATGTATTATCACAGCGTTTATATAATACAAATGTGGTTGCTTTGATACAGTTCATCTAAAGACTAACAATACAGACAGGACGAGCATGAGAGAAATCGATATCGCAGTCGAGCGATTCGCACCACCAGCTGCTTCGCATTCCTTGAGACTACTCAATATACTGTTGTATTCCTTCTTCATCATGTCCGTATTCTTGTATACCGGGACGTTGCGCAACTTTTGTGTGGCATCGTGGAAGAGCACGTTGTTTTGCCCGTCGAAAGATCCGTACAGGCTGAATGGAGCTGTCACACTTTTGTAGTTTCTGCCGAATAAATTGTCCAGCTGCAGGAATACATCAAGGGCATCATTCTTAGCCATATCGGAAAGATTTTTGGAAACCATAGCATGACCAATCGGCGCCCAACTGAGATAACAATCGTCCTTTTCATTTTCGCACAGAACCTTGAAGCTCTCACGTTTCGCGTTACTTATCTCCTTAGGATCTAAAATAAAAATAAAAATCAATGACAAACTGTCACTATCATTGTTATTTAAAAATAGTCATCACATCATTTCAACTATTATTTTTACATTAAACTCAAAAAGATAAAGTTTGAATCTGTAGTGATATAATATCTTAAATCAATATAGTTTGAATATCGTTAATATAATAAAATAATAAAAAATCTTACCTTTAAAGTATTTTTCGAAACTATTCTTGGAAAGGAAAGCAACATCCGCATGTTCCAAACATCTAAGAACACCATATTCGCCTTCATGGTAATCCTGACACAAAGCCTTTAAACTCTTAGAAGAGTTTTTCGGTAAATCAGGAACGCAACTGTCGCCGAAGAATTCTGCCATACCAGCTTCATATGGACATGAATCCAAAAGATGTTCATCGCTCAGATACTTTAAAACAGAATTCCAAGCAATACCATCATATTTAGGGAAGCATGCTTTCGCTCCTCGCAAGTCGCTCAACGTCTTGTAGCTTGATCCAGATTTCACAACTGTCACAGTTATATACTTATTATCATTAGTTACAGTCTCGTAGAACAACGTGGTTAAATTATATTTCCTACAAATTTCGTGATATTAGATAAACATTGTTTTAAAAATAAGTTTCGTACTTACTTTTGAGCTGTAGCTACGTGATCAGCAGATGTAATTACTAAATCTGCAGCACCATTTGAAATAGCCTGCATGCAATGGGTAATGTTAGCTGCTCTTAAGCAATCCAAGTCTGGTTCCACACCATAAACTGTAGCAGCTTCACGCATCCAGGCGCATTTGGCATTAGCAACGTTTGTTGTGGTACAGACTCGAACAGTTCTTGGAGGATGACATCCCGTAAAACTGTTGGCGCTCAGAAAACCAGGCGCGTTATTTAGAAAACTCTCGATAGGCTCCACAGGTCTCAAAGGTGTGATTTCCTGTTTAAAAGTTTCGATTAAACTTAGTAAAGCCGACTCCCACATTTCCGGATCGTGCTGGTTGATGGAGTTGATGAAGTCCTGCACCTCCTGCGCTCGTTTCCTGAAAAACAAGAACAATCAATTTAGTTACTTAATAATAACTCTAATATTAATACTAACCTTCTGGCAGCAATTACTGGCCATGGTTTGACCACCCAGACGCACGGTTTCTCGTTTCCTCTTACTGGCATTGTGGTTCCATCCTGGCACAAGAAGCTGTAACCATCCGGTGCCATGATCTTGGCTCCTGGAGTGATACCGAAATGGATTTTAACATCGTCTAGACGCGCCCAACTGACATCTCCATATCCATCTGTGAGGCAGAACAGTGGTCCACGTCTTCCCCAGTACTTGTCGTTTGTTGAACACCTGTTTGGGTTGTGGCAGAGTGCGCAGAGATTAGGATACTTCGTCTTCAGTTCTGCATCGAGGATGGGATCGTTCACCCATGGACCAGCTTTGCACGCTTGTTTAAAGTAGTTCGAGGTTGCGCTGATGCGGTTTTCGGTGATGGTTAGCTTAGTATTACATGTTTGAGGAACGATGGAAGCCTCTAAAAACTAATGTTAGGATTAGTACCAAATCGAATCGCTTCAATCCGAAACCACTCACGTTTGCTAAAATATCAGTCCAATCGGTTTCGTAACCGTAACCAGGATGGCAAAAGTTCTTGTTCCTGAGATCATGTTTCGACTTAATACCCGACTCGTCGTTTATCACAGCCACGACTTCATATTCATATTTTTCTACGAAAAAAGAGGTACATTTGAAAAGTTTAATTAAAACACATCCAGCCATGGAACAATAAAAAATTGACGTTGTCATAGAAACCAATTGTTTCTTCATTTAATAAAATTAAAGTCGTTGGCAATTTTGAAAAAAGTAATATTAAGCAACAGTGATATTTTTATAGTTTTAAATATTTACCTTGTGAGTAGCGCATTTCATTGGTAAGTAATACTTCTACTTCTGAGTTTGTGGCGGTCACTATATCTTCTGGAGAGAAGACGGAAAAATCGACAATTCCTTTAGAAATCTTCCTCAGGCAATCCAACCTTGATATATTAAAAAAAGTTAAAAAAAAAATGATGATACTTTGATGAAAGTATGACATTACCTATCCATTCCTACAACACACTCGACCTTGCTATCAGCCTTATCCAACGTTGGACAATACCTGGCAGCCCTTTTAAAGCCACCTCTGCCATCTACCACACATACTCGAACTGTAACAAAAAAATAATTTTAATTAATCCCAAAAATTAAAATAACTTCTTCGACACATATATAAATAATAAATGAAGTTTGATGAGTCATTTACTATTTCGGCCTTGGCATCATATGATCTTATGACCTTTCCAAATTAATTTACCAAACATTACATAAAAAAAACAATCATTGTGAATTATAAGTTTCTTATAAAGATTTATTATATAAATTTAAACAAATTTAAAAACAAACAAATGAGTTGAAAGCCAACGCCGACGTCAATTTTATTTTATTTATATTTAATTTATACATTTTATTTACATTTGTTAATTGTTTGAAAATTTAAGGTTTTTAGTAAGTTTCATTATTAAAAAATATCTCTAATTAGTCACGTTTACTAGTATAAGTGTGTTTGTTTCCATAGCAACAATTTGAAATTATTACTTTGTAATTTTGAGAAGATTTGCGAGTATTAAGATAAACTCTGCATAAAATATAAAAAATCTGAAAAACTAAAAATGTCACACTTCAAACCTTATTATAAACTTAATTGTTTGTTTCAAATGCCGATTTCAAATAACACTACAAAGCAACATTTTAAATTTTAATATTGTTATTAAAATAATCTGAAGAACGTGACTACATGTTTGTTTCAAGATTGATTTTAAATATCACTTAATTAATTATAAAATATCAAAACTCAATATTTTTAAAAGTAATTTATTTAAGACGACATTTTAAAATTGAGTTAAATCAAATATTGCAATTATTTTTTTTACAATGGATTATACAGGTTGGCCCAATTGAACTGCAATTTTCAAAACGCTGCATTTTTTTTATTTGAAATTGGATTTTATTGAACCACAATCAAAAAATGTTTGAAAGCATTTAAATTTTTCGAATTCATTTAAATTTTTTTACCTCTAGCGCAAACTATCGCTCTGAGTTGGTCGACAAGCGAGTCGCACGGTGCACGAAAGTGAACCTGCAGAATCTTCAACCATTCACGAAGAAGGGCTATCTTGAGCACTTCAAAACCGTGGTATTTTTTAGTTCTGACATTGTAAAATGCCTCAATCCAAGAAGTCGAGCGGATTTGCATCTGGTCACCGTGGAGGCCACTGTGTGGTCGAAATGAAGTTTGGAACGTTTTCTCTCAGCCATTGTTGGTTTTCGCGTATTTTCTACATAATCTTTTTGAAGCGTCCACTCTTTCTAACTGAAATGTTTGGTTACCCACGGCTTCTGAGCATCTTCCAAAACTTTTTCGTGATAAACATTCGCATTAACCTTGACGCCACGGTCCAAAAACATCAACGGAGAGCGACTATCGACCGTCACAGCTTCCCAAACTATCACAAACGGTAGTGCTTGACTTCTTGTGGCCATTCGAATGCCTAAATTTTCGTTTGACATTTCTCTAAGTAAATTCGATCATTTTGTTTGTTTACGAATTTCTCAATTGGGTAATTTTTCTCATCAGACAAGACGATGTTTGGCAATTGGCTGCGTTCGTGCAAGCGCAACAGCTCCTTCGCTCTATCGAGCCTAATTTTTTTTAACATCGGTGAAATTTTGAGTATTTGTTGCATAGATATTTTCGATATGTTCAGCTGAGTAGCCATTTGTCTTCCACTGCGTCGCGAATTTTATCCAATTTGAGCCTTAACTTTCCGAACCACTTCTATCAAAGATGTAGATTTTTCCGACCTCCAAAATAGGATTTTGTAATACTACTAGCTTCGCTATAATATGTTATGGTTCGTGACACAAAAGATTTATTCACTCTAACAATAGCCACTTTTAGTTTTCCACTCAAATATAGGGCTATCAAACTATTGTGTTTGAATTCTATCACGGATATTTTTTTTCCCAAAAAACTGAGATGCAAATGCTTCCTCGGGCTTGTAAAAAATAAAATCATCTATCATTACGCAAAATATGGACACAGCATTGCCATTGGTTCGAAAGTTATAGTAGTTTTAAGTTGGTTGTAGTTGAATTGGACCACCCTGTATTAATTATTCAGAATGAAAAATTGTAAGTGTTTTAATATTTTAATTCATAAAATGAAAATGTTTATTGATTATTATTTAATAAATGAAATAAAGAACTAACATGAGTTACCTATATATAATTAATCATCTGGTTGATTGAGTTTAACAAAAATGACTTCATAACCTTCACAAATCCTAGTCATAAATTACTCAATTAGTTCCAATAACGTTATGCCTGATACAGTTATTGCATTTGAAGTGCGATTCGTGTCTCCTACGTATTACGCAACATATAAGTAAACGAAACTGCAATCGCGTTACGCAATTGATTGTTTGAAGAAAAATCGGGACGAGAGGATCCAACCATTTCCCAACCCGACTTTCTACGGTCATTAATTAACCGATGTTCACATCCGCTCACATAAACACACAGTTTATATATATATTTATAAAAAAAATACGAATTTACGTAACAGTTTTTAAGTACTAAAAGGAAACTATACTAAAGCTAATTAACGTTTAAAAATCACATCAATGTTCATCACTTATTATTTGAAACAATAACGTGTGTAAAGGTCGAATATTTTGCAATTTATTGACCTTTGCATAATTCATGGTTTCCTCTTAATCAATGTTTCTGCTTTGCATCGTTTTGGTTTCGATTTTTCGATTCTTAGAACATTTCTGTATGTTATTTATTATTAATAAGTCATATTTCAAACATTAAATTGAGAGTACGATCGAAGGTCATACCTTCGGGGCTCCGATTACATTCAGACACTTGCGCTCCGCTGAATTAATTTATTTATCCACTTACGTGCTTATTGCGGGGCAAAAAATTACGGTTATTACGTAACGCAAATAATAATATATAAGAAACGTTCATAATTTGTGATATAAACGAAACACCGCGGTCGCAGCGGGACGCAGTAAAGTCTAATGATGTTAAGAGCTAATTACATCACGCATGGCTTTATCAGGATAAATAAATTGACGTTTATTTAAGACTTAACTAATTTTATGGTCTTTTTTTTACAATAGTTCCACGTAATTAATCTTTCATTACAATTATCGATTTAATACAAAAAATAACCATTTTCGTTTTAATTATTCATAAGTTGAAGACAAGATTTTTTTGAAAACCTTAACTTTTAGTATATTAAAGAAATTAGTATAATATAGCTTCAATTAAATTATTAATATCATTAAATTTCATTTAAGAAACAAAAATCGAATTTTTAATTCGTCAAAAATGTTATTACAAAAAATACAAATTTATAAACAAAAATAGACAATAATTTAAAAAAAAATAGTTCATAACACAATAAAAAATATATTTTTTTGAAAACCTAAGTTCAGGTTTTATTATATTAAAGAATTTAGTATAATTTAGCTTCAAATAATATCATTAAATTTCATTTAACCAAAAAAAATATCGAATTTTTAATAATTTATAAAAAAATAATTTAGTTCATAAGACTATAACAAAAATAATAAATTCCATCAATTAATTTCAACAAAGTAAATAAATAACAGGAAAACATAAATGAGTGATTAAGCTTCTGGTCTTTATAATAAATGCCAAGCAAAGGCTATTCCAGCTATTACTTACTCAATACCTAGCATTGTATAAACATCCTTGAAAAAATCTTGAGAATAAATCGAAAACAAATTTACTGAAATTATTTTTATCTTAAAATAAATATTAAATTATATTAAAATCCCTGTGACAATTAATTATTTAACTATAAACACGAATTTGATTTTGAAAACAATCATTCCTAAAAGTTATTTTTGTTGTTGTTTGCAAAACTAAATTACGTTTTTTTTATATTCTTATTGAAAGTACATAATGCATTTGCGTGTACAAAAATAGCGTATGTGTAATGCATAGATTAATAATTTATGTTTAAATAAATATTAGATGGTAATCGACTGTATAATATGAATTCATTCAAACTTAATTTCACGCTACTGGTTTCATATTATTCAAAACGTAATGGATTTTCACCTTAATTTTGCTATTTTAATAATTATGTAATCATTTGCTTAATTTTATGTAATCTACTTATTATTATTATTATTCAATTCTAAAAATTTAGTAATTTTAAGAATAAATACAACAGAAGTTAACAACAAAGTTTCAAATACAATCATTATGAGGAAACTACTAAAACTAAATACAGTGTAACCTTGTTTAACGAGTTTAATCCGTTCCAAAATTTCCGGATTTTTACTCGTATAGTAAAACATGTCCAAAAGTACACATAATATGTGTACACAAGTTTTAAAAATGATGTAGCAGGCGCGCATTCCGGAACTTCTCTTTTCATCGCAAATCGTTATGCAAAGCGTCGCTCGTTAAGCGAGTCATTTTTCTTACTATTCATTTTCCTCTGTATAGTAAAACCTCGCATAGGGCGGGTAATCGTTTCCGCTAATATTCCGCACTGTTTGAAACCTGACTAATCAAGTCTTTAACTCTTTGAGATGCGGTGGTACATGCAATATACCACCTTTTGAACATGCCTGGTAAGGCATTATTATATTTTTTTAGAAAATGTAAAGGAAAGAGGAATCACCATTTAATTTAATTGGTGTGTCAAGGGATGAATCTTGATAGGCCACGCCAACGGATGTATATTCAGTTGACAAAGTTGTCTGATTCAGTTGTCAAAAAAATTGTTGGGTCTACAAACATTTCTGGCCTCTGGAGTTAAAAACGCATAAAAATAATCAACGCAAAAGAGTTTACTTTGTTTTGAAATTTTCCAACCGTACTATTCTGAATCCGCACTAAGTAAGGTATAGCTGTAATTTATAAATGATAGTCCACATCATTTGAATATTTGTTGAATAAAATCTAAAACTATTCAGAAGTTAATAATTTACATTATATAAGCACATAAATGCAGTTTTTAATGGTATAATTTAGTATATAGTTTGAATGTATTAACTTATCTTTTTGTGAGAGAAACGGGGTCACTTTCCAAAATCCGGAAATGAAAGAAAGTAGTTGCAAACCTTTTTTGGCAATTCGATTAACCTTTTACTCTCCAGATCATATATGATTACTTGCAATTTACCAGAACCATAATAGTAAACCAATTCGACTTAAATTGCAACAACATTTGCCTATAATATTTATAGTCAATATAATACAATGGAACGAGTTTAATCCGCTCCAAAATTTCCGGATTTTTACACAAGTTTTAAAAATGATATAACAGGCGCGCAATCGGGACTTCTCTTCTTATCGTCACTCGTTATGCGAAACGACGCTCGTTAAGCGAGTGTAATCTGTACATGAAATTAATGATTCTGGAAAACAACTTAAACTCATCCATAAAGCAAAAAAATACTCGATTTAATATTGTAAATTCATAAATACAATGAAAACTATGAATTAGGAAAGTGATTTAATAATTCTGAAAAATTGCTCAATAAATTATGTAAAATATGTCTTTGTCTAACAGAAAACAAATGAATTAATAAATTATTAAAAAATAGTAAAAATCTTAAGAAAAAAAAACACTAATTTATTAATTGAATGTTGTTTAATTATAAAAACAAAATATATAAATTTGAAATTAATTAAATTTAAAAAAATGTATAATGGAAACGAGTATGTAAAATGTGTTATGATTGTTTTACGTTACAGCATACGAACATGTCTCTAATTCCCGTGATCTTGGAAATAACAACTGGTTAATCATATTTTGCAATGCTTGTTTATTGATGACATTCATATAACGCCAAGAGAATAGAGAATTGTTTTGTAAAAAAAAATAGCAAAACAAAAACAAACATATCCAAGTTCACAAAACAAATTAAATTTACAGATTATATCTGTTTATACATTCTCATAATTAAAAATAATCTTTGCCGGAAATGCATCTTTTATTTCTATGAATTTAGTAACAAATATAGATAATTTTAGCACATTTCATTATTAATAATCTGATTAATTACTAGAACATATTTAGGTTAATTCTACGAAACATTAGACACCGTTGAAATGAATACATTATTCAAGGATAGCCGAGATATTTAATACTTTACGGTGTTTCGAAAAGAAGAAAGTGAATTCTGCCATGTAATTTTATATACAGCTACCACAATTCTTAAAATTCTTAATTAAAAAGTAAAAATATGTTTTTTATTCTTAATATAAAAATATCTTTATTATAACTTTAATTCGTTTATTTATAAATAAGTAAAGAAATAGTAAATCTAAATTTAGTCATGTTATTAACAATTACTAACAAATATGATCTAACATATGTTCCAAAAAATCCAAGTTATTTAGGATAATTACTTAGTGCATAATCAAGGTGTTAATAGATTCTAAAGTTACAAATCTCAAAATGTGACTCATCCATTGTATGCACATTGATAGATAGAGTAGTTCCCATTTAAATATGAGTGTATTCATTTCAAGAAAATTCATGTCTGCAATACCAAGATCATAAATTACTGTATTTACATTGCGTTTATATATGCATATTACTGTATAGTAGAATTCCCAATATTTTATAGATAAAAGTGTGATTCAATAAAATGTCAATATTTGTTTTTATAATCCAAAAATACAGTAAAATATGTTATATAATTATTTTATTTAGTAATTAATATATTTATAGAAATATGTAATTTTCAATTAATGAGAATGGAAATACTGCATTTATGAATTATTTTCTGACTAATGATAATACGTGTCATTTACTTGTTGTAATTACATTGTGATTAACACCCGACAACTAAAGTAATTATAGTATAGTAATTACATAAGTGCATAGTTTAATATGTTTTTGCTGTCAAAAAATAAATTGAAACTTGGAAATAGAAAGTTTTAATTTTCTTAATGCATTTATAAATATAACACAAAAATAGATTTTTTTGTTCATATTTTTGCATTATTTTATTATAATTTAATTACATAATTAATTTTTCTTAATCGCGTACAAACATTTGATGAAAAAAAGTTAAATATTTGAAAATCGTTATTGAGATGAAAAATGTAAACTGAAATTATTTCATTTTTTTTAAGTATTTAAACATTTGAAAAAATAAATTTCTTTTGAAATCACAACATTGAAATGATACAAACAAATGGTAAATATATATATTCTTATAATATTTTGTAAATTGTCGACGTGTTAAATATCACATCGTGATACATTGTCGATTTCATATAGATTTCAGTTTACGGAACTCATTATTACCAAATTCGAAGCAAAACCGTTCTATATTTAAGTATTACTTAACGACGGTCAATGTTAGCTTCTCAGAAAGAGCATTTCGTATTGTTTTCGAAGGTAAAGAACGAACAAATCGATTTCTAGCTTGAAATTGAAATGTGAACATAATTACAGTTTTCTTTCTCTACTTGACCATAAACATTCCGTTTTGGTATTATTATGTTGAATGACATTGAAATTATAGCTCATCATTAAACAAAAATATGCCTTTAATTATAAACACACAATAATGACACAAACTGGATTACTTTCGTAAAGCTTAAATACATCGTAAAAATAATTGATTACTTGATTAACAGGTATATTAATAAAAATTACCATGAAAGTGCGATCATCCACTTTTTGTAATTAACAAAAAATAGCTAATTATACATTTTGTGAAAGTTATACTACAATAAATATTTTCAAATTATTGAACAACACAATAATTCCTTCAAATTTTATTTCAGAATTTTCAATAAAAACATTTATGTATATATTTTAATGCATCCTTGAAGGACGATCTTCATTCTAGACAAAGTGGCAACAAATTTTCAAAACAATAATGGAATTGTGATTATTTAACATATATTTCCAAACATCATTTGTTTAATAATAGTAAAAACGTTCACAATCTTAAATGATAGCAATTACCAATAATTTATATACATTTACATTACAAAGTAATTAATTGCATAACAAAAGATGTTAATCATAACGCAAATATCGTTACTTTTGGATTCGATTTAATTGATCAAAATAAGCATCTGACATATTTAGGAAAAAATCTGTTGACCTTCAGTTGATTAAAATTAATCGTCGTTTTGTTATGACGCTACATCCTCGTTCAATACCGAAAACAATATTAAAAAAAAGAACATTTTTCTGTTTCTTTTGTAACTCAATGTTAATAAAATTTATGACCTATTCGCATGCATTTCGCTATGCACATAATTCAATTTAAAATAACAAAAAAAAAACTTGTTCTTCTGATGGGAAATTGTATAATGTTCAAAATAAAATCAAAAACTTTTTACATATATGTTTTTTTAAAATCTATTACAGACAATTAAATAATATTTGAAAAGTTGTGAATGCATAATAAGAATATTGTTGTTCTGAAATAACTTGTTAATTTTTAAGCTACATTTGATGTTTTTATACAGGAATATGCAGTTTACTTAAGTGATGTTGTATATTATTGACCTTGCACTTAAATGAAGTAAGAGTTCTTTTTAGCAATAACAAAAAAAAAACTTCAAAAGATAATTTAAGATTACTTACATTTATCAAGGCATTCCGCGTGCTGCAAAACCAAGAAAGTATGAAGAACCACAAAACACACGACGTTCGACACTCGCTTCATGTTTCCGACTTTTGCTCTTGCTTTTATTGTCTTTCGTATTCAAATTTGGACTTGGCTGATTGTGACGTGCCTGCATAGTCCAAATATCGGCCGATGAATGGTCTGGTACTCCTTCGTAGCACGCTCTTAACACGGAATGATAAGTCGGTGTGTGAAGGACGACGTGATTCCTGGTCTCTCTCTCCTTCCATCAAAGCGCGGATTTCCCGCCTCGCTAATGTTAATGTATATTTTTTTTTTTTTTGAGAATCGCTCTTTTATTTATACACCGGTCTCTTTTGCAATTAAATCTGCACCAGGCTTGGAAACATTTTGGAAAAATTGATATCTGTCCCAGGCCTGTAAGAATGTTAATAATAACTTTCCAAAATTTTGATTCCACACCTTCGGAAGTTCGGTTATTCAATGTTTGTGTTTTATACGTATTATGTGACTTTTTTAAGTCTCTCATAAAGAACTTAAGAACTTTGTGATTAAACACATTTAATTCAATTAGCAATTTTGATCAATACATAATTTAGAAAGTTTTTTTTTCATTACATTCTTCCTACGTTTATTTACAATCTGTTCTTAATAAATATTTAGTAAGTTTTCTCGTGGTTCACATTTCTAGAAACGTAGCGTGTAGCAAATTCCCTTACCGCATTTTCTTCGTATATGACGCATCTTGGGTTTCAGTGATACCAGTAATAATTAGTTAGTTTTTCCAACTAACCTAAAGAAATATCAGAAAAAAAATATTTTAATTAAGTTTTGTACAATTTTAAACCAACATTGCAAATATTTTATTATATTTTCGGGTAAAAATTAAATTTTTGTTTGACCAACAAAATCACATTATATTTAAGTTTTATAAAATTTTCAACTAAATTATGAATTTTCATATATGTTAAATTTTATTATGATTTTTCAAATATGGTGGAATTAAAAAAATATATTGAAAAATTGTTTTTCCCGTTTGTTTCAATAAAATTGAAAAAATAGTAATTTTTGTCAAAATTAATAGAATGTTAAAACAAATTATATTTCTTCAAATATTACTATCTCAAGTATTGAAAAATCAAATTGTGAGTAGTTTTTCAGTAATAATGCTGAAAATTGACGAGTTTTTGTCAATTTTCGTAGTTTTTCCCTAAAATATTGAATAATTTTGAACGAAATCAAGGTGTTTCGAATATATTTGAAAATAAATATGTTTTGTACGTTACAAAAACTGAATCATGTATATAAGCTTAATGTGCATTGCACTTGACACAATACGATAAAACAATAATGATTTTGAGTCACGTACGGACCAGAAACTAGAATTTCCGGAATTTCATAATACCTATTGATAATCCTGTTATACCAAGCATCATTCACAAAACAGAATGACATTGTTCGATCTACGACTAATTGCAATATTCACGCTTCCATTAAAACCGTATTGAAACATGTTGGAATCAGACCCTAGGAAAATGATCAGAATGTTCATTTTTTTCGACCATGTATGTTTAAAAACAAAAAATAATAATATGACCTTTATGGTAAGAACATGCAAGAGTCGTATGTTCGCAATATGATCGCAAAAAGTGATGCAAATGAATGAGGTTGACCTTAATCTGGATAGTGACAAAAGACAAAAGAAGAAACTTCGTCGCATGCAAATCTCAAAATACGAGTTGTCCAATTATTTTCAGTTTTTTTTTTAAATAAACGATAATCAACTTCTTCGAAACTTAAACTAATTATAAAATATAATTAATCCTGACATTAAATAACAATTTAATCACTTGTTAAAGTTGTAATTTAAAAAAACGACTTTAATATGAGTAAAAATTGGATTATTGGTTTGGATTATTATTCTATATTGATAAATCAACTGCTGGTGTGAATGTGAACGCAATGGAGTGTTAAGTTTCTTTCCCAGAATAGGTATGTAAATTAGCGTATATATATCGCTTACCAAATGTTTGGGGTCATGATGTAATCTGCAGTGAAAACCTGGTTCGTCTCATGCAAAGTGCGCCACAAAAAAAAGATAGACAGACAACGTTTCGGGGAAATACGATTTGTTTACTAAATCGGAAATCGGGGAATTCCCTTGATGATTCCTTCGTATAATGCAAACCAGTAGCGCGTAACTGCGTGTAGCGGAATTCCATGTATAGGCGTTAATTGATCGATCTCTTTCTTCTCTCGTTTACATCAAACCACTTTCGTGCGTCTTCAAGGTATTTCCAATTAATTCAACAACTATAGTAAAAGTCTAGTTTTCTAAATTTTTATTTAATTTTTTTTATTGACGTTCACTTATTGGATACATATGATTATTGACAAATCATTAATTGGTTATTTCTTAAAATAGTAAAAAAAATAACACATAATATTGTTTTTTATGCGTATAGAATGCAAAAAATGTTAATTTTAATATAATTAAAATTCCTTTGAACATATTTGTTTACTTATTAATGAGTTAATTGTTCTTAATATAAATACTAAATGTATTTTTGTATGTTTCTAAATATGTTTGTAAAACTATTAATTATAATCATGATATAACATATTTGTATTTTGGGTTTCCCAAAAGTTTTTCGAACTACGCCCATTCTATTATTATTTATAGATTACTATTCGATAACTGGTAAACTTACTTATAGTTATGTATATTTTCTTTTGGGAAATCTATTATTATAATAATAATATGTAGGGAATTATATTTTATCACGTAATATTCCAATAAAAGTTAATATATGAACAAATTATTATAGGCAACCAAATATACGTTTTTCGAATTAGAAAAAGATATTTTAAAAGTAAATGACATCACAATTTTTATGATTATGTAACAATAATTTATTATATGAAGTTGAAATGTTAAATATACAAATGTTGTTAGATCTTTTTAAACAATGAACAATGTTATTCTATTCATCTTAGCTCTTATAGTAACATATTTTTTTCTTCTTTAATTTGATTATAATTAAGTTCAGTAGAGTGAAAAATCTACTGGTAACAATTTTCATTTTTTGGTCGTAACATTTAACTTTGCAGATTCTAAAGTAAACTATTGCATTTTAATGTTAAAAATGCATGCATTTTTATAAATGAATTGAAAACAATGTTGTTTGTTAAAATTAATGTAAATGACATTTGTTGATTATATTCAAAATTCAATAAGTCCCAACGGAAATCCTTTGTATTCAATTACTATTTTATATTAATATTAAACTATTCAAATTGCATATTGACGTATATTTGCAATTATTTTCATTAATATTCATTACTTCTTTTAACACTTATTTGGACATCTTACAAATATTCCAGTATTTTAACAATTATAGTACAAATTTACGAACTAATTCCATTCCAATGGGTTGTTCGTAAGTCGAATTTGTTCGTAAATCGGCCTAATTAAAAAAAAAATAATATATGCTTATCTTACCACACTTTATCATAGTTTTTACTTTTATATATGTTAAATTCCGTATTACTGACAGCATAAATTTAAAAAAATAGATTAAAATAAACAAAATACTTACTTACATATACTTTTCAATGTAGACATCGGAATTATTTAATAAAAATGACAAAAGAAACAAAAATATTATATTTTATTAAAGAAATTATCAATATTTGTTTGGACAGTTACTTTTTTATTACTGTATATCTCCTTGTAACAAGTTAGAGCTTTTAGAATTTTGTTCGTATGTCCGGGAGTTTGTAAGTCGTATATTTGAAAATACTTGGATTCAATGTATTTTTTCTAATATGTTTGTATAATGTATGTGTTTGTCTATAATAACTTTAAATTACATTAATAAATTAATGTTTACGTAATTGTATAGTTGTTAAAATAAAATATCATCAACGTTTGGTTTTAATGTTTTTATTATATCAAATTTGGTATCATATCTTCTTTTAATTTCCTTGATTGTGTATACATATTAGTTAATAAGACATATTTCTCATATCTTTTGAAAATTTTATGAAATATTTAAGAGATGTTAAATCGAGTAGGTGTACTCTGTCAGAAATCAAAAACCAATCATGTAAATGTCAATACAAATGGTTACATAAATTACGTTTTTCTATACATTTTTTTTATTTTATCATACTAATTTTACACGAGAATGCCACACCACAACCATCGATCGGTGAGCAGCTTCTCGAACCCGAGATTCAGGAAACAATACAGATACAAATCCAGATGCAGCAACTCCTCAGGAACGACGGTAATCACGAACCGATCTTCGGTCACCCGCAAGAAGAAAACAAGCACCGCGTGGGAGAACATCGTCATCCATTACTTGCAGAAGCTCAAGAACTATTGGAACTCCACCAACAATGAGAAGGAGACCAGCAATCGCGAGAAGTCATACCAAACCCAAAAGAAGAGTCAAAGGAAGAGCAATTCGAAGGAGGTGCAAAACTGCAGTTCGCGCACGAGCAAGGATCGAGTGGATTACTGCCTTGCAGGAAAACGTAAAGCCCTGAACATCGTATCAAATGCATTGGAATACGGCCTGGCGAATGGTATAGTCTCGAGGAATGGCAACTACTATTGGATCAAAGATCGATTGATACCGAAACGCGTATCTAATCATCGCATGAATCCCACAACTAGTCCAGCGAAAACCGTAGCGAAACCTCAAGAACAGCAGCCGCCGCAAACACAACCGAAAGGAAACTCGAAGAAGATGCCGAACAAAGGTAGAGGAAAGACGAAGAAACCTGTGATGAAGAAAGGAAGAAAACCGTTAAACACAAGGCGAGGAAAGCCGAAGAAGATGCCGACGCGCGCTAGGATTGGGAGGAGGAAGGGAGGCTTTTGCAGTTGCCGCAAATGCAACGATCTATTTAAGAAATTTAGCTTATTAGAGGATGAATAGACGAACATCGAAAAAGAAACGAAACAAATTCGATTAATAATTAATTTTTATTTAATATAATATATATATATTCTTTAAATATAAAGATTCCAACTAGATACAATAAAAATCTTTGTGCGTAAAATAAAGTTTGTATAAAAATAAAAACCTTCACCGATCATTACAAGTGGCAGAAAACATTGCACAGAACTAACGTGTAATTTGTATTATTATTATTAAGATCACCTACTAATAAACACGGATAGTTAGGAGAAAAAAAACAGTATACAATATAGAAATAAACGCAATTCAAATTCATTCAGTAATTAATATCAATAAAATTTTAATAAATCTAAGAAACAAAAAAAATCCAAAAATCAAGCATTTCCCTAATAATAATATTTTCTTCCTCTCTTGTAATTTGTACTTATAAATATTTAAATATATATGTATATACACTTCGGGCTTTGTCTCGCGAAATTCACTGGAATAACTAACGATAAAACCAGACTTATTTCTTTTCCTCTTTTTTTTTTGGCAAATTTCCTTCCAGAATTAATATGTGTTATTTAACACGATAGGAAGATTACGCGATATACGAAACTGAGGCCCGAACGTGAGCACTTATTAAATCTAAGTAAATAATATTGTTCAATAAAGAGGATGAGATTATCTATGTAGAAGAAAAAAAAAATAAACAAACATAAATAAATAACTAAATTACAAAATAAATAGACCTGTGTGGAGAAAAAGAAATCTCCGAACAGCGGAGGCTCCGAAAGATTTACAAAAAAAAATATCATACATATGTATTCTATCTATATGGAATTAAATGCCTCGGATCTTCACCGTACATTATCATACCCTTATCTAATTTAAAAGTTATTCACCTAAACGATAAATAAGAGACATTCAAATATGCATACTAGAGACGAACCATAACAACGATCCAAACCATCCTCCCGCGTGGAATGTGTCTTACGTGTACTTATGAGTGTAAATGTGTATGTGAGTGTTTGTGTCAGTGTATGTGTGTAATTTATATAAGGCATACTTCATTAATTTTCAACATCTTGTCTACGCTATATATTTATAATTAGGAGAGGATATTTTAAGCCAATTCGGGCCTTCAACTGGGCGTCGTCTCGTTGAACTGCAGGAGGCATCCGACGGCTCCGAAGTAGCCTTCGTGCTCAAGGAAAAGGGCCTTCATCGTGCCCTTCGACCAGTAGTCCATGGCGTAGGCAAGCAGCTTCATTGCAATCGGATTCACCCTCAAGAAATTACCGATAAATAATACCTGGAACAAAAAAACTCGTGTTTACGTGCTGCGGAAAACTGGAATTTGAACATATTTATAGACGCGCATACCACAGAAATATGAAAACATATTTTCGACACGTGCGCTCATTTATTTTGATTGGTGATAAATTTTGCTTGGCATTTTCTTTTATATTTTCATTGATATGATTGAAAAATCGCGATATTTTGTGGATTATTTATCTCACGTCATTCGTAATAAACCTCGACGTAGTAATTGAGATCAGATTAGGTTCAATTACAACATCCGCTTTACTTGAGAGATCAATTTCCGCTCTTATAAAATTAATGAACTTTTCAGGTGATAAGAAAACATACATACTTCAATTTTGTCTGTAACGTTAAATACTTATATAATATTGTTTAAAAAAATTAAACAAATCGTTTACTTTCACGTAAACTGTAAATATACAGTGATTAAAATAAACACTGCATTAAGATCATAATATTTAAATTAAATTTTGTTTGAACTGTCAAAAATACTCATTCTCAGAACAATTAAGTGAATCTCAACAAAAACTGTAAAAAGTAAACATTAAGAAAATTGACATTGCTGAAATAAATTAAATTTCTCTGGCAGATCATAATATTGAATTTGAACTTTGTTTGAATAGAGGTAAAAATAACCATTTATCTTGAATGAAACTAGTTTAATTTGCAAATGTATGATAATTTATTGTGATTAACAGTGAACTTCCTAACCAACCTCATTTAAATACGTAGTAAGTAAGTAGAGCAATTAAACGTTAAGAATTAATTGTTTTTACCAATAAAAATAAATCTTTGAAAAAAAAATGCAATTTCATAGAATAATTATAAATAATTCGATGAAATTGGTTTTGATTATTGACAGTCAAGAAAACAAGAAACAATTTAATTACTTCTCTCAAACAGGCATTTCACCCATTATAGAAGCTAGTTTATAACTATTAATTAGCCAATTATTAATGTTTTTTTACTTTGTTTTTACTATTCTTATTTCTTTATGGAATGGAAATAATTATACATTACATACCCTGTCGATTTTCTCTTGTTGTGCGCACATCCTGGCAATGGAACCGATGTTGTTGGTGATGGTTACTAGAGTGGCTTTGGCGAGATCCTCCCTGCTGACTTTGCTCCGTCTGTCGCGCGAATTCATCTGGCCGAAACTACAGCAAGCCGAGAAACTTCATTTTTGGATGGGCAAACAACAACATATAGAAGAGGAAGAGAAAAAAAAGAAGCCACGTTTCAACAACAACAAAAAAGAATAAACAAAAAAATGACGAAACAACGTGCAGATGAAACAATGGGATAGCGTTTGGTAGAGATATGGGGTAATTTTAGTCATAGTGCTTTCTTTGCAATAGCTTTGGGTTAAATTTAACCGATAGTTGACAGTACTAGGGGTTGTGCTAGTGAGCTCTTAGAATTTACCTGCTTGCCACCAGATCTCCGGGCAATCCAAATCTTTCATAGTCGCCTCCATAGATATCTCTAACTAGTTTATCAACGTGCGTGTGGTCTCCTCCAGTGGCCAATTCAATAGCCTCCTCGAAGGAATTACACCCTGTGAGTAGGCAGCACAGACCTAGGAAAGTTCCGCCGCCTATACTAAAAACGCAAAAAGAAACAAACGTTTTAAACGACAGTTTTATGAGTAAAGAGTTGGTCTTACCTTGTGCCTGAAACTCTCTTGTAATTGTTGGGTCCATTTACTGAGAGCACGCTAACACCTGAGCCAATATTTACAATTAGAAACGGATACGGATTTGAGAAATCGTAATTGACTTTAGCGCACCTCGTCTCGTCCGTGGGGTTCGCCCAATAGTAGCACTCATCGGAGTTCTGCGCCTCGATGTAGTGCATGCCCTTGATCAACGAGTCAAACTCGTCGAATTTGGCTAATTTCATATTCACTTCCTAAGAGAAAAAAAAACAGATCAATCAATCAGTAATCGCCAACTAGGTACAAAGATGTTTCATACCCTGATGAAGTTCTCCTCGAACTTGTAAGCTCCTCCACCTGTGGCACATACAGTAGTAACCAAGTTAGCCATGCCCTTCATACGAGCCAGAGCCAAGAAATTTCCCATCTCGCTCGTCGGGAATCTGATAAAATGCAGCGTACCTTTCCTGCCCCTAATGACCACGTTATCCATCTGCAAAGTTACATAATCAAAATAACAACAACGCAGAGATTTGTAGATATAATTATAAATAATATTACAGAATCATCGTTTGGGGACATAAATAAATACATTATGAGAGAGATGAAAAGAAAAAAAGCTAAGCTAATCGCGCGATCGCAAGGCAAAGGTCGCATGTATCTCCTCGCCTACTACTTCAATCTTCACGGACAAGGATTTCGTGCATTTAAAAATAAAATCTGTTTTTACGACGCGCTAAATTCGCTCAGACATTTTCGATGGAGTCCAGCAAAAATGCTCGTTCAAATTTCACACACTTCATTCTTATCGTCTTGCTTGATGTTACTTTTATATTAGCCAGGGTTATCAGGAATTATCGAACCGTTTGTTTTGGAAAAGTTTCATGAAAGTCATTAGTTACGACTCATCAATATAAAAAGTACTTAATAATACCAAGCATTATAATTTTGAAGCTTCTAATGTTCTAATGACATTATATTGTTTATGAAATTTAGTTTATCTATAATTATTATAAATTCATTTACTTAAAATCAATGAACAATTTCAGTTTTAATAATCTCTTCTTAGATACATTTGATTATTTCATTATTTTTACAAATAACATTAATATAGAAAAAAAACTACATGACATTGTCAAAATAGGATATTGACCTAAGGCTTCATTAGAATTACAATAACTAAACACCGTCCTAACTAACGTAAACTCAAAGTCATAACACCGATCTAAAAAAAAAAGATTGAATGTATTACATAATGAAATATTGTATCCAATTTTCTAATTTGATTACCAAAAGTTAAAGAACTGAACACTTGCTGCATTATTGTGAAAAAAGGTTATGACCCAAGGTTTCATTACAATTCCATCTACCCAACTAACGTATTCTAAGGTTATGATTATTTATAAAGTAGTTTAAAAATTTGAAATACTGCAAAGGAAAATACTATTATATTACTTTACAGTTTCATTAGCAGATTAAAAATTTGTAAAAATATATTATATGAATACCGTTTTACCATTTAAATATTACAATCGACACATTTTATATAGGACAATGCTTATGAACAGGAAGTTCATTGTAAAAAGCATGCATAATTTATTAATGCATTAGTATCAATAAAGAAGGTCACTCTGACAACAATATTTTGGAATAGACAAATTTCTAAAAATATGAAAAAAGGTTCGCATTGGTAATTGACAGCAATTTGACTACTGGGAAAGTGATAGGTATTTATAAATTTCCTAGTCTAGACAAATAGTACTCTTGTTTAACTATGGCAATTTGCTACAGGTTGTTGACCAGCTGCGAGCAAACCAAAAAAAATAAAAATAGAAAGTTATTGATATTTATTGTGTTAAGTAAATGAGCTTTAGCTGATTTAATATATTATGAATTTAATTTTATGTATTTTCGAAAACAACATTTTCTATAAACATTTCTTACACACGTGATCGAATCATACGAGTCTTTTCAAATCACATAAACAATTCTCAATGTAATAGCAAGCAGACAATTGAGCAATCGGGAAAATAAAAAGAAAGTGTTAATTTGGTCGCACCGAAATTGGAAAGTAATTGCTGGTCATCTTCATTTTGGAAATACTGAAGTGTAGCATACATTTAAATAAATTAGAAATTCCTTGATTTTCGACGTTGCAGCATGTTTTCTGGCATTTACACGAAACCACACCGCCTTGCGCGACTTCCGACAAGGACGTGCTAGGTGGTGCAACAGCAAAAAATAAAGGACGAATTTCCATCAAGGTCAAGGTTTAGCTCACCTGCAGGTGCGTGTCTCTGTGCCCAGTTTTCCCGTAAGCGGAATTTTTCGTCAGGTATCTCCTTATGTTCTTCAACACCTCGATCTCTGATTCCAGCTCATCCTTGGTCGTATCTTTTGGTTCGAAGTACACCAGTTTGCAGAGGCTTCCGCCTATATCCATCCCGAACCAAGGCATTGCTTCAACAACAGAAAACACAAGTTTAATACAACAAACGTCTCTTGCAACTTCCAAAAAAAAATACATCCAACAAAACTCACTGGAGCGCTCCTCGTTCATGTTTTTCGCAGTGCTTGTATGGGAATACACTTCGGGAAAGCAAACGCGTGTTTTAAATAGTGCCGTTTCATGTAATTACACTTGCTTTTATCAATTTAATATATATATATAAAAATCAACTCTAGGCGTACAGGGGATTAAGACAACCTGTCCTCGTAAACGAAAAAAAAAATAATCGCAATGATTCAGATAACGCGAATCATTTATTTATTAATAGAAAGTGGAAAAGGTGTAATAAAATTCTGTTATCGCTGACTTTTACAAAATAAATTGTTTTTCTAAATGAACAACTGCAATTAAGATTGCGCTCATTTTCGAGAACGTAGTAGAGTAACATCAAATAACGGAATGTCATCTAAAATCGTATTTTATGAATTGATGATTTTGAATGATATCTAAGCGTTTTAAACGAATTCAAATGAATTCTATGCATTGAAAATATAAAAATCGTTTATAAATACGTCCATTATTGCAGAAAACAATTCCAGCTCCGCTGTACTTTGCACTCTGGACATTGAATATTAACTTTTACTTCACATACTTCGGCCAATAATAAGGCGGACTATTAACATTCGATCATGACCATGTAATGGTCATAGTGAAAGCGTTGCTGAAACTTAATGAAATTTTCGAATTACAGTAAAATAAATATGCAAGTTAAGGTATTTTCAGTCTAATAATTTCTTGTTTTGAATTCGCTTTATCCATTAATTACATGAAACGATGACGATGATTTTTTTTTTGTAATAATCTTTCTGTTTGTTCTTGGCACTTGCTGCTTCCTGCTAGTAGGCAATAATAGAATACGTCATAAACAATGTCATTAAAAACGTCTGCAGATATATGCGTTGCGTAATTGAACAAAATCGCTTGATCGTACGATCCTTTGGCGCCAATGATGCTAATTGTTATATGAATCTAACAGTGCTTTAAACACATAATTTTCTTCAAGCAATATATTTGTAAAGAATAACAATCTTTAAGAAATCTAAACACAATTTCTATGTAATGAATTAATTTATCTTTCAATTTTTAACATTTAATTATCATATCATTTCATTTGAACTGAAGTCCATTTTTCATACTTTTGATATCGGAATAACCGACTATATGAAAGAAACATTTATTTTTCAAGCGGAAATTTGTAAAGTGAAAATACACTGTCCGTGGCTTATCGAACGTATAAATCCTAAGAAAATACCTGTTGCCATAGCTTTACCTTCAAACCACAAGTTAAATATTAACATAAGTCAATATTGAACTAAAACATAATTATATATATTTGACGTTTGCAAAGTTCCAACCAATTTATTTAGTATACACAATAATATAATAAACATGTTTTTCAATACTACTAATACAAAATAAATATTACCCATAACAGACTTAACAGAAACGAGTATCGGCCATAATTTCAAAATTATTAAACAACAAAACATTAAGAGAAAAACAAATATTTTTATATTACACAAATCATATAAATTTGTTTATGTATTTATTAATGTCTTTCTTTAAAAACTACTGGTAGTTAAAATATAGTGCTTTTTACCAAATAACTAAAGTCCAAGTACATTTCATGCGACTACGATAATTTTATGCTTATAACTCGTAGAAATTTGTTACATAAGATCGTAAAAATAAGCTATGCGCTTGTAATGAGAAAATTAATTATTCTCTTTTTTTTAATGGCGCAAGCAAATACCCAAGTTCACATTAAAGTATAAAAAAAACGGATGACGACACCGCAAACTGCTGTTGCTTACATATTATAAGAGGGTCATCCACATTTTAGTAAGTTTTACAATAAAAAAAATAATAATAAACAGCAATTTTTATTAAATTAAAAAAAATATAATAATGACGATTTAATTATTATTACACAAACGATCAAATTGCATGAGTCTTGTGTATTAATAAATTTATAAAAAAAAAATGTAATGTAACAAGTACTAATTTATAAAATTACATTAATTTTAGAAAAACTTATTTTATGAAAGCGCTTCTCATACTCAATAATGTAATCTAATATGACTGCGTTAACTTTCCTCAATTTCATATTAGATAGATCAAATTATACTCGTTTTACGAAATAACCTTAAATTGTCATTGAAAACTCACCATAAAACACATTTACTTGTTTCTAACTGAAGTCAGTTATGTATAACAAATAATAAAGTAATAAATATATTAATAATCAATTACCTTCGGTATTGATTAATACAATCACGTAACATCGTCTACGTCTTTGCAATAATTATCTATTAACCAATTATCAAAAATATAAATATTCAATACACTAGAAGATAAATGAATACTGATCAATCTAATTAAGTGTACAAACGAGTGTTAAAAGATACATTTCGTACAAAAATAGTTTCAATCTATTACTTTATCTCTGAAACAATTCTAATCTTGAATCATTTATTCAACTATATCAGTTCTGATTGATAGATACTCATATATTAAAATAGAACAATTGTCCACAGTTTAAACGTAATTTTAAATTCGTAATCGTAAATTACTGTAAAATCATATTTTAAGGCTATAATTTATTTATATATTTTTATTTATTGCTAAAATTTACATCAGTTCAATTATATTTATAGATGATTTTTGTCATTACGAATTCCAACAAACTACAGCCGTTTTTTTTTAAGAATGCATCTTTTCCACACATTACTGAAATAAATTAAACCATGACCGAGTGAAATACAGGTATTTAAATTAAAACTGCTTTTAAATAAAAGAAAAACTTAGTATATAATACATTCTGCGTCAAGGAACATAAATAGATCGAGTACAACCTTCAATGTTCATGATTTTTTTTAGTTTCGTTCGTACATATTTTTTAAAACATTTAATTTACGGACTTTCATATCAAAAAAAATTAGAAAAATCATCTTGGTTACGATATTACGACAATAATTATAACTTATTTAATCAAATGACCGTGATCTTTCTGCCAATAATCATTTTCTTTTCAAATTCAACGAAATAATTTTGTTTGGTTTTCATTTCATAAGTATCAAGAACTCAACCAAGTTATAACTTGAAGCACGGTTTTCACGTCTCAACTTAGTTATTTCAAAAGTTAATAAAAACACGTCCTAATATAGTTACAAGTATCTTTGCAAAGCAATTGAAGCAGACAGTTATTCAATTAGTGTTTTTTAAATGAAATATTTATATTTTTCAAATTATTGTTATATTTCTAAAAAATAAAACTTAATCTAAATGAGGACTTAATAGATGTGTTTCAGAAAGTCTGGTCTCTATGAAAGCTTATATACTTACAAGGGTTGTCGCCCATTAAGCCATTGGTATCGGACCCATTCATGGATACTTCCATCGGTATTTCCTTGTTGCTTTCAGCCATTCTAGCAATACGAGTCCTCAAACAGCCCTTACAAGAGTGCGGCGCCATCGCAAGAATTTACTGAAAATGAAAAGACGTCATTGATTTTCGAAACACCTCAAAGGTGAGAAAACATCGTCAAATTCAAATTTCGAAGAAAGTTCAGTTCAGGTGCTGTTGATTTCAAAAGTTGATGGCTGATGGTCGAGAACTCTCACCTTGAACCTTGTTGTATGTAAATTTTAAATACATAAACAGTAATACTAATGTAGAAAAATTGGAATGAATTTGGAAGCGAGCAGGAAGAAGGCGACCCGACGACTGGCTGAAAACTGTATCGTCGTGCATTGATAAACCGCGACTCCCCGTAATCTCCATCCGCAAATCGGCTGTTCGCACGATAAAATCGCATGGAATTACATAAGTACAAACGTGCCGCGAACCTAACCTAGGAAAGGGTTTACTACGGATGCAGGATGCTGATACTGCTGCAGTATCATCCACTGCGTATTTACGCCAATTACCTCCGTCCATGTTCTCGAAGGGCTTCGCATTCAGGAGGTGAAACTTCAGGCTTTCTCTGCGTCGGTGCACACCATCAACAACACCCGAAATACCACGCTTTATCCTCCTCCTTGATACTCTTCGACGTCGCAGAAACCAGCTAATGACAGGATCCGGACTTTTAAATAATGACCATCGAAACGAAGAACGACTGATGGAAAAACAACGATGTCTAGATACGCCAACCAATAGCGAACGTCTGTCACCGATGGCAAGACCCAGTACCAACCAATCAAACCCAACAGCTCAATTAAGAACTGCTCTAATTGCGTTACGTACCAATTAAACGCAACTTGTTTACCAACGATCGCCAGACCACTCATCAACATTGAATTATCTTTTCCAGTTTACGTAACGCATTTGCTTGTAGCACCAACAAGATCGTATGCAACCAACAGGCCATTCCAGACCAAACAGAAATCAACAATCCAATAATTATTTATTTACGTATAAAAAATATCGATATAATTTTATAAGGCTGGTAAAGGCGTTGTATCCAAATCGTCTGGTACATTAGGCAAATCTAATTCCTTGAACTGTTCCTCCAAATCCTTCATTTTCAAATCCGGTTTCCTTGGGGTTGTATTCGTAGCGTTATCTTCATCATTATCCACTTCGCTGCTCATCAGCAGCTCCAATTCTTTCTCCAAATCGCCATCACTATCATTGAGAGATTTCCCTAAAGTCTCTTGGATATCGTTGTGAATATCAAGTACCTATAAATTATACCCAAATAAAAACAACGCCAATTCAAAAATATATAATGAAAGTACCTCTCCAATTTCAATCATGGTATCTGTAACAGAATCTTCTGTCAATTTGTTCTCTTTGAAGTTATTTCTGATTGAAGTTAGTGCATTCTTGTATGTATCAAACACCACAGCATCATGTTTAGAATCTTCCAAACGTGATAGCATGGTTTGCACATTGTAAAGAGCACTACTTTTAGTCTCAATCCTTTTCTCCAAATCATGCTTCTTCCTCAAGCTAGTTTTAGCCTAAAAAAAAACAACATCAATTTATACAATAGAAAAGTATAAAACACAAACCATTTGCCTGTGGTTTTTGGCCAAGTAAGCTTTAGCATCCTTAATGGCATTATTCATTTCACCCTCCAAGGATTCAATATTCTTCAGTAAAATCTTCTCTGTTTCTCCCAGCATGTATATGTCAACTTCACAATCACTGATCTCTTTCTCTTTAGGATTAGTGGAGAACTTGACTAGTGTTATTAAATTATTATTCTTATTGATCTTCCTCATCATCAGTTGATTGGTATTCTGAAGGTGGCTCAGGAGCAAGTCAAAACTTTCAGTGCAGTTTCCAGATGGTACAAGTTTCTTAAGCTCAGTGATTTCTATCACCTTATTCTTTATATCATCTGGTATTGAGGTTACATAAAGTTTTGCATTGTGTTTGAGTGCCTCTATATGCACTAAAGTCATATCACTCAAGTTAATTGTGGTTAGTGTGCTTTTCAGCTTATTAAAAGACCATGAAATTGGTTTCTTCACAAAAAAGTCTGCCACCCACATACCCCAACCCTGCTCTTTATTATTAACAAAATTCTCTATAGGTATTAAATCTTGGCTTTTGAGAAGCTCTTCAAATACTATATGTAGACACATAGGGTACCTTCCCTGATGTGTGAAGGATTTCTGCATTTCGTCCAGCTGAAGCTTGTAAATGCTATTATGAGTGCAAAATACATAAATAGACTGTTTCCAGAAGGACAACTTCGTGTCCCAATCTTTCGCATTCACATGGCGATTTCTGAACGGCGCGAACAGAACGTTAAGTCTATCCTCGTCCTTCCAATATTCTGGAAGTTTATCCAAAGGCAAGCTTACTGTTTCCGGCATATCGATGAACTTGTATCTACAAAACTTAACTGTTAACTATTAATAACTACTTTTCTATTTACATCTGTCAAACTGACAGCAAATGCAACATATATGAACTGACAATAAGCAGTGATCAGTGATGAGCAGATGCAACTGTTTGTACAACTTGAAAAGATTGCAAATTTTGATAATATGCATATTTTTTCTCAGGTTTTAATTGTAATTATTATTTTATAGTATCTTTTCATCAATTACCATAGATAAATGGAGTATATAGGGCATTTCTAAAAGTTATGTATCTTTAGTTGCCTATATCATATATATGTAATTTAATACAGCTAGTAATAGGGCCATAATCATATGTATGTTTAAAAAAATATTTGTATCATAACTAGAGTGTTATGATATTATTATACTAATTCATATTATCGACTACAATTTTTATGGAATTCTTTGAATCCACTTATAGTTTTTGACATAAATCTTTTATAAATTAAAAAATTTAAATCACCTTTGTCATCAGCTTCCATAAATACTACATTTTCAAGATTATATTAAATTATATTTGTTACAACATATCTTAATACACATATAAATTTTGTCTCATCTACGATATTCAAAAATGCTTTTTCTTATTAATATCTGAAATGGAATACTTCTGAGAATAGTGGAACTTAATCATGATATAAATAATGATGCAACATGGAAATAATCTATTATAATTACTTCAAATGTTTTATAGGTGGCGCCACCATTAGCTCTCACCGTTTTGGTAACTCATAAGAGACGTAGAAGATGTCTGAGTAAAACATTATTTGATTAAGATCATACTTCACAGGATCATTTCTGTAGTGTATCTTCACAACACATATCACAAATGTGACATGTATACAAACCACGATGACGAGTCGTAGTTCTGCTATCTGAGCGTGAGGCAGAAGCTCTGGATTCTTATGAATTTGGATCTTCATCGATGACCGTTCGCTTTGTTTCTTTCGAAGTTTAGTGAAGGATAGTGGAGCATTCTGAGTGGCTTTTTTAAATAAATCAAATATAATTATTTATAATAATGGAAGGAATTGATACTTATTTAGTTTTATTCATTTGCTTTTTAATGCTTTAATAGAAATAAGTTTAATTTTGTAAATGTTAAGCTTAATTGAAATACGAGATTGATCACATAATTTCAAACAAATAGAGATTGAACAAAAGGCGTTAATTATTAGCACTTGTAAAAATTATTTTATTGGTTTACTTTCGCATCATTTCTTCTTTGAATCATATATTATCATACAATAAATACTAACATATGTGAAAAGTTGTTTAAGAATAGAGAGGAATAAAATTAAACAACACGAAGGGACGAAAAAGTATTTCGAAAATAGCTTTCCTATAGCTTACTACAATAATATCAATTAGTTCAATTCGAAAGAAAGAGAAATAGTAAAAAAAAAACGACCACCAAACGAATATATATAAAACGTGAACAAAAATGGGTTTCAACAAATACACAAAATATATCGAAAAAGAAACACGTAAACTAGGAATGTGCATATAAGGGTGTTGTTGTTTGTAAATCTTTATCTTTTGTTTACTTAATAAAAAATTAGCTACATAAATATCATCATATATTTACAAATTACTTCAATATTGTATCATAGTTACATACTGCACTTGTTCGTTATAGTTCAACTCTCAAAAAGAATAAAAAAAATAACTAGAAAAAAAAAACATGATCGTTAAAACTAAACATAGTTTGCATTATAAAAAACTGTACACAGCTTAAGAGTTTGAAAAATCTAAACGTGTGTTGATATTAATTCATCATCATCAATATTATTATTAAATTCTAGGCAACAATGGTGTTTTCATTAATTATTTGTTTTTTTTATCTTTCATTCCTTCTTCACTTACGTAAGGACCATATATTTTTTTTTGAGAACTTTCCCTATGTAATTGTAATTCATTATTTGTTTGAGGTGATTCGAAGCGCTAAAATCAAAAAATTTGTAACCCTTTTAAAAAATCCTATCTATTATATTTATATATAAATATATTTATAGAAAAATGGAAACGGTTCACTAATCATTATCATATTGCCTATCGTTACTGACAAGAACAATTGTCGAACGAACGAACAAAACGAAAAGAATCATCCGAAATGGTTCTCGCAACTTCTTTTTTAAGTTTCTCCTATTATTATTATTAATTTTTTTTTCTTCCCTTAATACTGTCGACATTCGCGCCGTAATAATAGTATAAACATTTGTTAATTACAAGGCCTGCTGCGTGGAATATAGTAGTGATCTGTCGTCTACATGTTTTTCTCTTTTCTTCTATAATTCTTTTATTTCTAATTTCTTAAAAAAATGAAACGAAAATAATAATTAAAAAAAAATATTAATAAACCACCCTTTTTGCGTAATTACTTTCTTCCCAAACATACAAAATACGTAATATAATCGTAATTATAAACTAAATAAAATCTCCACACACACAAAATCCAGTTGTGTAAGCTATAGCACTCAAAAAAAATTAATAAAACGAGTAAAAAAAAATTTGATTAATAAGAAGAGAAATTATATACGAAATATAATATGTACAATAAAATAATTAAATTTCCTGACCTAATAGTTCCGCGAGAATGGGAATTCGCTTGTAGTTTCGTAATATTATTTTTCCGTCCTCCTTACACAATAATATAATCAGTAGTATATGCACCAAAAAAAACACGCCTATAACTTCTTCATCTTTTTTTTAATATATAATATATATCCAAAATACTTTTAACGTAAAAAAATTGAAATAAAAGTTCCTGCTCTTTCGAGTTGCTCAATTAGTTAATAGCATCCTGCTCAGTATCATTATTACACGCAAGTTCGTTTCGGCGAACGAAGTAACAAAATGTACAAAACGAAATGGTGGATTATTCTATAAACATTATACAATATAAATGATAGTTATATTTATTTTTTTTGTTTTTCGATGAAATCGAAGTAGCGCAATTTGCTTTCCTTCTGTCGATCTATGTTATTATTATTATAATTTTTTTTTAGTATTACAAATGTAGAAAATCGGCGGATCGTTTTAACGAAAAGGAGCGAGCAAATTGACTCATCTTCGGTCTCGGGTGCATCAGAGAACATCAGATTCGAACGAAATCTTGTGATCGACATAAAGCAAAAATTCTATAGATGCGTGTGTGTATACGTAAATATAATTAAACTATTGCGAGCTTGAATATTATAATAATGAGCAAAAAAATATATATTTATAATGTACACTGCGCACTCGCACTTCATTGAACGGGGAGGATCTATCACTGTTGTTGGTTGTATTTTTTTTTGTTTGTTTTGTTTAAATGTTTAATTTCCTGTTAAAAAATATATATAATGTCTTTCCGAAATGACTGATTCAAATTATTATTATTAGTTTTAACAATGTCTTGATTGGTTTTGTCTATTTTTTGTTTTCGTAATTCCTTCTTCCTGTGTTTGCTTTGTTTTGTTTATATAGTTTACTTTAATAATCGTCTAAATCGAAATCATCATCATTCTCTAATTCGTCTAACTGCATACTTTGGAAGTCCACCTTGTACCGTAGCAAACCTAAAAAACAATTTTCACATTAGCACTATCGACATTGAATCATTAATGGAACATTTAAAAAGAGATATTTACAGTAATAAATAATTGGATGGTTAATTTGTTTAAATTGAGGAAACATTTTATCATATGTTACACAACATATTCTAGTATTAAACAATGTAATATGTATGCTCTTTAACTTACATGCACATACAGTGGGTTTAGCAATAAGTAATATATAGCAAGAATTTTCAACTTTCAAACGTAGAATAAAGCCTAAAGCTACTAACTAAAATAAATTTCCATTTGAAGATTCCAAACATCTGATTTCTGCCAATTGATATGAAATATTACTCTATATTACATATTGAAAACACAAATTCACACATATAGTAAATTATTGATAAATTTGCGTAATAATAATTAAGCCAAAGTAATTGGTTTGAACATGCATACATCGACCCAAAACGGTTTACATCAATCAATAAATTTGGAATTTCCAAGAATCAAATAAAAGCTACTTGAAAATCAAAGAAAACTACAACAAAAATAAAAAGAATAGATCAAACTTAAAAGCATCACCAATGGTTTCTTTGTTAATATACCTGATAGTAGATATTTTTTGGGTTAATTTTTTGTTTTGTATTAGTGACAAATGTTAGTGTTTAGTAATCATTGAGATCGACGTCGTCCAGTGGTTCGTCAGCCTGAAGCGACTGAAAATCTACTTTGTATCTTAAGATACCTGTCCAGACGATGAGGGGGAAGGCAGCATGTCAATGGTTCGATAAATTTAGATTAGTAACACAGTCGATACGTTTCGTTAGTTTTCATTATTTTGATGGAAGACGGAGCAAGGACGTGTGATATAATGAATCAATGAGAAATGAGTATTATGTAAAAAGTATTGATAACTGACCTCCGATACCGCCAAAACCTCTGACGAACTGCGAGCCCTCCTGTGATTTGTCGGTAATTATTTCTAAAGTAGCACCAAAGTTCTTGTAGTTGTTCGCCAACCACTCGAGGAGCGGCTGACATTCCACCAATTCCAATTCAACTCCGCTCTAGAAGAAAGAAGAAAATAACAATTAAGTGATGAACTTTAGATCAATTTACCAAAAACGTACCTCTTTGTCAGTGAAATGTGACTTATCCTTTTCCTGTTCGGGCGTCAAATGTAATACCGTTTCCGTGCTCATAGTGCTCGACGTGTGATTCTTCAAAACGTATCGTTGAATGTCCAAATTCTCCCAGCAAATTAGTGTCTCCACCGATCCGAGCTCCAAGCCCTTCAATGTATCTTCAACTCCGAAACAGTATTTACCGGTATCCTGGCTAATCTCATCGAAGTATCTGCCGATCAATTTCTTCTCCTGGATGAACTTCACGTTCTGCAATGACTCAGCTGCCAATTCGATAGCTTGATTGAAACCGTTTTCACCTCCATACGACACATCCACCAATTTAATTACTTTAGCTTGTAGCCTCTAGAAATGGAAAAAATAATAAAAATCAATAACATTAACTTATTCCTAAAGAAATATGACTAAAAAAAATTAGTTTAGAGAAACTTACAGGATCGAACATATCAGATTGACTAAGTTCAGTCTTAAAATCTGCACTACCGGCAAGAATGAGACCGGCAATATTTGGTTTATCACTAGAGATGAAAAGCTGGGTAGCAACTTCAGCCACCTTCCTGACGTAATTGTGCCGCTTTTCCATACGAAGACGGGCGAAACGTAGCGCAGACTGACCTCCTCTGCCGTGCTTCTTCGGCAGATCGACGGTGAATTTGTGCAGAACTTCGCGTGTGTTTCCCTGCAGTGTACCAAAAAGGGCTCCATTACCGTCCATGACAATGAATCCGAATTTATTGTCGTCGGCGAGAAGGGCGGTCAGGGCCTCAGTGTGGAATTTATTGTCGCACAAGTAGAGAGAGGTATTTATCGGTTTGAACGGTTCGAAATCAATGTTGACCTTCTTTTCTTTGCCTTCATCGGTTACGATCGTACCACAGTAGATGACCAAACCGTTCGGCGGCACTGGAAACAATAACACACTAAGTTAGATACAATTTTTGAGGGGCATCAGGTGTGCATACAATACCTTTGGTGTACAGTTTCAGACGGTGCTGCACAGACGTGATTGCTCCAAGTACAGAGAGCCTATTTACTCTAGATTTAATATTAGAAGCAGTACCAAATTCATCAGCCAACATTTTGCTGACTCGAGAGATTTGATCCTTGGGCGGAATAATTAAGGAAATCATACTTGTGCCATTTCTATTGGAAACAAAAACATATTGTATATAAGCCACATGTATCAAATGCAATTACAAACTACATATAAGGAAAATGAATTGACAAATGCTATACTCAAACAATGAAAAAGACAATGTGCTCATGGAAAATTTGAAATATTTATGGAAGTCCATCAGAGCAGGCTGGACTGTCAAACAATCATTTAAATTGTCTACATTATGACAATTCAAGGAATTTATGGTTAAAACAGCTCTTTGTTAGGGAATGATATGGAATAATGTGATCAGCCACATTGTACCATGGTTCCAGGATGTTTTAACTGTGGGAGAGCTACATTGACGACTACGAATTTTTTTTTGTCGGCCTGCCGAAATTATATAAGTATCTTATTAAAAATGCGGTCGCATATCAAATAAAGTTTAATTGAGAAGCGAATGCCTCGCTTTTCAGTTTCAAAGGAATTTGCCCATCCGTATGGGAGACAGGACGAAAAATGGGTGATTTTTTTCTGTTAATTTCAATGCGGTGCAATAGACTTACCCTCTGGCCAGTTCCAAGCTCTTGATGAGCTTCTTGATCTTCCATATTTCCACATTGCGATCGGCTGAAGTTTCCTCGTTTGACATGGTTTTAACAATAGTTCTTTTACTTCTCTCCTTAAAAGCAACACAGACAGTCAGTAGCAGCAAGAAACGTGTGGCCCGTGGCAAAATGGCGCGGTTCTCAGCAACGTTGCCATATTACTTTTTGAACACCTTGCCTTTCGAATTGTTGAATTTTCCCATATCTAAATTAACCAGAAGCATACACGCATAGCTTATAATCAATTTTATGGTATATTTGTAGATAATTCAACAAGCATAATCATTACGCAATATAAGTTCATTTTTAAATAAGTCATGACATACGCAACTTTGGTTGCAAACAATTAACCAAATAATAACCTCTCCAACGGTTGCCTATAAATATTGAAATACAAGTTGCCTATACCTCTACCTGTCAAAATCATCAATGTCAGTTTACTAAGAAAAACTTTTGTATCAGTTTTTAGAACACGCTGTCTACGCTTTTTTAAAAATAATGTAATCACCTTATGACCCATTCACTGTTTCCTTGTGAAAAAATATAGAACATATTGGCAGCATGGATTACTTCAGGAAAAATAAGAAAATCATTTTGGAAATATCATCATTCCTCACATTATTGACTGGGTAATAAACTTTGAAAAACAACTTAAAACAGTATTAACAAAACTAGTTTATTCTGTTCATAGATCTATGTGGATTGTGAGAAAGATCAAAGTGACAAAGCATGTGTTAAACAGTGCTTTTGATCCTTCTATTATTGAAATTTATGAACCACATCAAGAAGAAATACCACAACCACAGCCATATTATGTGACCAGTTGGATGAATGCCACCTATGAGGAGTCCAAAAGTTTCCTGACTAAAACAAAAAACTTTATCAAATTTATGTTTGCAAGAAGATTGCTGAACATTGCTCAGGGTGATAATAAGGTATTGAGAATGAGAGCAATAGAGAGATTGGCTCAAATGGAATTGCAGAATTGGCAGCATTCCTTGATTGCCCACATGTGCAATGCTAAAACTGCTGTTGCTTTAGCAAGGACTAGTGGAACCAATGAGAATTTTTTTTTGCCAAGCCCAAGGAAATTTTCTAAATACTCCAATAAAATGTTGTTGCATAGTTTGAAGGATTATATGATTGGTTTGGACTATGATCATTCCCATGATTGTGTTAAGAAGACTATATCTAAGGTTTTTGTGGATGCCAATGTAAGTTAAATGAATCAAATGATGTTATTTTATAATGATTTATTAAGGACATAAGCAGGATCATTGACAATGAGCATGGATCTGAGGACCTTTCTGTTATGAATAGCTACTCTGAGCAGCAAATTCCAATATGCTTAGAAACTATTAGGCATCATTCAATTTTTGATGACAATTGCTATGACATAGTAGACAACAATGGTTTGTACATTTTGATGGAGATATATAATCGTTTTGATGCCAATATAAAGGTATGCATTCCATTGTGCAATATATTGGCAAATATTTCTTCTAGACCTGATATAGTTGAGGAATTGCATAGAAGCGGTAAGTTTATGTTCACGTTCATCATTATTGATTAAAATTATTATAAATTTAGGTTGGATTAGGGTGTTATCGAAGTGGATTAATCATCAGGATATTCGATTATCTGGACCAGCGGGTCAGGCTTTAGCCAACCTTGACAGAGATGCTATGGTAGAGAGATTCTCATCAAATTTGTACCTGCTTCATCCTAGTAACAGGTGCGCGGAGAAAGCTCTGGTTGATGTGGTTTTCGTGCACGGTCTATTGGGCAATGTTTTTTATACTTGGCGTAATAATACCAATCCCGATATGCCTATTAACCTCATCGGTAAGCCAGCTGGGAGAAAAGGTGAGGGCTATACCTATCACCCAAATCCGTTTCCTTTCCTCCTGAAGTGTTATCCTCTTTGATTTTAATAATTATTAACAACATTTTGAATAGAAAGTATTGGCTTAGATAACAGTCACACGTGCAGTACTGTGAAGAAGACGAGCGATCCTACCACTCAGGAGTATATTGACGAAGTAGAACAGCAACTCAAATTGGAGTGGGATGCGCTTGGTCGGGACTTTGAATTCGTTTACTACGATATTCCGGAACAATCAAACGAGGAAGCCACTGGGCCATATTCATCTCCAATCGACAATAAATATTCTGAAGAACCTACTCAATGTTGGGCCAAGGATTGGCTTCCAAATGATTGTAGTCATTTGAGAGTTTTAGGTGTGAACTATGATACTACTCTATCCGTGTGGGCTCAGATGTGTCCGGATTTGAATATGAATAATACATTGGATTTACGTAGCCACGAACTCATCGATGATTTGGTTGCTGCAGGCGTTGGTAAAAGACCTGTCATCTGGGTCACTCATTCTATGGGTGGACTACTAGTCAAAAACATTTTATCTATAGGTAAACAACATTGAAACTTATAAAAATGTTCCACATTAATTCAATTTACAATTTAGTTATGCAGAGCGACAATGAGCAAATGAAGAATCTGTGTTTGAACACAAAAGAAATTTTCTTTTACAGCACTCCGCATTGCGGTTCGAAAACAGCGAGCTTCAATCAACCAACAACTTTAATTGTTTGGCCATCAATTGAAGTGCAGGAATTGCGAGAAGGTTCTCCTAGTTTGACAAGAATCCATAAAAACTTCATGGATATTCTGAATCACGTGCCTATAAAAGTAATAAGTTTTGTGGAGAATAGACCGACCATGGTTTCAGCCTTTAAATGGAACTTTAATCCAGTTGAACCGGCATCCGCGAATCCAGGTGTTGGAGAATATTACGAAGTTCCGCAAAACCATTTGGGCATATGCAAACCAACGAATCGGTATGACGAGTTGCTTTAATTATTTTGTTTGATATTTTATATATTATAATTTACAGTTACTCGTTTCTATATCAGAAAGTTTTGAAGGAGGTCAAAGAAGTCGTAAAGAGTGTCATGGAGGAATCCAAATTTAAATTTTAAACAGTTTTCAATTTTCAAAATTTCGCGCGCATGCATGTTTGTATAAAGTAGTTTTTGTTTCTCATTGGTTATGTTTACATCATTGAACGTCAAACGTCAGCACATAGGTTAATTCGCTATTAAAATGGTAAGTCTTATTAGTGCAATTGATTAAACTATTTAAATTTACTAATTATATGGTTTAATTGTAGGATATAAGTTCGTTTTCTGATGAGAATTTCGATACAAAAGGATGGATCAACAAAATTTTATCAGCTCCAGTAGCACAGGAGAAAGAAGAGGTTAGTAATTTAGTAATTTTCTATTGAGATATATTATTTCAAATGATTTTAGAATCATTTAATGTTTCTGGTTATGAAATTGCAACTGTATGTGCAAGAGATCAATAATGCATTGGAGGAAACAAGTCAACAAGTGTTGACTTTGATGCCAAAGATTGCCAGAGATACCAAAAACTTGCAGCTGGAGGCTGTAACATTGAAGGAGAAAATGGTGACAGTGCATAGGGAAATTGTTAAAATTGAGGAGGATACAGGCAATTCCATGAGTAGCATTGAGAAATTGGATAGCATCAAGGAAAAGTTGCTGGAAGCAAAGCAAGGGTTGCATGAGAGTGACAATTGGATGGTTCTAGGTATATTCTCTATCTACAATTTATTTGATGTGTTGTGGTATAATGTAGTTACTAAGCTTTGCTCTTAAGTAGTTATTCTGATGATTTAATATCACATTTTCATATTGCAGCTTGTTGGCACGCCTTATTTCGTTGAGAAGTAGAGACTTCAAGCAATCAGTGCTATGTTCAAGTTGTTCATTTAAGTTATCTTCCTGTTCCATACATTTCCTATGCAGCAGATGCACTAATTTATCATGCGCCAATTTGATTGTGTCTTTCTCGAATCTTACTTTGCTAACCCTCCGCTCCTTCCGCTGTTTCATTTTCATATACTTGTCACATATCATGTGCAGGTTACGTTGCAAATCCTCAATTCGACCCTTCACAGCTTTAAGTTCGGAGTTCATTTGCTCGTTCTCTTTGTAACATTTACGAACTTCTCTGACTTTAGCTTCTAAGAGCTTCAGTAAACCCTCGTGACTAGACAATAGTTCTTCATATTTGTATTGAAGATGTACCATGCTCACTGTTGAGTAGGAAGGGCTTACGTCTATTTGCGATCTGGACACTGACAGTTCGTGATTGCTGTATTGCTGTTGTAAAACATTGAGCAATTGTTTGTTCTGCTTTTTAGCTTCATCCATTTGCGCCGTTTCGTTGGACCTCTGCGACTCCTGCAAAGTCACTTCGAGACTCTTAACTAACGAATTCATTTTGGCTATATTCTCTTTGAACATCTGCTTCTCTCGTTTCTTCTCGGACTTCAATACTGCTTTCTGCTGTTTGTGAGTCAGATTTGCTTCGCTTTGGCTACGCTGCACCATGGTTGAATTGGAAAAATCGATTTTTACTAGACTCCTGACATTTGATTTGTTTGTTTGTGTTGACAGTTAATGATTTGGAGGAGGTGTTTGATTCGAAAAACGTCGAAGCCATCTCCGCTAAATTGCTGAGCATGCAGCAGTCACTGAAATTGCTAATCAACGTCGGGGATTACGAGGAGAGGAAACTTCAATTGGATGGGTTAAAGAATCGTTTGGAAGCGATTGTTAGTCCGGCTATTGTCCTGGCTTTCACCACCAACCAGAGCGAGCAAGCAGCCTTCTACGCAAATATATTTGATTCTATAGGTCGCACTGGTCAGTTACTCAAGTACTACCATAAATGCCAGAAAGATGTGCTCTTGAAGAAATGGAGGAATCAATTGGAACTTGAACAAGACGAAGGCGCTGTTCAGTGGATTCATAATTATTTCGACATATTGATTTCCAATTGGCATAACCAATACAAATGGTTCAACAAAGTATTCCCAAATGAGTCTGCAGCGGAGACCCTGATCGACATTTACGTTGATGTACTGGTCGATATGGAACCTAGTTTCAAAGAGTGCATGGATACTGCGCTTAAGGAAATCAGCGATAAATTGCAGTTCCTGCAAGAGATCAAAGACGTGATTAAGCAATTTGCCAATAATATATTGAACATCATTCAAAACTTAGTTAATCCAGATAAATACTTTCCTCTTATGAAAGCAATCTACTCGCCTTTAGTAATTTACTTTAGCAAGTACAGTAGTTACGAAAGCGCCCACTTGACTGAAAAGTTAACAGCCATGAGTTGCATGAAAGAGGAGCTATCCGAAACAATTCAAGCTTTAGGTCTATCCATTCCTGCTCTTATAGATCTAGCTGTTGAAGCAAAGAAGAGATGCAGAGAGATAACCGAGGATTGTGGACATTGCGGTTTGCTCGTCGCATTGCGATCATTCTTTGTTGGATATGCGAATCAATTCCGTGTTGCACTGAGGCAAATCGACAGAAGCAAAGGAAAACACGAAGATTGGAACACCTTTCAGCTGTGCTTATCACTCTTGCAGAATGCTGGAGAAGTCTTGAATAATTTACAGATTTACGAAAAAGACTTGACCAAAGATATCATTGATTTGAATCGTGGGGATATGGAGTTTAAAAATTTGTTATTGGATGAAGAGCAAAGGAAGGAATTTGAGTCTTTGGTAAAATGCGTTACGGAGGGAACGCAGCTCTCGCTATTGGATCACATTGTTGGAGAATTCACTAAGTTGTGTTCGGATATCCATCACACTACATATCAAGTTGTTTCTGCTCCGATTTTTGTACAATTAGATGTAGTACAAAATGGTAAGATTTGGAACCAGTTTACGGACTCTTCATTGAGTGATCTACCAGAATACAGCTTATCGCCGCAAGAATACATAACGCAAGTAAGTTGATTTACTTTTTCCTAATTTATTTATTTCGAATGAAACATTTTAGATTGGTCAATATTTGATGACATTGCCGCAACATTTGGAACCATTCTTGTTCAGGGAAAATCCATCTTTGAATTGCGCTTTAAAAGCTGCCGATGCGGAGTATAGCAACAGTGATGAAGAGGGTGAAGGTGCTATGGCCAATATTTTCTTAAGCATCGTGGCAAGGGGAACATGTCAAGGTTATAGTGATCGCATTTTAAGTATTTTTGAGTTGAATCAACCGGCAAGTCGACAGTTGGCTCATGATATAAGTATGTTAATATTAATACCCAATATTGAAATCTGGTATAATGAAACCCCTTAATTTCAGACTATTTAGGAAACGTTTTAGAAGATTTGAATCTTTTATTAACTGAGAACCTTAATCAACTAATGGCTTTGCTAAGACTACCTTCGGATCAATACCAGTCCCAAAGCACTGGATACTCGGCTAGATATGTCGCAGCTGTAAGACAGATGAGGCACATTACATCATCAGGATAGGATACTATTGAAGGAGTAAAGTTTGTAAATATAAAATATATTATTATTACTACTACTACTACTCAGGTGCCCATAATTTGAACGTCCTGTCATATGAACTAGAAGCTATATACATGTTATTCGGTGATATGTCAATGCTCATCACTTTTCCATCGTGTCCCGAAAGTGTTTTCAATGGTTGCCACGTCCGGTTTGTCCATATTTTGATTGTGTTATCATAAGAACCTGTTATCAAATAATCTCCGCAATCTTTCTGATATTTTACATCTGAAATAAGATTTGTGTGCGCTGGTATCGTGTAAAGAATATTCCTTTTCCTCAGATCCCAAATCTTTACGGTATTGTCAACACTGGACGTAGCCACATGATAACCGTTGGGCGAGAAATCAATTCCATATATAGATTTCAAATGGCCTTCCATAAACATAATACAACGTCCAGTCCTCAAATCCCATACTCTTCCAAACGAATCTAATCCTCTGAAAATACATGGAATATTATATATTGATAATTTAAACCATATTAAGAATGCATACCCAGTAGCACAAACTGAACCATCGTTTTGGAAACTTATACAATGCACAGGTTTACCATGCCCTTCCTGATGCAAAACTTCTGCGCACTGTTGCAAATCCCACAACCTCCATGAGCTATCATAACAGCAAGTTCCCAAAAATCGACCAGAAGGATGAAAAGCTATCCTTGATACTCGATGAGGCATATGGCCTTCAATATCGGCAATTGGTTCATCACTGAAAAGAAAAATTAATCTTTCGAAACAACTAAAATTATAAATTCAAAACCTTTTGAAATCCCACAGTTTAACAGAACCGTCAGCAGCGCATGATGCCATATTGCATATAGATTTATCTTGCGTTAGCGTTGCCTGTGGGTGGAAAATGATTGCTCCTATTTGATGGGTATGTCCTTTCAGTGTTTGCTTCAATTCGCAATTGGGTACACTCCAAATTTTGCATAAACCGGTCCTAAAAAGATTTATTTAGTATATTTTTATTTACTTATTTTTTGATTTAAGTGACATACCAAGAACCAGTTGCTAAAAGTTCAGAATTAGGACTGAATTGGCAAAATGAAATTGGTCTGGTGTCTCCTACTTGACTGCTGTATATCGATAGAACCTGCAATCGTTTCTGTATCTCCTGTGTTTTAGCTGTCCTCGTAGCTGAGGGTAAATCAGCTAAACTCCTCGCTTCTTCCAATCTTTCCTTTGCCCTAGGCAATGAATACTCCGCAATCCATAGCCTCGCCGTCTTTAAACTGTCGGGACCTTCGTGATACCAAGTGGATTCTTGGTTGTAGCTCATCTGTTTCTTCTCTTCCTCCACTTCTTTCCTAATAATCGCATCTTCTCCGATGCATGACAGTATATCCCTTAAACGAGATCTCCTCTCGGCTGGACCTTCTCCAAAAATGCAAATAGGTTCTCCTAATTGCCTCAAGTTACGTTTCACCTCGGCGTCATCAGTGGAGACATTAATCGACCTAGCCTTCTTCCGCCTCTCGAACTCCTCCATAAGTGCTTGTTTGTCTTTGGATATTGCATCTTCCAATTCCATATATTCTAAAAATACAAAAAATATATATAATTTGCATATATATTATTTAAATACTATAATTAACAATCATAAATTATCAAATAATTCCCCATTTTTCTAGTTCTATGAGCATATTATAAAATTTAATCATAAAATAAGTACAAATTCTTAATGCATATTATTTGATTTTTCATAATTAATATACTTAACTAATGACTCTGAGAAGTTCATTTTATATAATATGTCAATGGTTTTTTTTTGGAACTTTACTTTTAGTGTGTTCCAATTTACTTAAAGTCTTTCATTAACCATTTATAAACTAAATAATTCTGAATATAAACCTCCAAAAATGTATATTAATATTAAAATACATTTATTTACTACTTAATTTCCCTGGAACATATAAGCTTAATAAACAAACTATTTTTCTTTAAGAAATAGTTAAGTTTAACTTCATATGTATGTAGATTGAAATATAATTCTGAGTGAATGTATTAATTTTACTCTAGCTAAAGAGCTGCAAACTATAAATATTATTCTTTGTGTATTTAAATGTTATTGGATCAACAGTAGCAACAGGTAAGCACAGTATTATAATACTTATCCCATCTAAAAAGTATATGTTGCTTAACTTTTAGACACTGTCTACCATCAAATACAATATAATATTGAATTAACTTCTTTGAAAAAGGTCTACAATTACCATTTGATGTGTTAACTTGTGGGGCTTGCTGTGTTTGTGCGGGGCTCGGAACATCTTGGCTGCTTTCCGCGCTGCTTGATTCCAGAGTAGCCAGACGGGCCTTCTCAGACTCCTGCAGGGATCCATAGTGGATGATCTTCTGCTTCTTCACGTAACTCACTTCTTCCTCATCAGACATAGTATTTCGATTACAATTAACCACAAATAACCCAAACTGACCCAAACCAAACGTTTTAAATAGGTTATGTTCTCTTTGTTGTTATTCCACTTGCAGATTGGCAACACTGATTCCTTGCAATGAATGTTTACGTTTACTTATCATAAAATACTATATAGTATTAGGATCATGTTGTTTACCATTCTGGAAACATTAAAAACTGTTAACAGTAAGCCAACGCAGACATTTAAATTATGTTGGTTGCATTTGTCAAGTTGGAGATAATTAGAAACTATTGTATTATGAGGTTTGTAATAATAGTTGGTACTGCTGCAAAGCAGTATTGATTTAAAAATTAAATAATAGCCAATTACTAAAAAATGTCCTTACTATTTAAATCAATAAGTATATAATTTGTATTTGTTGATGTGTGTAATTAATTAGCAACATTTATATATTGTCAAAGTAACAATTATTTGTTTTTATTGCTCAATTACATCTTTATTTGTAATAGATAAGATGTTCTTATTTTGAAACAAATAAACTTTTAATCATAATTTCTTTATATATCCAATTAACTCGCGATTCCTATATATAATCATTCTTTAAATAGTTAATATGAAAGTAGCAATAGTTTTATTTTCAGATGAATTGCCAACCTGACGGCAGTGAATCCAATAAGTTTATTATTATTTTGTTTGCGTGTGTATGTCGCTCTTTTTTTTTTCTCTTCGCCCTCGTCTCCGTCCGTAACGCGATTTCGTCCGTCTTCGTCGTTTGTTGTTTGTTTTCGTTACGTCCGCTGTGTTGTTATTTATTTTTTGGTATTGTTTCCTTCTGTTGTTTTGCTCCTTTTTCGATCGTAACATTGCTTCTCGACCGATACTTCTGTTGTTGAAGCGTCGGCGAAAACCGCGAGTCTCTTGTGAACATTGCTCCATCGGATGGATGGTTGTTTTATTGTTTTTTTCGCGAGTTTTTCCTGTCTTGAGAGGCAGGCAGTTGGGCGCGAACCGTCCGTCTGCTACACAGTGTTTGGTCGTGCGCTCATCGAAGGGGGGCGGAGAAGAAGAGAGAAGGCGTTTTGTGATTCGTCGACGGCGGCAATGCACAGGAATCATCGAACCAGCGTTTTTCGTGATGATGTTGATGACGTTCGGATGACTCGTCTGGAGCTCTTATGAATGGAGGAATGTGCGTGCGTTGAACTTGGGGGGCAACAATAATAATAACAGCAGTAACCGGCGTATCTATAGAGAGTGGGAAAAAAAAGAGAGACGGACAGATTTTCTTTCGTTTCCCCGCTATAGTTTTTTTTTTTTGGATTTTTTTCGCAGGGGCGACGAAAATAAAACATGAAAGGGGCCGAACTATCCTCGCCGCCATCCAAGAGCAGCAGCCTCATGATTTCCTGACCCGCTTTCGGGTTTCGCGTTTGTTGCTCTCTTGCAGATGCAACCGTTAGCCTCCGATCCGGAGTGAGAAGATCTATCTGTTCCTTTCCTGCAAATGGTACATACACATTTCCTATCGTAGTATAGGAGCACACAGAAAAGAAAAGCTAACTGAAGACAACGCACTAATAATCATCGGAATCGTAATAACAAGAACTCTCCGTTGCATGTTCTCGCAGATCGCTCACAAATCTGGACAAGGAGCGAACGCGCGCTCTCCGAAACACGCAGAAACTGGGGAAAAAAGGGCGAAAATCCGAGCACTTTCTGGGAAGATTTTCGTACGACATTTTTTTTAAGACGTACGGTTATTGATTTGCCTTAAAGGCTTGGCCCGGCGAATATTACGGACTATACATGGTTTATAGGGGTCTTACGTGGTTTCCATTGGCTCACTGACTCGTAAAAAGAAAAGAAGAGGAGCGAAAAAAAAAGAAGAATCCCATACACACAGACACTCTTCGATATATATATACACACAGATATATATATATACAGCACATACACACGCAAACACGCAGCGAGGGAGACACCAGAGATTTTTTTCCTACCAGACGACGATTTTTTTTTTCTACGGAATTTTCCAAATGCCCGAGCGGTTCCAATACGCGCCTCAATATTTTCGGAAACCGCGGTGTGAGCTGTGCAGTGCGTTTACGATCAGGAAGTAGTAAGCAAACGGTGTATTAAATGCCACAGTTTTTTGTTCGGTCTTCGGATTTCCACTGCGGGAAAGTTTCCAGTAAAGTATTGATTATTCCAATGTTTTGAGGAGCCCCCATCGGGCAGCTGTGTACAAGTGCTGTGTTGAGTCGCAGAGTGCAATCTTCCCCCATTCTCTGTCCACCCTGGGATTAGGGGTGCTGCCGGAAAGGAATATGCTGCCACAGCAGTACTGCCTCCGATGGAGGTATCACCACTCTAACCTGCAGACCATGTTTTCGCAGTTGCTAGAAAGGGAGGCCTTCTGCGATGTGACATTAGCATGTGAGGGTAGGACGATCAGGGCCCACAAGATAGTATTATCAGCATGCAGCACTTACTTTGACAGCATTCTGTCTCAGTACGAGGAGAAAGATCCCATTCTGATCATGAAGGATGTGAAATATGTGGACATCAAGTGTTTGGTGGAGTTTATGTACAAAGGGGAGATCAATGTGGACCATGTAAGTGTTATTTGAAATATGCACATGTAAATTCAATGTTATTATTCTAATTTGCAACAATTACCTTCTAATTACATAGCAAATTAATATTATGTTAATTGTTGGAAGTCACATAACAATTACATTATCTATGCTGAGCCTGTTACATTCTAATTTTATAATGGTGATACTAAATTTCCTAGACTATCCAATTAGAATTTCAAATCATCACTTTCATTTGCATTCAGTGAATCAATCTGTTTTACCTGTTTTTAATCACTACTACTACTACTACTTGAATTTAAATAGTATCTACAGTGTGGTCCAAAAGTGTGAAACCAATTTGTAATCACAGCTTTAAAATAATTTACATATCATAATTTATTGTTAGTAACAATTAAATATTATAACAAATCTTTCAAAACATTTACTTTTAGAATTGCTATGAATTTAATTAATTTAATTTAGCTTTTCATTAATTAATGTTGAATGTTTTGTTATAAGAAGATAAAAAAAAACTTGTGTATTATTGGAAAATATTTATTATTTAAATTATGACAGAATTCTTCAAATTATTTATGTTTTATCGTTTTATTTCAATATCATTTCTCAGAATAATTGAACCATTGATTATTTCCAAGTATTTTTTTTTATATTTCTGAAAGATTATTTAAATAAATGTAATTACGCCTCTTAATTTAAAAGAAATTTATTCATTAGAGAACGATTGATGTAGTTCATCGGGTAGGTCATGTTTCAAGCTTACGAAAGTTAAACAGCGTGCATCGCGAAATTTATTCGGATGGATGACCTTTGCCAACTTGAATCGCATAAACCCATAATAATAAGTCTCCATACGCATGCACACAACATAAGGAAATTGATTAATTCTTTCTTGCTTTAATTACATTTTCAATCTTAAATATTATTAAAAAAACATTTTTAAATGCAAAGTTTTATAAATTCTAAGAATTAATGAAATAATAATTAAATTAATTAACAGCAATCCAAGCTGTGAAAAACAATAAATTGAACTTTCAAAATAATTTTGTAATCTCCGAAGACAGTCAATATATATAAAAAAAATACATGTTTACATAAAAATAATCGTTACAAATACTGTTAAAAATAGAATCCTCTCGAAATGCCGATCGCTATTCAGGAAAAAAATAAGTCGTAGTTGTATCAAAAGATATCGAATTTATTCCATACTTTCGGACCTCACTGTATATATATTTGATATCCTCTCCTAGAAAAAGTATTGATCATGAATACATTACCACCGTTCTTTTTAACATCATTTCTTTCATTATTTTTGTATAAATCATGGAACAAAATAGATTAAACAGAATTTATATTACATTTCCTTTGATAACACAATATGCTGTGTTAAATATTTATATTATATGACAGAATCGACCGTTTCCGACGAAACCATGATTTATTTAGTGGTTTCTGGCATCTTTTTAACTATTATAATGCATTGTAAACTGAAAGATAATACATGATCGGTTAAGGGCATAAGCCAGAAACTTCGATCCAGAAAAACAACCCAGATAAGGAGAATTCGTTTATTTTCGATTCAATCGAAAAATAACATTTTTTTAAAAACACGTAATACCAGCAGCTTTCCGGTGCGTATATGCATACTAAAGCAACGGGGAAAAACATATAAATAACATAATCATTGATAAAACCTTATCTATCTGTGTATGTTTATTTATTTTCATTACTTTTATATATTTTTTCACTCTCACATTCTGTTATTTTTGCTTCATTTATTCGACTACTACTGACTTTCACGGATAGATTTAATAAATATTTAGATTCTCGTGGATATAAATCATGGTTAATGGAATATACTTTTTTTTTATCTATATAAATCGAAAGAATTAACCATGGGAGTTAGAAATGCATCTCAACCGAAACTAATTATACCTGGGAATAGAAGTTCTTCGTCATTTTGGATAGAAGAAGATGAAATAAAAAAAGGGATACAACATTTGTACCTGTTCGTAGTTCTCTCAATTTATATATTTTTTTTTTCTTTTCATACAATAATTAAATCCAACTATTTTTACTCCGCTTCTTCTCTTTACGATTTCTCGGATGATATAAAACCGGGACTTATAATGGAAATTGCTTTTTTTTTTCTTATTCACATTATTACTCTTTCATTTTCTCGTATGTTTCTCCTTCGTTTTTTTATCGTCCTTCTTTCGTTCTAGTAATTTGAGGAGACGGAGATGGAGGATATAATTTTCTTGTTATTTCGGAGTAAACTAGTTTCGGGAAAAAAATGTAATGAAAATGACGATGGGAGAGGACGTGCGATGTAATTGGCGTCGGAATTTTGAAATCCTCCGCCACCTACGTGACATTCCCAGAAGGAAAATCGATGAAGGAGGAGAGCGATATCGTAAACAAAAATTGCTGCCCTGCTCGGCCTCTGATAAAATTACGCTCAATTGACAACTTCGCAATTAGATAATCGATGCTAATTGCCGTTTGAGGCGAATGTTGAATATTTCAGTTTGATTACGAAAAGGCAACAAAAGAAACGAACCAAAAAAAATATGAAATAAAAGTAAAAAAAATAAATGAAAACAAGTTACGAGCTCTCTGGATGTATCGATTCGGTGACTGAAAAAGGTTGCGTAATATTGCTTCGCGTTGTTTTCTTTGAAAACCTTCTCGGAATCGCGGTTTAAATCAATAAATTCCGAAAGATCCACATAGACCGAAAACGTATTTGAATTTGGCTTCTGTTGATTAGGCATTCATTGATAATGTGTGTTTCATTTTATTTTTTGAAGTCGCGTACGAACAGCACGTGTGACTCTTCAAATTAATTAAATACCACGAGTTTATCTCGAGTCATGTTGACATCATCTCCGGAGGATCTTCGGATCCTCAAATAAAACGGCAGCGGTCCGTCGTGCGCCTCTTCTATGAATCAAGTTAATAATAAATTATCTATGGGAGAGTCCAAAGGTCCTCCTTCGTTAAAACCGAGTGAATGGCTCGAATTCCGCTGTGTCCGGACTTTTATTTACTATTATTTTGCATGTCGCAACTACGTAACCGCATTTGTTTTTTAGTTTCGTTGTTTCCTTCTTTTTTTCTTAAACTCAGCTTATATTTCTTCTCCTTGTTTTTTTCTTCTTATGTTTTTGGTTTGCATGTGAATGGAACGGATTTTGAAACCGAAAAAATATGGCCTCTGGCTGCGCTCCGCCGTGTTTATTTTCCCACATATTAAATAAACCGACTTTTGATGCAACGTTTATTTTCAAAATAAATATCATCCGCTCTTTCGCATTTGTATCTATTTTTTGCCATCCTCATCCATATCGGAGAATCTTCTTTCCTGCTCGCCTTTTCCTCTAATCTAGATCCACAAATCGCGGGGGCGAACGCCTATCTAGATTATGTATTTGTTCAGACAATTATTATATTTTCGTAAAGTTAATTTTAGAAGACCTATAAAACTCTTTCGCGCTTTAACGCCACTCGCAATACTTTTTTCTTTCACGAAAATTCCCAACTTATATAAAAAATCAATAAACGAAACAATATTTATAGACAAACTAGGTTATAGCTATGTTTTAAGTGAATACGCAATAATAATCTATTTATTAATATATATTTAATATATAAAATATTTTTTATAATTAAATTTTTATTAATATTTTATTATATACTGATTGAGAGAAACCTTTTCAACGAATAATTTGAATTCAAATTTTAATTCCACTATTGTATACATTTTTAATTAAAATAATATATTTATGTGAAATCAATAATTAATTTTATTTTAATTATGCCAAAAAAAACTGGTTTATGAAAATTGCAGACATATTTGATTAATTTTTATTTGTTCATTCCAATATTTACAATTTAGTTTTTTTTGTCCTCAATGCTAGAATTGTTTCATGATTTTTAACAGTAATTCAATTTTAAACAAACAAAAACTCATAGTTTTTAATGGAGACATTTACGAAATATTACGTCTAAGGTTATAAGTGATGCAATGTACGCGAGAGTCATAAAATATACACTTATATCGGTCGTTAGAAATTGACGACTCTTTAAACAAATATTTTCCATATTTCTAATACTTTGATGTTATAGACTTTGTCTTTTGAAAATAACACCAATATTGGATTAACACAAACGATGACGCATAATTTGTTATTAAATTTACAAAATGAAATGTATTTTAAGACAATTTCAGTATTGATTTCTTTTATTTGTGGCTGTGTATACAGTTGTGCGTATATTTCTATAAATATTATATTTTGATATATAAAATTGTCCTTCAGTTCAGACAAACGAAAATCGATATGGTTACGTAGATAATTCCATGTCTATTTAACATGACACGTAATTGACATGCAAATCACATCAGACTTTAACACTATTCTCACTTAAAAACATATGACGAAGACTATTTTAAATTCGTTAAATTCCTTGATTAAAATAACTTGATACTATAACTTGAAGTATTTGTACATTCTTTAGTAAACTTGATCATTACAATGAACTAATTAATCTGCAGATTAAAGTAGTTTGACAATAGAGTTGTACTGTCTATACCTATTTTTGTGATAATTTAACTATTATTGTAATCTTCAGATACTTTTATTTTGATAAATCTTTAGAGAAACACAATAATATAGAATATCAACTTCTATTGATTCCATGTCCTTTTTTTTTTGAACATAGAAGTTTTGTATCTTCAAATTTTTTAAACTTTCTGATAATTGTGACAAAATATTTGAAAATGAATGACTACTTTTTGAAATTATATAGAGTATTTTGATTTGTTATTTAGGCTTTTAGGTGGCCATTTATCAGTTGAGGTGATTTGTCCAACAAGTTTCTGGTATTTCAGGTGATTTTTTGTCTAGTAATTTGAAATTTCGGGCGAGCTATTGTATAAATGGATTCATCAAGTATGCAATTTCGTGTTTCAGTGCCACCTAGCCACATTGCTGAAGACCGCGGAGGAGCTCAGGATCAAAGGGCTGGCGGAGGTGTCCTGGAAGGATGAGGATGGTCCCGGCACCGACCTGACCACGAACGGTCTGCAATCCGTACTACCTCATGTGTCGACTGTGATGGAAACGCCGAAGGGCCACAGCGACACGATTAGCAAAAGGAAAAGGGGTCGGCCTCCTATAGACGACTACGATCCAACGTTTCCTGCCCCGAAGATAGTGAATGTAACTGGAGGTGTTAGTGGCAATGACGAGACTTATTCCAACGATGCTATGTCGAACAGTGATCAAGACCAAAGCGCATGGGAGGACGACCAACCCGCCAACGACACTGAGGACAACCACCCAGAACTCAAAGAATCACTCCTCAAAGTAAAAACGGAAATTGTAAGTGGTTCTTCTGCTGCGGTCCGAGACTGTTTTCTTTTCTCGAAACATCAGATCAAAAGGCTGCCTGCGCTTGCTTTCCTCCTCGAGGGCTTTCCTATTATACAGTTTTTGTTGTTGTTGTAATTGCTTGCGTGCTCTTTGAAGCTCGCTCACTTTGCAGGCTGTGACTCATGCATGATTCGGTCATTATTATTATTTGGTTCTAATGAAAAGTTCCATTATCTGATTTCGGTCGGACGAACTCGTAGAGTTTCTCACAACCAGATGGTGAACATTAGCGCATTTTCCAATATCTTTACACATTTTATTTGCATTCTACTCTTGTTTCTCTGTTGTTTGGTTTTGGTTTTCGTTTCTAACGCTAGAGCAAAATTCTAAATTTAACCGCAAGGCCGACTGTATTTCTTTTTTTTTTCGAATTAATAAAAGGTAATTATTGCTCGAAATCAGAGAATGAATAATATTTTTAAGGACATATAAAAATTGTGACGTTTTCGATCAATTCTAAACGCCCCACATTTTGTGTGATATTTCTGTGCTGTTTCGAAAGCATGTTGAAATAAAACGTCTGATCCATTAAAATTTACAGTAATTACTTCATGATTAACGCAAAAGCAAAATGATACGAGACAGCGATGCCAGGTTTTTGTTTTTCAGCAGCAGCAGCATTAAAAAAATATATTTACAAATTTTATTTTCGCGTATGTACAAAAAATATGACGGAAATGATGCTCGTAAACAAAGGCGTAAAACTTTTATATTCTTGTTAAATTAGATAATTTGGAAATGCCGTAGCCTCGGATATTAATTCCAGAAAAGAATGAGCTGGAAATACAACGCTGTATACATTTTTTATTTTGATATTAAAAGTATTTTGCTTCGCAATTCCTGAAATACAAAATTCTTCGATAACGGGACATAACGTGATTAATATAATAATAACTAAAGAACACAACGAATCGAAAGGAAGAGATTAGAGTTTTACGAAGTCGTTAGTCATCGACGGGAAGTCGGTTTCTTTTATTTTGTTATGCCGTATTATTTTAATATTTTATTAATTTCCATGATGCAATTTTTTTTTTTGAATTTCTTATACTTTTGTATTTTTTTCTTGATTTTAATTTTGTCAGTAGCTTGTTGAAATATGTTACACAACAAACTTTTAAATCAAATAAACATCTCATCAATGCCTTCTTCGTCTCAATTTCATATGAATGTTATTGACGTCACTTTGAACAACACGAGTTTGTCAACCGATTTTTGTTAAATATTGACAACATGTCATATTATTGTCAATATTACAAACAATTAAGAAATAATCAATTTTTAGATAATCTTAATTTTGACTTTGTAAGAAACTTTTCATAATCCATCTTTGAGAAATGCATAAATTGTGTAACATTTGTAATGTTCAATTGATTATTAGATCTATTTCGATTCCAAAAATGAAATAAAAGATTCAACGATTTTATGTTATGGTATATTATTTTGTTGTTTTTTTTTTACGAATTTCGATAGCGTCATTCGTCCGTTGCATTTAGATACAGACGGTATCAAATTTTTAGCTGATCTCACGCGTTATCAACCAATGGCGTGGACATGACAGTTATCACAATTCGAATAAGAATAAAAAAAAATGTGCCACGCACACAATCTACCACCCGTAGAAAACACAAACAAACAAACAATATTTTCTACGTGCTACGACTTTCGTCAATATTTGGATTCTCGTTCCATCTTTCGACATCAAGAAGACAAATATTTGTGGAAAAATTAAGTAACGGTTTATTATATACAGTTTTTTTTTCACTCTCTGTGTTATATTCAGATTTTAATTGGGAGGCCTGGCGCGAAATTTAAAGACCGACTTTCCAAAAAAAAAAAAAAAGCAATCGTGGGAATTACGTCGCTCCTTGTTATTTTCATTTCTTCATATATTATTAAATCCGAGTTTTAATAAAATAATAATCTGGAGAGAGAATACAGTCGAGTTTTTACGTTTTTATTTAAGTTTAATTAAAATATTTCCGCCCGGAGAGATTAAATTCGAGAGAGTTCGGAGCGGCCTTGAATCATTTTAAATTAATATACAGAAGATTTATGAAAAGAGAAGAAATTCAAATTGTACACGCCGTGCGCGATTTTTACTTCTTTCCATTCTGAGCTTGAATAAACTGGGAACGAAGCGAAACGCAACGGAAGATTGGAATTATGTACAAAATACGAGTTTTCATATTAAATTATTTGTTGTATATTCCGAGGGGTTCAGCTCGCACACTAAAAAAATAAAATATATATGCATATAAAAACTCACGATATTGTTTTCCCGTGCTTTGTTTGAGTTTATTTTAATTAATGCGAATTCGTTAATTAAGCTTTTTTACCGCTCATTTCAATTTTTTTTTACTACGTTACATAATTATAATTGAATGTCAATATAAATAATACATGGAAATTTTGTTTTTTTTGTATACTTTTAATTAAATTATCCATTGTTCACTGTCATTTGTGATTGCTGCCAGCTGCAGAGGTCAATAATACCTTTAGTAGTCTGAAAGGTAAAGGCATTGACATTTCAAAAAGTTAAAAATGCTATTTAGTTCTAGTTGAAACACTATATTTTATAACCTTTTACATTGGGACTGAATACAATACCTTGAGGTAATCCATTTCATGATCAAAGTTATATTTAAATTGATAACTTTATTATAGATTCATTTATCAAAAGGTTACAAGATTTTGTACAAATTCTTCGTAAAATCACTAAAATTTCAGGAAATTCTTAATTTGAATGATGTACTGCGTTGAAAATGTTCGAAATCCTGAAAACTTGCAGTTTTCGAGTTATCATATTTGACCTGGTCCCACAAACGTGCTTTTTGATAAGCAAGATTTATAATTTTCTCAAATGAGGAAAGTAAAGAAAAAAACTTTTAATTCCAATGAAAATATTTATCAGACGAAAGAGAATTAATAGACATTTAGATTTTGGTTTCAAAACAGATCTATCGTCTGGTGGCCTCGAGAAAAAAAATGTACATGGGGAAAATGAAATGAAACAGATATTCGAGACGCAATAATAATAAATGTTTATTTGTTGAACCGAAAAACACATTTTTGACGTCATTAAGCTTAAAACAAAGCTGTCGAATTGCAGTTACGAAGAGAAAAATAAAACGTCAAAGATTATGCTTAAAAGACAGTTTTTTTTACTACGTTCTATTAGTTCAATTTAGTTATTATTTTGATTATGTTAACATATACAATGGAACCTCGCTTAACGAGCATTTCGCTTAACGAGCGACGCTTTGCATAACGAGTGACGATGAGAAGAGAAGTCCCGGTTTGCGCGTCTGCTACATCACACGTACACACGTAATATGTATTTTGAATATGTTTTAATATACGAGTAAAAATCCGGAAATTTTGGTACGGATTAAACTCGTTAAGCGAGGTTCCACTGTATATTAAATATTTCTGTAGTTCTTTCTGATCTTAACACATTGAGTCTCATCCAAAGTAAAAAAAATAAATTATCAAATTATTGTCTTTTTTAAACAGTTATTCCAAGAGTATCGTTTTTCTCGGTTTGCTCATGTAATTGTTCCTGAAAAACAAAGTTTATTTTGAAAAAAGAGTAATTAAGAGAGTTACTTAAATCCTACATTTCCAACTACCATTTAAAGTTCTTTCAATTTATTCTGACATTATTTTGAATTGCAGTCATTGTGAGGAATGCCTTGGAATGGCTTTAAATTAGATATTAAGTGGTCTAAATTATAGCTTAACCTTTCACTTGCAGGTGCTTCATTTTATAACAGATTAACATGCTTTCTCTGTTTCCAATATTTGAGTGAACATTTCAATTTTTGATCAAAAAAAAAATCATTAATTTTTTTAAATTTTCATCTGAAATTCCTCATATTTTTTTATATATTGGATTCTGTAATAGTTACGTTTTCTTTTATATATTAACAGCGTCATACATCATTATTTGCACATATTCTATGTTTATTTTGTATTTAAAAACTGCAATAATTTCTATTTTGTTATACTTCAAGAACAAAATACGTTGTTAGACATATAGTGTTAATTGATATACAAATTCAGCTAACATCGACATTTTTTGCTTTTGGAATTCTGTTAAATGCATTGCTATAATAAGCACGTCAACAAAGTCCAAATAAATCTTGGAAAACATTTTATTTAAGCTTTTTTTTGTACTGACTGCTTTTGAAAACAAGTTTTAGAATTATAACAGTTTCAAATGGAGGCAGTTTTGAAAAATGTATTAAATAATTCTTAATAATTATCTAATTGCAGCGAAGGTCGTGTAATTTGCTAATTAAAAAAAAGCGTGCATATGTCTGGAATCGGCAATGTTTGAAAATAATATAAAAAAAGGAACACGCTTTTTCTTTCAACTCTATTTACTCTTTGTTTTATTTCTTGATTTGCAAACGTGTTATTGTAGAACGGACAAAAAAACATTGCAAATGCTTGAAAGAAAATTTTATTTGCAGTTAAATTAAATTTTTCATTCATTCATTTCGTTTTGAGGAAATTTTTGTTTTGAGTAGTTAAGGATGCCCTGGATTAGCAATTGAATTATAATCCAGAGCATCCTTAATTACTCGTTGCTTTTGTTTCGCCCATTTTTAAGGTATCTCGATCAAAATGTATTATATATTGATTTCAATTGTTTTAACTGTACGTAAAAAGCACTCACGTATGTTTATAATTTTTTATTTAGATATGATTTTATGCAGACGTGTGTATGGAAAGTAAAACAAAATATCCGAACGTATTTTAAAAGTTATTGATTTTAAGTCGGCTCGAGGATAGCGTATAAAACAAATTTAGATTTCTTTATTAAATATTGAACAAAGCGATTGGTTTCCATGAAATTATAATACATATTTTTTTTTTCGTATGCTGCAAACCAAGGTTATCGATTTTTTAGCTTTTTGCCGTAATATTTATTTTTTTTTCCTTCTTTTGTATTATGTATGAAACAGGTTTTTTCCTTCTTTATATTGATTTGCAATATAAACCATTTCGCAAATAATAATAATAATAAATGTTCGTTAATCATAATTAGAATTTTGCATTTCTTTTCCTTCTATTTCTTGTTTTTCTTATTATATATATATATTTAGTTTTTTTTTTGTTTTGCAAGCTATTTTTGTCTGCTCAAGGATTTTTCGCTCCATGGTTATGAATCGAGCGGATTTTGTAACGCGCTTTGGCTTTTTTATTATTAAAGAGTTTAAGAATTTCCGAGATACAGAGTTAGCCATGAATAATGCATTTGGAGGGAATATGAAAAAAAGAATATTAGAAATTATAATTTTAGCTTCTCACGTTGCGTTGAGGAATGGATTAGTTAATTAAATGAAGTCGCTTTCCTGGGATGCACTAATCATTGTTTGCGATTTGTTTTGTTCTCGCATTCCGCTATGGTAAGGTTGATGATGAGATGGACGACCACACCTACTCGGAGCAGGGGAACGGGAAGAGCGAAGCTTCGTCGACGTCGTCGAGCGTCACGACGAAGGGTTCGTCGGTGGCGAATTCGGTGAAGCCGTCGTGTTCCTCGAATAGCACGGGGGGCGCGATGGCCACGCCCTCAGCGGTCACGGCCGCCCTCGAGAAGGAGTGGCCGGACGTGGTGAAGATGAACGACTATCTGAACACGGGCCGCAGACAGCAGTTCTGGGAGGAGCCATTCACGAAGCGAGTCATGGATGCGATCAAGACCAAGAACCTGGAGATGAAGATCGCCGCCGAGCTGCTGGGTGTCTCTTATGGTACACTCTATGGGCGGTACCGAGACGCCTACGGTTGCCTCAAGCATCCTTACAGGTAAACCCAAACACCCACATGCATGCACCAAAACACCTCTTGCACAATAACACATAATACCAAAAAAATACAATTAAATGTCACCTAACATCAGAAAAAATGAAAATACTTTGAGCGTGGTTAGCATGTTTTTTTTTTGTTTGTTTGGAAGTTACTCGCGCATGCTGTTCTCCGATTCCAATACCGGAATGTATACAAATCATATCAGAAATATTGCATCCTAGTTGTACGTCGAAACCAAAATTGGTTATTCTTAGGCGTTATTTTCTATTGGCAATTCTCACATGCGGCCATGCCCACGCCTCTTGCGGATAATTAACAACAATCAAACAGAATACAAAGAGAAAGGGAATACTCATCATCCGAGAATTGCCAATATTAGATAATTAGGCTGTTGTTGTTTTTGCTGTCGTCGTTGTTATATTTTTTTATATATATATTTATATATTCAATAATATTGATTTGAGGCAATTCCTTTGTATTTGTAGCACGCCAATGAACCAAAACGAAATCCTGAAAGCAATTCGGATGCGATATTTTGAACTGAAACGAACCGGCCCCGGGTAAAATGGTTGAGGGTGAGAATGTGCGAGTGTCGAGGCTTTGAATAACTATTTTACTTGTTACTCGTACTAAATTAGTCGATAATAAGTATATTGGCAATGATGATATATTGTAGACACCGCATTGTGCGATGCCCCCAGATACAAGTTCACATGCATATTATTATTATAATGATTAGAATGCAGCAAGGCGCGAGGCTCTCAGGACCATTATTAGATTCTTATTTTTGTATTTGCTTTTACTGCAGGGATCTCAATCAGATAAGGTGCATATAACAGATTATATTTATATATGAAGAAAAATAGAGTATATTTAACTTATTTATTTATTTGTACATTTATACCGATTATCATTTCGAAGAATATATATACAAAAATGCTGCCACTAAATTATATTCATTACAAGCGCCATATAGTCGAAATTACATTTATTATTATATAAAAGGACTATTTAAATTTAGATTTTAAGGATTTAGATGTTCAAATTTAAATTGTTATTATTTAGAACAAAGAAAGAACTATTTTGAGATGGATAATATGTGTGCGTTTGATTGGATTTAGTACAGTGAAACTTCATTTCCTTTGTAAGGTAACTTTTGTGGTTCATTTATATTCCAACAAAAACAACTGGTAAAAAGAGGTTTCACTGTATTCACTAAGAATTTATCCATATTTGGTAGAAAGCATTAAATGTAATAAACATAGAATTATTGAAAACTTCTTTGGACTTTTCCATCTCGCTCTTATATTATTGCTACGATGATTATATTGACTTAACACTTTTTGGTGAGATAGTCCTCTTACGTTCAAACGGAGCTAAAGTATATTTCAACAAGGTAATACCACAAACTTTTTCCTTTCTCTATCTCTTTCGCTCACTGTCGATGGTGTACTTTTATGCATGCCACAAAAAACTAAGAATTTACTATCAAGAGTAATGCATGAATGTTGTGAATGTCTTCACGTGAAGATCTTTACCAGTATCCGCATCATCGCAAAATACTGAGCCCTTAATGTTGTGTTCGTTAATAGTAATGATCTATTTTGCATTTAGGGTAAGAGATTTTTGGACGGAACAAGGTCCAACGGATATCCTTCTGAAGCTGAAACGCAAGGAGATTACGTTATTCAGAGCTGCGGAACAGCTGAACGTGACGCCGCAGACGTTATCGAATTATTTGATCTCAATGTCGGTTTTGGATAACGAGGCCAACATGTCTGGCCAGGCCAACACCGGCGACAACTACGATGATATGGACTCGGACGAAGAGCCTGATGCGATCCTTCCGGACATCCCAACAGCCAGCAACGTTACATACAAAACCACAACGCAATCTGCATCCACCTCCAATTCCGTACTTGCCAACTGTCCGGACATCACCATCATCAAGAAGGAAAAGATAGATAACGTAAGTTGATCATCTTTCCTCAAAGTTCCATCGAATCATAACTATTTATAACTATTGTTTTGCAGAACAACATGGACAAACATTAGCAATGCACAGGCTGTATCAGAAATGACATGCATAAAATGGAAATATATCGGCATAGAGGAGATTTCCTGCAGGGATCGTTATGTGTTTAGATGAAAGAAGTAATAATAAATAAACATAATAAGAAACAATGCCGCGAAGTCACTAGAAGTATGTATGTGTATTGCTTCGTAATATTTAGTTGAAAAAAAAAATCGTATATACATATAATACACGGATGGATTTATCGAAATCGAATCATTCCATTGAAGAAAGGAGAATTAAACGATTCAACAAATAGAAACAGATACTCTGGGAACCAATATTTGCTGTCACAAATAGACATGAACTGTGACCTCTTCAGCTGGAAGAGGCGTTTGTTTTGGATGCTACTGCGATCATCGGTAAGACCTACAAACGCGGATAGCAACAAGATTTTTTTATATATATATTAATTAAACAAACAAGAAAAAATGTATCAGTATTTCAACCCAAAAATTTTACTTTTTTTATAATTATTTTTAAGTACCGGCTTGTACATATAGAGGAATTTGTACTTTAGTTTTAAAGGATCTTTTTAATCGTATATTTTAATTATTATTTTTTACATTTTACATATTGTAATTTTCGTTTTAATTTATAACCAAAAAAAATCGATTAAGTATATATATTTAAAATAGTTATATGTGGAAAGAAGCATTGAATTAATTAGCTCTTAGTATATATTATATTGGTTAGGTACTTTAGTATGTGTGACTATTTGCATTACTCTTACTATTTAAGTTTATGCGTTTTCTTTTTTGAAACTTAAGAATAAATCGAGTTACGACTTCGTTCGTTAAGGCGAAGTTGCTTTGGGTACCTTCGAGTGATGCATTTGGTCTTTTTTTTAATTAATTAATTAATTATTATTAATTTATATCTCGACACGTAGAGTTTAGACAAGATGACAAATAGCGTTTATTAAATATAATTTGTACATATTTCTGTTACGCGAGGCGATAAAATAGGAGAGATTATGTACTATATTTTAGATTTCCGAAATGTTTTTAATTTTTTTTTTTATTTTGTGCAATTATATTATTTTATTAATATTGTCAAGTCAAAGTCTATTTCTTAAACTTATTGTGTAAGTTTTCAAGCGTTTAAAGCAGGGAATCCCAAACTTATCAAACGAATCAAAACATTGGTCTATCTTTATGTTAATATATCAGAATTTTCGCTGCGCACAGTTTGGAAACCGCTGTTTAGAGTACATATTTCGACGAGTCGTTGTGCAAGCGACACGAACGGATATGTCAACTAAATACATCCAAAGTGAGTTTTTTTTAACAGAAGACAATAGGGTACAAATTATTTAGAATAATTCTTGTATATACTGACGTTTATTTAATGTATATTATTAATTAACTCGAATACACAAACGATGAGTTTAAGAAATAACATTTTGTTTGTAAAATTTCACTTTATGTTGGCTCAAAGTTACACGAAGCAAGCGGAAATTTCAAAGAATTTTAAACGTTTATAATTATTGGCGTGTCGCGAGTAGAGACAATTTCTAGCATTAGTTAACATATCACAGGGACTGTGCTGCACTGAAAACAAACAAAAAGAAAACTACATTGCAATCCTATAAACTAATGCTTTACGTAGACGATGTAATCGGGGCTCTACACTCTCAGTATTTATATTTTTAGATAAGTGTGCATTCATATTGATCCGATTACTGAGATTACTTCAGTTCGTGCGGTTTTCCTTTAATGTTCATTTCTTTTTGATAATCCTCTAATTAAACAAAACAAACTCCAAATGATGAATACTGTATATGCCTTTTGCGAGCCCAGATTTTCGCTGGGCGAGTCGATTCAAAGAATTAAGTAAATTAATAATAATAATCCCACTTGGCCATAAAATGAACTAACAAATATATTGTCCTTAGTCCCACAATATATAATATATATACATAAAAAAAAACTATAGAGTTTTCTCTCATATAATATATATATTTATATATCAAATAAATAAGAAGAAAAGAATTATTATATAAAGAGACATGTTTTCCTATTTGCAATTGTCATTCATTATTTATTTTTATGAGTGCCTACACAATACAAAACAAAGTAAAGAAGAAAGATAAAAAACTGAATATATATGAAAAGTGAAAGAAAAATTGTTCATGTAATAAATTCCACAACTGTTCATTCTTATTATTATTATTATTATTATTATATTTGTGTAATTTTTATTTATTGTTTTTCCATTCGAACGAAATGTCACTATGTGTTTTTTTTTATTATTTTTTTTTGTTGTTTCTATTTATTAATTAAACAGAATGTATTATTTATTGTTAGTTTCTTACGTTCTTAGGCAGATGATAAAATCATTTTATATAATGTATACATGTAATTGTTTATTATATATATAAAAAAACGAAAATCAAGGAAACTGTATTTGTACGATTACGTTTCGTGTTTATTTATTTGTATTTAATTTAATTTCGTAAAAAGTATACATAAATATATTTAGTGTATGTAGTAATGAATACACGAAACAGAAGATGATGAAGAAAGGACAGATAAACTGTAAGTTAATAATATTTAATACAGACGATTGGAATGGAAACAACACACTGTTGGAATACAAATGGTTAACAAATAAATAAGAATGTAAGAAACGGAAGCCAAAGTTGTAACAGCAAAGGAATATGTTTTTAATGATAATAGTAATTGAAGAGATGAAACCTCACTGATATTGCAGATATATTATTTATATAAAAAACCAAGAAAATATAAAAACAAAACAAATAATCTTTTGTAATATTATTCCTGTAAATAAAGAAAATGAATATTTTACTTGTTTTACTTCATTTCGTTCACGAAATATGTATACAGTAAAGCCTCTTATGATGCTTTTCTAAACGAAAAAAACCGTTAATTCATTCATTAATATAATATATACAGCTTGGAGTAGAATGGATAAAACGTTAAACGAGGTTTTACTGTATAATATCCAATAATATAATTTATAAGATTTTTACTAAAGATCCACGATATTTTTTATTCTCCCGGCGCAGCCACCTGGCTGCAATATATTTGTCCTGGTATAGAATACCAATATACAGTGGAATCTCGCTTAACGAGCGATGTTTCGCATAACGAATGACGATGAGAAGAGAAGTCCCTGTTTTCGCTTCATCGTTTTTAAAACTTGTGTACACATATTATGTGTATTTTTGAATATGTTTCACTATACAAGTAAAAATCCAGAAATTTTGGAACGGATTAAACTCGTTAAGCGAGGTTCCACTGTACGTATATTTCATTTCAAATCCATTTATTAGGCAACATACAATGCTTAAATTTTAAATGTCAAAAATGTATATCAAATTTTGAGAATTGTTACTAATGTAAATAATAAAAACTACAAGAATGAGATATTTAAAATTAATTATATTTTGTAGATAAAAACAGCTCATTTTGGAATAAAACTTATCCTTCCAATTGCGGAAGTAATTTATAATGCGAGAGATCAGTTTTAGTTATTGTACTCATTTTTCAAATGCTTAGCGATTGTTGTCAGCTGAATGTTGTAGGTTCCCTCATAGATGCTTCCAACCTTACAATCCCTGTAGAATTTCTCCTGAGGGAAGTCCTTGGTAAATCCGACACCTCCCATCCAGTCGATGCACTTGATGGTAGTCTGTTGTGCCACCTCAGCTGAAAAATATTTTGCCATCGCGGCTTGTTTCGTGAACGGTTGCTTCTGCTCCACCAGTCTCGCTGCATTGTAAATAAGTAAACGAGCTGCTTCGATTTGTGTCGAAATTTGAGCGATTTGATGTTGCATTCCCTACAAAAAAAAATACGAATCAATCAATGTCATATATATCTTTAATTCAGGTATTACTTGGAAATTGTAAATGGGAGTTCCGAATTGTTGCCTCTCCAAGGTGTAGGGTATCGTGGCATCCAGACAACCTTGAGCAATACCTAATTGCTGAGCAGCAATACCTATCCTTCCTTCGTTCAAGAATCCTGCAGCATATTTATACCCTTTGCCAAATTCGCCCAGGATAGCGCTCTCCGGAACGCGAACATTGTCGAAGTTCAACATGCAAGTACCGGAAGCGCAAATACCAAGCTTCTTCTCCGGCTTAGCCACAGTGAATCCGGGTGTATCTCTCTCCACGAGGAAACACGTAATACCTCTATATCCCTAAACATAAGTTCATGTTGAGAACCATTTAAAAGATGTATCTAATCACGTACTTCGCTTGGATTAGCATTTGCCATCACCAAAAATAATCCAGCAACGTCTGAATTGGAAATCCACATTTTGGAACCGTTCAAGATGTAATCAGAACCATCCTTCTTGGCGATAGTTTTTAAAGCGAAAGCATCTGTTCCTGAAGATGTTTCCGACAAGGCGAAACTGCTTGCCTACAAATATAATGTAACATCCTACAACTATTCAAATATACTAAACAAACCATTCCAGTAGCCAACTGAGGTAAGTATTTTTCCTTTTGCTCCTTGGTTCCCAACTTCATGATAACAGCATTTACCAATGTGTTTTGTATATCTACAAGAACAGCAACAGCTGGATCAACCTTGGATAATTCTTCTATGACCTGAATAGTCGTCATGAAATTGCATCCGGATCCGTTATACTCGATAGGTATTTCAACTCCCATAAGCTGTAACAATAATTTGAATTATTGTTTATTTTGTGTACGTTTGGTTGCATAACAACGAAAAAACGTGATTACCCCGTTACTGAACAATAGGTCCAGAACTGGTTTCTTGAATTTGCCTTCTTCTTCCATTTCTTTAACATACGGTCCAATTTGTTCCTTCGCCAATCTAGCAACTGAAATGATCAATTGTAATACGATATAAATTAAATAAAATAATATATAAACCTGTCTCTTTCATCATAATTTCATCTTCTGAGAGCATAGAAAGAGGTAAATGAGTTGTAGCAGAATCATCTTTTTTGAGCTGAGAAGTAACCGAGAAGCTTCTTAAGTTAAGCTTACTTGGCTTAAGTGTGTTCTGCGCAAAAAAATATTAATTAAAGATGCAATTTAACGGAGATTATCTAAGTGACTTACGGTAATTTTACGTAAACAGTTCATATTGATCTGAATTTGATAGTGTTTCCAGCTACTCTACGTCCTTCAGCCAAATGAACTTGTGACTCGTATATTTTAAGAATATATAAATTATTATCAAGTTATTTTTATTTTTCTCAAAAACTGCGGAAAAATTGATTATTATATTAATGGTATTTGTTTTAGCTATTAAATTTAATTGCTGTACAAACTCGTATTTAATTTAATTAATTAATTGCTGCTTACAAGGTGATTGAGTGATAGTGAAATTCAAATTTGGCGCCGGTTAGTTCCAAAAAATGATGGCAGGGGAAATGGTAAACCTGCCATTCTCTTTTTCCCTGTTTATCTCTCTTTCCGGTTCGAAGCTGCGTCGCTGTCGTAGGTATGTAGAATTTACAACAAAATCCTCAACCATCCCATTAGTTTTATAGTATTTTTAACCAACAGTAAGTTTATCTCATGGAGTATACTTATTCCTTTTATGTTTCATTAATATTTTTCGAGAATATTTTCATAGTCTTTTTCCTTGTGTTTGTCGAAGTGCTACCATAACCTAAACATTCGGTGTTGTTTTGATCTGTGATTTACCAATTCACTTCTGTTTCAGGCTTCTTACAGACAGCTAGCAAAATGAAATTCAACAAATGTGTTACCTCGTCCAGAAGGAAGAACAGGAAGAGGCATTTCAATGCCCCTTCTCACATTAGGCGCAAGTTGATGTCCTCCCCTCTGTCCAAGGAGTTGAAACAAAAATACAACGTTCGTGCTATTCCAATCCGTAAAGACGACGAAGTCCAAGTAAGTTCACATTAATTTTATCCCAATATTCAATTTAATACACTTGAAAACATATTTATTTTGTCTGTGCTGGAACTATGCTTAATCGAGATGAAATTTGTTTTAGGTAGTCCGTGGTCATTACAAAGGCCAACAGGTTGGCAAAGTAGTCCAAGTTTACAGGAAGAAGTTCGTTGTATACATTGAAAGGATTCAACGTGAAAAAGCTAATGGCGCCAGTGTTTACGTTGGTATCCACCCTTCCAAAGTGAGTTAAAATTTGATAAATATAACACAGTATAAGCAAAATTGATATGATGATCATAAACCATTCGTAGACGACAAGGTTTGAACGTATTGCAAATGCTTGACCTAAGGTTTTCTTAGTGATTGCAGATGCTTTATGTTACACTTGTAATCTGGTGAAAAATTAGGCTCTGAAAAACAATAATAAATCAATTTCATTATATTCTTCTCTTTGATCAGTGTACTAAAACTATTTTATTTGTTTTATAGGTTGTTGTTGTCAAATTGAAAATGGACAAGGACCGCAAAAAGATCATTGACCGCAGAGCCAAGGGACGTTTGGCTGCATTGGGCAAAGACAAGGGTAAATACACCGAAGAAACCGCATCTGCCGCCGCTGTTGATGCATCTTAATTCTTTGTATTTTATATTAATACAATAAAAAAATATTTAATAAAAAATAAATATTAAGTTTATTATATAACTTCGTTATACATATGGTTTCCTCTTGAAAGACTGATTTCTGAATAAAAACAATACTGTAATTGTATAGTTGATATCATTTTTTTGGGAAATGGACAAGAAAAAAAAACGTTGGATAAAAATATGCATTTAATTTAAATGAATGATTGTTTGATAAAGTAGAAAAATTAGTGTGAATATTTCATAAATTAAACTTAAAGCTAATGCAAACAAAGAAATGTCAAAATATCAAGATTTATTCATTCAGATCATCTTTTTTTTCCCTTTTGAAGATTCTTCTGATTGGATCATTTACACCCTCTCTGTTCCTCGCCAACTCAATAGCATAGAATTGTATTCTGGATACAAGGATGGAATTTTCTTGTGTATAATCTTTTGTTGCATCTGCCCTTATCAATGTGCCAAAGCTGTAGTCCTCCACGAATTTCTTGAAGCGCTCACAGAAACTCCTCCACTTCATTTTACCCTCAGGACTTTTCATTTCATCTTCATTCAACTGGACAATATTCAAATCACTGAACTCCTCTCTGAAGATCTTGTAGATTGTGTCATCAAAAGGTGTGAGCTTTAAAGGTTTAGGGTCGACAGATGATATGATCTAAAATTGATATGATTGTAGTAGTGGTGTATAAGTACAAGAAGAATGTACTTACATTGAAGTAAACTTCTGCATGTTCAAAGGCTTTCATAGCCCACATAGCTTCGACTTGGGAATCATTCTCGAACTCTTCGGCGGGTCTTGAAAGTACATCCTACAAAGCCATACGCAATTAGATTATGTTCAATAAAATCTATGCATTTTAAAGAAAATACCATTTTGGATAGGAGACGCAAAAATAAACACACGTGGTAAGAAAGAATTCTCGTTTGACACTGACAATCGGTTTTGACATGCAGGTTAACCAACAACTTGGTAATAAATTTGATTTTAGCCCGCCATAACCGGTATTTTCAACCTCTGGTTAATCTGGTAAGATAATGTTAAGTAACTCGGTTGATACTGATATGGACTCAAGTACAGATTAACCAATAACTGCCTATAACTAGGAAAAACATAATATAACACGACCGGCATTTCCTTCCTCTGATTAATGTTTATCTGGATAATTACAACACGCTGAAAACGATTATAAATATATATATATATATAGCAAAATAGATTAGTTTTTCTCATAAACTAAAATTTTATTCTGTATAAGATATATAATTAACAACAGTTCTCGTTATATTAATACCACCATATATCTCTCTAATTGTTGATTAAATATAAGAATTTCTGTAGTTGATTTCTATTTCAATTATTATAGTAGAAGCTAAAAATTTCAATCAAGGTTTCATTGCATTTTACTGCAATTAATTGTTTATAATGAGTTTATTAGAAACGTGCAATGTAATATAACAAGAATGTGTGATTTGACATCAAAACTTGTGATTAAAGTTCAACAGTTATAGAAAGTTAAGCAATATCTGTCACGGATAAATCTTGGATGGATTAAAGAAACTGTTACCAAATAGATGAATTGTTACAGAAAAAAGACTTTAACTGAATATTGTAATCAAGTAGGATCAAACATAGAAATTGAAGGAAACAAAAAATGAAATGAAAGGAAATGTGTTAGAATCATGAGACTTATTTAATTTGAAAACAATTAGATACCAAATTTTTATTAAATATATACAAGTGACTACAGACCTAGATTATCTACACATAAGAAAATCACAGATATATTGATTATTTATATTATCAATTATTTAAAAGATACTTCATTTAGTTCCTTGCTTTACCATTTTGTTTTTGTATATATAAAAAAAAAGTTGTATGTATTTGCACTTCTCGTAACATATATTTTCTTTATGTATATACGTCGGTATATATAAAACAATTATATGATTAAAATGAAATGTAAAGTAATAAAAATAAATAGAGAAGAACATATGTATATATAACAGTATAAACAAATTTCATTTTGAATCATAAATTCCAGCACGCTTTCTTAGGAATACATTTATATATATAGATATATACTGGTTGTTTTAATCCCCGTATTTCTCTCCGTCCAACCCTCATCAATATATTTTTAAATATATATATATAATTTTATATTTTTTTGTATTGTTTTAAATCTGTATATGTACACCTTTAATTCCGCTAAACTTATCACAAAATATATTTTGGAATACCTTACTTTTCTTTTGTATTTTTTTTTGTTATTCTTGTGTATATATTATTTGTTTTGTCGCATCTGCCTGTGTTACGCTAAACTTAAATCCGTACAAATTACTGCAAGAATGAATTAAAAGCCGTCTGAATAATGCAAACCAGTGCCTGAACCAACAACGAAAAAAAAAATGCCAACAATAACATGAAACAAATGTATCAAACAAATAGCGTTCGCCTAAACCGTGAATACACGTTAAAGAAAAACAATTATAATAATTTAAAGCACTAAATTGAATTCACTTTGTTATCATTAATATTTGCAGTGAGTGAGTGATCGATCTGTAATGATTTCTCTACGACGTAACATTGATCTCGCGCGGTGAAGCCAGCGCTGGCGGGACTACAGCTACGATACTCCTGGCTGGAGACACGACGATGCTTTGATCCACCCTTTGTCGGGCCTCGTCGGTGGCCTGTTTAATGGCTTCCTTGTATGGTCCTCGCTTCTTTTTGTCATAGTACACCTATAAAACCAAAGTCGGTTAAAGCTATGAGAGTCTGTTGGAGCGGGTTTACGCGTTTTACTTTGAAATTATCTAAATACAAGCACAGCTGGTTGCACTGCAACAGCGAGGAGGTCGTTGACCCGAACCAGGAGATGTGAGCTTGGCAGTCGCCGCCCTCGCAACTAGATAGCGTCAAAATCCTTGCTGGCCACCAGGGGAATCCCGGCAGCTTTCCCCAAACCACTTCGCCTACTGTCATGCGACATCCTGCGTGATACATGTGAACAGTTTTGTTTGTTTGCTTTTTGTTTGATTTGATTTGTTATATATATATAATTTTTTTGTATTTGTGTGTGCTATTTAACAATTGGTTAGGCCTTTACCATCGATTCCCGAAGCGTTGCCGATCGCAGGTGAGGACGGCAGCCTCAGCAGCACGCTGGGATTCGTCTCTGGGAAGTCCGGCACTTGTTCGCTCTCATCGGAGCTACAGTCATCAGTCTTATCATTGGAGCACGACGTGTACGAAGTACTTAAGCGTTTCAGGTTTATCGATAGTTTTTGGGTAAGACAGGGCTCCTTTGACGGTTCCTCGTCCCCGTCCTTGTTTGATGATTTCCGATCCTTGTCCTCGCGATGTTTCTTTTTATGCTTCAACTTGCGTTTCCGCTTCTTCGGCGTGGTCGGCTCCGAAGCCGTGGCAGTGACGTACCTAGGCGAATGGTTACCCAGCCCATGTCTAGGCGAAGCACTACCCACCGTGTACCTAGGCGATGATCCGCCGTACCTGGACGCGCTGAGGTCTGAAAACAGAAGAATTCCAAATATAAATGCAAGATAAACTATAATAAATAAACAATTTGATGCACATCATGTTTAAAATTATTTATGGATTTTGACTACCCTCTAGACTTGTTTTATTTTGAGCGTTTTAGCAAATTCAGTTATTATAAATAATTATAGTAGATTGCAAATAAATAACTATTAATGTATATGTTAGTTAAATAAATCTTGTTTTTCCTACTTATAATTATTAAGAGAGCGATTTAATTATATTATATACTTATGCGAAAAGCGAGTTTGTATTTGAAATAATATTAATACATTTTATTGTAGCTTTAATTATGATACTATCAGATTTGAAATTAAGTAATTAGTTAATACGTAATCATTTAGAAACCATGCAGATACAATTCAAATACTCGTAAATAAGGCACCTGTTGATTTAGCTGCTCATACTAATTAATGAACTTAACAGTTTTATGTAAACAAGTGTAACATTTAAAACTGTTATTAATGTTTACATAAATTAAATTGCATAATTATTAATAAAATCCTGTTAGTAGAAAATAAACGTTACATAATTAATGTGCTTGGCATAAACACATTGAGTATGAAATTTAGAGGTCATGCAATAAATTCATTTTCCTTTCCGATAATCGATCATATAACCCTATTAAAGTATTCAGAACTTCTTTAAAAAATAAATGTATGTATAATATACTAAATCGTGTAAATATAAAAGCGTAATTGTCAACTTATTAAAATATCTAATGAGATAATTATTAATTTACTAATATGTAAAAAAAACTTGTATTAGATTATATAAATAAAGTTTGGTATAGCATTAATTAGGGGGTTTTCTTAAAAACAGGCTATTAGCCACGAGATTTTTTTATACGTGAATGCTTTTACTTAGAAAACCGTGTGCATTCTATAAATAACAAGTTGACATTGTTATTGAATGATTTTTTTTATATGTAATTTGAAAACCCAAAGATTGTGTGACTTTTATATCATTCATTTTCATTGCAGTCATATTTATGAAAATAATTTTAAACATCGGTACTTTTACAATGTACACTGCAATGTTTTAATAATATTATTTACATTGTTGTTAAATGTTTTGGTAAAGACTGAATTCTAGGAGATGGACGAAAAACAAGCATAAGGCAAACGAAATGTTACCTGGTGAACTAACAATGACTTTCTTCTTTGCTTCCTTCTTGGCCTTCTTCATCGCCTTCCTGGCAGCTTTGTTGGTCTCCTTCTCCTCGACGTTCACGTTCTCGCCCAGATCATCTTCAACGTTCAGATTCTCGATCTGAGCGGGTATCTTCAGCACCGTTCCTTCTCCCTGAGGTCCGTAGCATATCTTTATAGTCCTTGGCGTGGTCTGCTGCTCCGGTTGGTTATTGTGTTCATCACATCGCTTCTTATTCCGCAGGTTGCGCCTGAACTCGGCCAGCTGCTGCACAACATCATTCGCGTCCGCATTCTCGAGCGGGGAATGGCTCATATTGTCGACGTTACTCTTAACATTATCACAAGTTTGGGGTAAATTCGATACAGTAACTAAAGGTTTCTTGTTATTATCTATATTGATTTTATTTACATTTCCACTGAGAGCGGTCGGGATCTGCTCTTGCGGCGCTTTTGGTATCAGCGTCCTCTTCATCTCTGGTGCCTTTTTGCTCTTGCTCAGCACCGTGTTCACAGACCTGGTTATGGGCGCATTCGCGCTCCTTTTGATTGGCGGGGATAGGATGGTTTCTGTGGATTTCCGTTTCCTTGTCACATTCTCGGAATTTTCATTGCATATACCCTTGCATTTTGAACAGAGCACCTGCCTAGGTCTTAGCCGTACTGTCATCTTGTTGTTTTTGTACTTTGAGGAGATGACATTCTTCTTCTTGACAACATTTGCAGGGTCTGTGTATGCATATCTTTGGTTTACTGAATAAAGGGGATCCTCTGCGGCTGTTGCTGTGGCAGGTGCTTTTGATGGTACACTGAAGGCAGGATTCAGACCTGCCACACCGCATGGTAAATTTCTACAAAACGAATGTATTTTGTTAATATTCATTGGTGTAGCCAGCATCCCTCTATTACTCAATGATTTAATGGGTGTGTTAATTGTAGCTGATTCATATGCAGCAATTTGTTTGTGATATAAGTGGAACTGTACAATACAAACATCAAATTTGCGAATTGGGATGTTGAATGAGGCGAATAGACAGGGACTTACTTTTTGGTGGAGTCTAGGAGGACTCCCTTGAATATTTTCAAGCCAAATTCGTAGGTGACAACAAGGATATCGGGCAGGGCTTCGTCGACAAGAACGGAGATCCTAGTCTGCTTTAACAAATGAATATCGTCCGAGTCCGCCATTATATTTCATTCACGCACACATAGATCGGGAATAGGTGGATAAAAATATATTGCGTCGATGCTCCTGAGCGAGGAGGACGAGCGCCAAATCCGCATCCCATCCGGTTCTTCCTGAAAGAGGCTTTTTTGCGAACACCGAGCGCGGCAATTCTGGGGCCGACCTCGGTTCCTGAAAGAATACAAATATTATCGATCCCCGACTCGTGATTGTTGATTTTTCAGTGCGATTCATGGGAATCGCTTCGCCTAACCTCCAGTCACGAAACACCACCAATATTATGCAACGTTGCCACGTCTTCCCATTTTGTCCGGCCAAAAATACCCACGAAACCTCATTAATCATGTGCATATTCCATCATTTCCCTCGAGACAGTCTTAGCATAGTCTCGAGGAAGTGACCCAGGTGTATTCCAAATTTAGAAATCACAATATCAAAATGCCACTACAAATATTATTACAGTAATACTTCGCTTAACGTAGTTCTCTTTATCGCAATTGCCTTTATCCTTTATCAACGTATAAATGCCTAAAATATATTTCAAGTATATTTTATTTGTAACTAATTACTTAAAATGTGTTACTTTACATAAGATCTAAGATCCTTGTAATAATCGTTGTAACTTTACAATTAACATATTCTATTTGACGATGATTAACAATGTAACATTGTAACATGTTTGCATAAAATTATGTAGAATGCCATGACTGGCCATGACTATGTCAACTGTTGTCAGTTAGATAAGTTAATTTACAAGCAAGGTGGTTGCGGTCAGAAAAATATAAATGAAATACGCATTTGAGGATCGATGCAAAGTTATTGTCAAGCTGACAATATACCAGACAAAGAGATATACTCAATTAGTGTCAAGGTGAACGATCTATGGATCGCGAGGAAGTCATATGACTTATTTATATAATATTTTCGGTATTTTTAGCGGTCACATTGGGTGATTCCCGCGAAACTTGGCAGCCGGGCCTTCTGTGCGCTCCTGTATTGCGCGTAACACAGCTGCTAAAGGCATGAGATCAACTGAAAATCCAATGGTATTCCCCGGTGCATAGTGGGGGTTGTTGTAGATCCATATTGGGGGGAACGGAATTGTTACCTTTCATTCACTCTTCAATTGACCAGTGTGCTACCATCGACCGGAAGGAAGGTAGTAGAAACAGGAAGTGAGTTCGTAGCGCGTTACACAATTGTAGTTATTAATAAACTCGACCCTATTTACTTAGAAGATGCCTGAAAGAATTAAAATAGATGAACCTCTGTGGGATCAGAGCTCCTTCATTGGTCGCTTCAAGCACTTCTTCTGGGTGACTGACCCCTTGACATGTATGGTCAAGGATGAAGAACTGGACAAGGCCAAGATTCTGGTGGAACAGTACAGGCTAGGGAAGGAGCCCAAGGGAACCACTAATGAGCAGGTCATCTATGCCAAGAAGTTGTATGAGAGTGCCTTCCATCCGGACAGTGGGGAGAGGCAAAATGTCTTTGGAAGGATGTCCTTCCAGGTCCCTGGTGGAATGTTACTCACTGGTGCTATGCTACAATTTTACAGGTCAGTCAATAATTATCTCCACTTAAAAATGGAGAAATCAATACTAACTGGTGTATTTGTTTCATAATCTTTGATGCGTCGCAAACGCAATATTTATCAATGTTGTTTTCTTCTTGACATTAACGCAACGTTGAAATGGGATCATTTATTTTTAAATTTAAAACTTCTATTATCTTTTCTTTGGAAGCGGTCAAGTTGGGTTGCCTATATTAATGAAAATTATTATGTCAGTGGCGTAACCCTTTAGGGAAGGAAATGAAAATGGCGTTTATATAAAAGGGCGTAATCTAAAATCAATACTACTTACCTCAAGAAAAATCGAAATAATAATATTTTATCAAACAACTGTTCATAAAAAAAGCAAAAGAATCATATTAAAATAAAACATAATTACTTGTTTCAAAGGAAAATCTCAATTTGTTGTTTTAACTAATGTTGTTTTTCTAAACTATCTACTTATTAAAGTATTATAAATTGGATATTAATGATTTGTCAGTATATATTATGTTACATATCTTATCTTATATATCTTATTTATATTTGTATTGTAAGTTTATACTATTTAAAGCAATCTTGAAGTTATAATATATTTCTTTTGCTAAAGCTTTGAAGATTTCATGTGTGTTTACAAACACTAATTACATGTATAATTCTATTAATAATATTTTCATCTTCGCTATGACGCGATTGGTGGCCTCTGAAATTCTATGTATATTTGTTTAAATTCTTTTGATACGTGTTAAGCATGTGTCAAGTATCTAACATTTTGATAGGACGGAAACAAATAAAATGCCAATACTTTTACAATAATACGAATATTGACGAGTAATTGTATTTTCTTTTAATTGTTTCAGAACTAGCACAGCAGTTGTATTTTGGCAATGGGTGAATCAGTCTTTCAACGCACTGGTCAATTTCACAAATCGCAACGCTAAGTCTGAAGTTTCCACGACGCAACTGGGAATAGCTTACGTTTCAGCAACGGCCTCTGCGATGATCACAGCTTTGGGATACAAAGCCTACCTGCAGAAAACTGCAGGTCCTTTCATGCAGGTACGTTTGGATCTGTATTTGTTTCTGGAACAGCGTTCTGAATTTGCAAGGGTTTCAGAGGTATGTCCCATTCGCCGCCGTTGCCGCTGCGAACTGTGTAAATATTCCATTGATGCGTCAAGCTGAATGGATGAGTGGCATTGATGTTGTCGACGACAAAAACAACATTGTAGGCCAATCGAAATTGGCTGCTGGCAAAGGCATAACTCAGGTGATCATGTCAAGGATCACTATGTGCGCACCAGGCATGCTGATCCTCCCTGTGATCATGGAAAGGTTGGAGAAGTACGCGTGGATGAAGAGGATCACATATTTGCATGCACCTATGCAAGTTATGTTCGTCGGTGGATTGTAAGTTCCATGTTACTCTCTATGATGAGCAATGCATTAAAGCCAATAATTTTCAGCTTAATATTCATGGTACCAGTTGCGTGCGGTCTGTTCCCGCAGAAATGGTAAGTTTGTTGATATGCCATACAATCGAAATCTGATTGCGTCTTTTGCAGCTCATTGAAGACGTCGACGTTGGAGTGGCTTGAACCTGAAGCGTACAAACAGATGTTGGAGAACACGAACAACAACATTCCTGAGCGGATTTACTTCAATAAGGGATTGTAATTGGACTGCAAGCCATGATTAGGTGCGAGACGAATAAGTCCTTCCAAGCGAAGGACCAAAATAGTAATCGGTAGGGAAAATAATGTAACGGTGGAATTGCTTTTTATTTAGACAATAATTTGATTTTTAAAAGAACTATTTATTTATTGTATTTACAATAAGGTAAGAAACGGGAAATATCGGTAAGCAGGTCGAAACGATTTTATACAGTTTTCACTTGTCTTGGTTTATATGCACGATTTCCAATACGCAATAGCTCGAACGTTGTTCAATTGAATTTAGTAATAAACGAGAGGAGCAATAATGTAATATTTTACACTGAATAACTTCTTATTATTATTATGTTTCTGTCAGTTGTTAATTGTTTTTTTTGTCCTTTTTAAAAATAAACGAGAAAAATAAATGCTATGCTAGTTTTCGTTTCTGGAAGCGCCACTTTCGTAAATATTTAAAAAATTCTAATACTAATTTAAAGATAATATACATGTTACAACCCAAACTATATAAATATTTACAAAATATATATAAGAATAATATAACAACGAAGAGAGAATATACAAATTGGCAAACATTGGTTAATGGGCGAGTTTCTGTTTGGTCGACTCGAGGAGCATGGAGGCATCGCACATCATTCGGGCGTTGCTTCGCACCAGGAAAAGGAGATGGCATTCCTCGTATACTGTGAGATGGACTTTGGCGCATACCAAGCCGTGCAGAACGGTGGCTCGTTGAAGGTCCAGCCATCTCTGAAGAGCGGATTCGCGTTCGCGTACTGTCGAACCTAAGGCCACATCGCTAGGTCCCCAAAGTGAGAACTCCAGGATGGATTTCACCTGGGTCAAGGCGATGGCTCTTTCTGTATTAAGCAGAGAATGCAGTAAAGGTGCGAGTTTCGCGTTGGGGTTCAGGTGATCCAATGCTGTCAGCACGCACATGCACAGCGTACCGAATTTCTCCTCTTCCTTTTTCGAGCTCATATCCTCGCCCAAGCTAAAATAATATAATTGCTTTAGATCTATCTTTTGTAAACGTATTCCAAGTCGAACTTACCCTTGCAATACGAATAACCTATTATGAGCTTCCTTGTCCATTTCTTTGCAGAGTACGAAGCTCGTTAACGACAGAGGCAGCTCTTCGATGCCTTGGGCCTGGAGTGTCTTCAACGCATTGACCAGTTGAAGCAGGACGAAGCACACGTCCTTCCAGACTTCTTCGCCATTACTCTTCAGCTTCAGCATCTCGCTGAATGTCTGTATTGTGTTCACTTGCATGCATGGTAACACGGCTACCGTAGCTGTGAAATCAAAACGAAGTTCTATCGGGTGACCGGTTTCATTCGTTCGATTATAATGATTACCTTGCAAATGCTTGATGTCCTGGGTCGCTTTCGTCGGTAGATATTTGATGGGAATTAGATCGCTGAACTCGGTGATCGGAAGTAAACTAAATGTGCCCAAAGAAAGTGGACTCGTCGGCACCGAACCGGAACTGATGACCAGCGTTACATGCTGGCTACCCCACATCGCCTGATGGAAGGCTCTCGAGCCGACCATTAACGGGGCCAAAGTCGCCTTTATGGTGAAATCGCTCCATCGAAGATTCGCAGCTGATTTCAAACCTCTCAGCGCTGGTAGGATCGTCGGTGTTTGTTGTATCTGATTACAAGAGGATTATTAGATTGAGAATAGGGTGACTATTAAGGTAGTTACGTTTTCTAGAACTTGCGCCAAGGCCTCATGGTTTGCGATTACCACAGCTCCATAGTTGTCCTCTAGATTCTTGTGAACTATACTTCTTCCTTTGCGAGATCTCAACTTGTGCGTGCGACCACCAGTGCTATTCCAATCGTGATCATCTTCGGCAATCTAAAAGAAATAATTTAATTATATTATTTTACATTTGATTAGAACAGAAAAGTACTTTAATATGTGAAAAAATAATGTAGTAGTATTAGTCGTACCAATTATAAGTAATATCTTACCTCTGATTCGCTTCCATAGTAGCTGTATGGCGAATAAATCTCGGATTCGGTTTCGCTACCACAGTACGTCAAAGACATTGTCCTGGGGATGTTGCTGTACTTGTAGTAATCGCTGGAAACGTCGACGTTGGACTCAGATCTAACAGGCTTCAATACGGGACTCTTGCAGGACTCGTACTCTGGTGAACTGGAGCGACCGTTGATGTAATCGTAAACATTTTCTGTTGAAGAGGTATCCTTGTTCCTTAAATCAATTGGTTCGTAATTGTGCGGCTGCGGTTTTGTCTGCTGCTGCTGCTGAGCCTCGCGTTCCCTCATGCTAGCGGTCCTCTGGGGCTTATTAGGTGTTATAGCCGAACGCACTTCGCCGATGTTAGCGTAAACTGTATCTGTTTTCTTGGCCAGCGCTCGTTGATTTTGTAAGTTCTTGTGCTTGTTCAGAATCTCAGCGGATTTAGGTGGATGCGGTAAACTAGGTTTAACTTCGTCGTAGGTTCTAGGTGGTGGAGGCGGCTTAGCTCCTCTGTAAGAGGTGTACTGAGGCGTTGCATAATCTTGCTCCTTAAGAACCTCTACTTTACCACTGTTCAGATCTAGCGGGTGAACAATCACGAGTCTCGGCTTCAGATCATCTTCGGCGCTTCGTGCATCCAACGGCAGTTTATGCAGATCCTTGTTTGAGCCCATTCGAAGGAATTTTTTCAACGAGAAGCGACCACGAGCCTTTTCCTTTTTCCTCTCGTCGTTGCTGGCAAGACTGTCGGTGGAAAGTGAAAGAGATCGTCTCGGGGCAGGCTCCGGGATCGAAGATTCAACGATTAGCTCGTTCTGGCTATAATTGCTCATTGAACTCACGAGCTTCGGACCAATCGATGCTCGTTCTCTCTTCTCCTTCTCACGAACAACCGGGGAATCTGAGTTTGGCGCCGGGTTTCGCGTGTAGATCTGCATAATCTCCTCGGAAGGCGGTTTCGGTGCTTTCCTTTTATTCGAAATCTTGCAAACATCAGATCCGTTCGAATCTTGTTTGGTTAATTTTGTCTTCTCTTCGGTTTTAGCTTCCACGGAGAAGGTGGTCATCACGTTTTGTGTTTCTATTTGGTGCGTGATGATAGGTGGCTTCCTGATCATTATCGTGGATGGTTTGCTGGGGATTTTAGGCTTCTCTGGAAGAGGATCCACATTTGGTGGAGGTGTTCGAGGAAGAGCAGGTGGTTCGCTAGCGTCCGGATCCGCTCTTCCGTCCGGTTCACCAGCCAATTCCCGGCTTTGCGAGAACGTAACGTTCTGGTATTTCAAATCGCTTCCGCTGTCAGAATCGTCTTTGGCGCTCTCCTCTCCGCTGCTAGTAATACTGCTATCATCCGTGACTGATTCCGTCTCGCATTTGATTTCTTCCTTTTTCAAACTCTCGTTGGTGATCTTTGTGTTCTTTGTGTTCATCAACTCGATCTTGGTTATGGCCGTTTGGTAAATGACAGGTTTATCATCGCGTTTGATAACTGGATTCCTCGTCAGGCCGTTTTTCCTCTCAGGAATACTAGATTTCTTTTTCTCTTCAATAACCGACTTGTTGAGTTTCTCATCAATATTTTCCTTATTCGCAACATCCGGAATACTCAATACTATTTCCTTCTGGATCTTCTTTCTGCTGATGATCTGAATGGGATTTACGCTGTTCTCGAGGGTCTCCGATATTTCATCCAACAATGATTTCTCTTCATTTTCGATCTTCTCGTCGTTCTTCGAATATGAAGTCAAGACGACGTTTTTATTGTCGTAATTATCTTTGTTCTTAGCTATCGGTATATGCGACATCGGTTTCGACTTCTTGTTGTCCTGCCCGAAAGGTGTAACACTAACCAGGAGCGTCTGCTTACGTCCTTCAGAATCCATCTGCGGTTTTCCGAGCATCAATTGGGCATAGGATTTCTTCGTTTCTATAGCGTCGTTGAGAGAGTTCGTGTTAAAATCGGTATTAGCTTTGGTCAGTCTTATCAGTTCCTTATCGTCCTCCTCATCTGGTTCGCTATCATCTTGCGATTCTTCATAAACTTCTTCTTCTTCTTCTTCCTCCTCGCCCTCGTACCAATCTTCTCCGCCATAACCGATGACTTCGAATAGCTGCTTATTAAAGTTCACGTTGCGCCTAGGCTTCTTCTTGTTCTGGCTACGGATGATTCCTTCCACGCTCTTACTTATCGACAGTTGGACGGTCTTCACCTTTTGCATGTGCTCATCCTTCGATTTGAAGCAGTTGGAGCAGAGGTCTTTTTTCCACGCGTTCTGAACGAAATTCTGACATATTGCTGACATATTGATCTGCAAATCCAAAAAGAGAATCACAATTATTTTTTCTGCATAAGCAAAAGGGTTACACAAAAGTAATAACAGTTAAACAAAACTGTTCATTTTTAAGACGGGAATAATAAACTGTAAGAATTACGGTTTTTCGTTGCATTGTTCGACTAATATTTAGCACCAATCTCTTTGTGAAAAATGAGTGTTTGCCATCATCATTAAGCCGACTATATGATTTGCTACTCGCTTAAACCGAGATAAAAGACGGTCGTGATTCATTGATGAGTTCTTTTACTTTGCGCTCGTTTTCTTGGTCCACCACCAGGGAAAACGATGAACGTAAATGAAGTACACTTTAATGCGTTGCGAAATCCATTATGAATCATTTATGATATGCATACATGTGTGTGAGTGTATTTATGCAAAACTTAGATGTTGTCTGTGTCCTTATTTAATAAATTACACTGTCGGAGTTATTGACCAGAACAGAAGTGAAAGTAACACAAAGCCGACGATTTATTTCCATGATCTCGGAGATGGTAGACAATCAAGTTGCACAAACAATCAAATCCTGCCGAACGGCGTTACGCAATCCTATGCAGTTTTCTTGATGTTTGCTTATTATACCATCGCGGTACCAATAAGGATTCGCTGTTGCAACTCGGAGCGGACATCAATTAACGCTGCAAGAGGATTGCGCAAGGTGAATCCAAATATATTAAATGGTATGCTGCATACCTAAATCCAAGACATAATTATAATTCAAATCAATATTGGAACAAGCACAAGAACTTGCATAATACAAACATTCTTATAGTTTATTAGAATTGGATTTATCAAGGTGTTTTAATTATGTTTACAATCGTCAATGAGAATAATGCAATAATAAGAAAATCACTTTGTTTGTAAATTACAAATGACGATAGTTGTTTGTAAGCAAACAATCATAACAAACAATCAATGTTTAATGTAATTATCAAAAGATTAGAAATATGAAAGTATATTTTTTTAATCAATTTTAAGAGCTAAAATTTGACATTTTATTTTCAATAGAAATAATCGAATTATGTTGAAAAATATTGTGTTTAAGTTGGAAAAGTTTAAAAATAATGTGTGGAATTTCTGTCAGGTAAAGTACATATTTTTGTTATGATAAGGTAAACGTGCTTATGCACATACTTTGCGGTTGATTATATTTATAGAAATGGTCACATGGTACGTTTCTGTTCCGTTTCCATAACAAACCAAGTGCAAGGATAGTGAATTATTTAATACTAATACTAACTGAAAAAATAAATAATTTAATACTATAGGTTTTCAAACAAATTTTGAGATTATTTTTTATTGAAGTATTAAGAAATGTTAAAAATTATTAAGTAAATCTTTGTCAGTGTGGAAGCTACGTATTAAAACAATGTTGCTTAATAGGTGTAATTTGTTAATTAGATAATAAGATGAACCTTACAGATGTCCTTAAGGAAATCTTTTGTTGCGTGCTTATTTTCTATAAATAGATGTAATGATCGTTTGGCGTTAGGTTTACTCGTAGTGATATCGATGTAATTATGAACAACAACAAAAATACATCTGTGTCGTCAGATTTGTACAAAAAAGAATAATTATTATGTTGAACAAACGGCTGGACAAAACGCATGTATACGGTTTCTCAACAATCCCTCTTTACGAAACAATGACCGCTTGGATACTTTACAACCTTAACCTTCGAATATCACAATTACGAGCTGCATGTAAAGAACGACGGTGTAAAATTAAAAAAAAAATCTATATGGACAGTGTTGCATGGATACGGCGAAGAGCAGCGCTTCAGCACCGTGACAAATTATTACTTTGTAATAACAGTCGTTCTATTCTGCAATCGTCCTGTTCTGGACGATATCCTCTTTAGGTCAAACCAATTGCTACACAGAATGGTAGATGGTAGAAGCAGCAGATTGATTCGCTCTTGTCTGCTTGTTTTCAATTCGGCGATCGAGCGAAAGTTTCCGTCAATGTCGAAGGTTCGAAGACTCTTAGGGTCAATGGGTCGAAAGTACAATGTGCGTGGAATCTCGTCGACGCATCCGAGGTTTCAAATGCGAGGAAATACAAAAGACGCTCCTCTTATGCGCGTCGTATTCGAATACTATATAGTACGATTTTGAACGGTACATTTGACCGGAATGTAGATCGCCGTTATTCAATCAAACCAAACTAACGCGATTTTTCCGAGACGCTCTACCAAAAAGGCAATTGGTAACGCGAATCCACGACCTTGCCATATATAAGTCATCTTCAACTCATCTCTTCGGTTCGAAGTACGGGAAAAATCCGCTTTCCAAATTAGAAAACCAGTTAAATACCGCTGTAATTGATGCTCCATTTTTTTTTCTTTAGTTCCAATAAACGGATCCAATTTCTTCGAGTCATTAAGTTTTCTTTTCTTATTATGATACCTGCAGCTTACAACAAAAAACTTGTTTTTTTTATACAATAATCAATAATTATATAATAATAAATTTCTATTATTTCGCGCAGTCACGATTTGTTTATTATTTCTATTGCACAATAAAACGATTCATCGATTTCTATTCAATATAATATTTTCTTTTGAAGATTCTCTTTATTACGTATTGATTATTTCCAAGTAAATGCTTGCAAGTTCAGTTAAGTAAACGATATTTATAACGTCTTCACCAAATATGGTCCGCAACGCTAGACCGCAACCATTTGCGGATCTGAACTGAACATTGTACAATTTTTCTCGATGCTTAACAGAATTTGTGTAAAAACAAGTTCCTTTTATAGTTGGGAAAATCTGGGTCATTTTGAAAAATATTTTTTTTACACATCTGCTGTTTGTACATCATAAAAAAGAAGACATATTCTGGTGGAATTCCTATTTTTTCGTCGTCTTTTAGGGTTCATTCAAAAGATTATGCCCTTGGGACTTCCTCAAATTTAGTTACTTTTAGTGAAAATACATCTGGTCTGAAGTCTTTAGATTTTAAATGTGAATATTTTAATTAATTTATTGTTATTTGTAAATATTAAGGTAAGTTTTCTGTTCATTAAATTGTCACCAATGATTTTTCTTGGACTTTTTAACATTTGTACAATTTAACTTTAACTTAACTTTCACTATTGGAAAATTCTAAAATCTAAGATTTGTTAATTGTGTGTAATTTTGTATTTTCCAATTGAGAAGGTAACATGTAACAATTTGGTTTAAATTATAGTAAGATTGATCCAAGTGGCTTTTTTGCACATACTGGGTCGAGTAGCATATGTGTTTGTTTCATTAAGTAAAATATTATGTAACTAATTTCATCCTTGTAATATTTTTTTTAAATAAAATAAAAGTGAAAAGAAAACATAAAAAATTTGTTGTAATTTTTCTAATTTCACGATTCATGAATCAAAATTTGTTGATTTTTTTCTTGTGTTTAAATTCATCTTTTTTTGATTTTTTTAATTATATTATTTAAGTACAGTTTCTGAAATTTGTTACAATTTTCTTGAAACGTTTTAATTAAAATTGTTAGAAATTCAACAAGGAAACAAATTAATGACGAAGAACATTTAAAATTTCTTCTTTGGAATTTAATGATTCATGTTATACTTAATAATAATCGCCTATAACTGATTAACAATTAATTATTTATTGATTTCTCTTTTCATAAAAGCACTATGTGAATTTGCTGAATAAATAACTTCCTCGTTTTATTTAATTTCAACATTCCAATTGTTAATAACTGTTAAAATAAACGAAAAATAGATGAAAACAAATCCAAAAATAGAACCATAAATTAATATCACAAGAGTTGCCTCAACAGTTGAGACCGAGAAAAGAAATTTAATTATACACTCGGTTCTCTTCTCGTTATTATTACTATTATAATACTTTTTTTCTTCTCGTATCCTTCCTAGAAGATGAGCATTATATTAGACTCCGAGTGCGAATCACATTAAATCAATGATGATAATTAAAGCATTTCGTAGCAGAAATTGCGCGAGGAGAAATCTTCGAAAGAAATCCGTTCCCTACATGGTAAATCCTCTTCGCAAAGGAAAATATTCTAATATCGAGTGAGTTTCACTTTGCAACTGCATGTATCGTATCTCTTTTTTTCTGTTATTTCGATATGAAACTGCACGACTAATTAAATTGTTTTGGTAGAGTCGAAGTAATAAACTTTTTTTAAATACGCTTTGGCCTTAATCACACGAAATGAAATGCGCTTTTCTCGCTTTGGAAAGGAAAAAAACAAATAATGGAAAGGTCTAAAATGTAATTAGTTAAATTTAAAAGGAAACACTTACAGTCGCTTGAGCTTATTGGCGAAACTTTCATGTCACATTTCCAGAGATTCTCATCTTCGAGGTCAAATGGTTAAAGCAACGAAATAACGAACTCTTCTATGTGGGAGCGCGCTAACATATTTATAGTACTCTTTTTCCCTCCGCTTTTGATTTCTTTCTTATATTACAATTTACATAATTATTAAAATATTAAAATTAATTCTTTAATTTATTGATATTGCATTTTTTTTCAGATTTTCGTGTGATTTGTTGTCTTATTACTATAATTTCATTATTGTCGTAATCTATACACTATACGCTTCTGAGGTTACTGTTTTTGAATAGTCTTTAGGAATAAATTGAGTTTTTGCTAATTTCTTTAATCCATTATTGTATATCTACACCTTTTAATTATTCTATTGAACAACAAGTTTATTGTATGAAGTGTCTATTATGAAAATATGTTATAAGGAAATTATTGCGAAAAATATAATAACTTGGAAAGTGTTAAGCTGCTCGCACACCTGTTCAGCTCAGATGTTTAAACATACAGTGGAACCTTGCTTAACGAACATAATCCGTTCCAAAATTTCGTTAACCGAAACGATCGTTATGCGAGGTGCTCGTTAAGCGAGGTTCCACTGTATATTATAACTACATAGTTATCCACACTACATGTGTTACTTTGCCAAGTAATGTTTGAATATGTTTTATGTAATTTGTAGATTATTTGTCAATGAATCAAGGATTTTTTATTTCATACGTTTTATGTAATTTTTGCAATAAATATTATTATTTATGTAGTTTCCATAATTCTTTAGAATTACAGAATTCATCGCATAATGTGGCTTCGATCTGTGCTGATTCACGGTTTGATTGATCGTTATCGATTAGTCCGGTTTTAAACAGTGCGAACGAAACCGATTACTCAAATTATTTATTAAAATATTTACAGAAATTTAAAATATGAAATCTCTTTACTCATGGACAAGTACTTCCTAAGTATAAAGTCTGTAACGTCTCATGACTTAACTAAGAACTTGTCAAGTACTTATAAGGAAATTCGTCTACAAAAAATAATTTTAACATTTGTAATTGACAATAATATTAATTAAATTTAAGATAAAATTACTTAAATTATTTCTAAATTCAAGGATAATTCAAGCCGAACTTAAGAAAATCCATAAACATAATATATAGAATTTCAAAATGACTTTAATTAGGAAATCGTATGCAATTAGCTATTAGAAATCTGCTCGCAATCTACTTACACATCTACTTATTATTAATAATTTTTTTTTCTGCTCTTTCTCTCTTCGAGATTAATAATGCAGATTGTAAACGGTAAAGTGAGACTTGCATAATTTTGCGCGCTTTGCACAATATGCATACGCAAGTGAACCTTTAGCATTCGAAATGTGTCCGCTTTAGCATGTGTCGTATGCCTCATATACACATGTCTCTCTATTTCATTCTTTTTATTTCGCTTCCTTCATCATCGTTCGGATTTATAAAAGCTCTGGAGACATTAATATTTATACGTTCCATGCTAATCACAAAAACAACTTTTACTGTTATTCGCTTTACCGAACTGGCTCACGTTTTCACGCTACGAAAACATATGTTTCTTACTGAATCAATTCACATTCGGAATCGTATTTACCATAAACGAATGTATTATTTTATTTGTTTGTTATTTTCGATATAAAATCAAGATGTGAAAAAAATACATAGGTAAAAATTAAATTGTGGTATGGTGATTATATTAAAGTCATGATTATAAGTAATGTTTTTGTCACGATCGTCGTGTAACGTTATATCTTGATCATCTATGCACATGAAACTGTATACGTTATTTTAACAACGTATACAGTTTCATGTGTAGAACATAAAACATTTAAATCTTTAATTATACTTTTAATTAATTTGAGGCTTACTCAACTTTCATACATATTAAAAACTGACAGTGAATTTTTGTTTTGTAACAAAATTGATGATTTATTTGTACTTTTTGTTTAGTTTATATATTGTATTCATACATTTTTTCAGTAAAAGTTTTTTTTTTAATTTTCCTTTGAAATTATTTATGTATATTTTTTTTAGTTACTTACATGGAATGATATACGCTGCTACAGGAAGCCTTGGTTTCTGTAAGAATGTTAAAAATATATATTTCGAAGAGGAGGAATTCCATACAAGATGACATTAAATTATTCTATTTTTTTCGGAACGACACTTGAAAATGTTTTATTGAGCCGTAGGTGTCATGAATGCAAATAAAAGTCGATGTTTCCTTACTTATATTATAATTTAAGTGTTCTTTAAAAAAATAACTGAATTAAAAAATATTTCATTAATTTAAGTTTTATTTTGTAGAAAATTAATTAACCAAATTATAAAGTTGTTAAATGCATCAAAATGTAATCTTTATCTAATTAATTATTAAATAGTGTAATTTTTTTAAATTTTTGACGTCTATAACATTAATTATTTAATTGACAGATTTAATCTCAAAATATATATTTGAAGTACCTAAATTTTTAACATCAAATCTGTCAGTTATATTTAATCTGTCATGTGTCAAATCAAAACAATTTTGTATGTAATAAATTCTATATACATAAAGATCAATAGTAAGTTGTTAATTCAATGTATATTCAGAAAAACCTTATTTAAAAAAGAGGAATAGAAAAGCTAAATTTAATGAAAACGTGTAGAGAATTGAATGGTATTGAAATAATAGAAAAATTTAAAGAATAATTCCTGAAAGAAATGAAAAAACAATGTTTCACTTGTAGCAAACACAAAACAGTGGCAGTTTTTATGATAGATTTAAACGTTTATTTTAATATTTTCTACAAATCTTCTTGAAGAAACTTAATAATCCGAAACGTTCGCAAACACTCAGTTTAATTGACTGTTGCATTGTACATTATTATTATTATGTAACTAAAGGAAATAATCATGTAAGAATATCCTTCAATTGTCAACCTTGAGATATTTTATAGTGTGTACACTTAGAATAGATTAAAAATAAATGTAGGATAATAAAATAATGAAGTCGGACAATTTCACTATTTTATATAACTATTGCAATAAATAATATTAATGTAAATATGTAAAAAAGTAATTGAGTTTACGTAATAAAAGTGGAATTGCATTTGAGAATTGCAACATTACAAATGCCAACGACGACAAATGCGGATTTTCTCATTTCACGAAGTTTAAAAATAAATTTCGTCGTCGTTACTCAACCAAATACAATTTTTCTTATGGAAGATTACCATTTGTTGAAGGCTCATTTATTTCGAATTTACTTTCGGTGTTCCGCCTTCACGATAATCTTTCCAAAAAAACAAAACAAAAACATTCTAATAGATGTGCATTAAAGCAATAACCATCCGTTATAAATTCCCTTCATAATTTACGTCTAAAAATTATATTGCAATCATCGACTGAAACGGGCTTAAGTGCATCTTGTTGTTGTTTTCATTTATTATTTGCAGGTTGAATGATTCGAATGCAATGGACATGACCCGTTTTACGGCTGAAATGAGCCGTGAACAATGGAGACAATTCCACGCCGAACGATGGGTGTGTTCCATCTTTGACGTCTACAACCCTAGGCTTATTTATACATCCGCTACTTAATTATCGCACTTAGCTAAGTACGATATAAATAAAAATAGAACAGACAAAGTTGCTATGGTGATCCACTTGAAATGCAGCCGCTCTCTCGGGTCATTCGCAAATCGTTGACTCCACCATCTCAATTAATTAATTAATTAATTCACTGGTTATTATAAAAATGGAAGACAATGTTCCAAGATGATACTTTCAAAACGTATGAATGGATGATATTTAATTAATTATTATAAACATGGGATCGGTGAAAATCTTCTTTCAATCATTCAATAATCGCGATAATTGTATTGTAATTAGTGAAAAAAAAGTGTAAGAGGTGGGTAAATGTTGTTTTTCAACGTCCGTTAATTTAAAACGGCAAAGGCGAACAGCAACAACACAAAAAAAACAACAACTTTCTACTTTAATTATTTATGGAATTAATGTGCTTTTCCCATGTTTATTTTTTTTATATTAGCGCCGATTATAATAAGTGCAGAATAATCGGAGTAATTATAACAACTTTTTTTTCCGATTCATCGTGCATTCATTAACATTCAGTTTTCTTTATGGTAATTACTTTCGACAACAATAACAGGAACTTCTTTCAGATTTAAACATTTTTATATAAAGAAGTTTAGATGAATGAATAGGAAAGATTTTAGATTTAATAAACATTAATGTTTATTGTAAAAAGTTTATAAAACATTTATAAAAAAATGCAACATTTATGAAGAAATATTAAAAATCGAATAATTTCAGTAATAAAAATATATATAAATGAATTGAAAATTAAAACCATTAAAACATAATTAAATTTAAAACTTGATCAACAATTATTTAAAAAAAAAAATCAAATATTTTATTTATTTTTTACGAAATTTTAAGTAAATTCAAGAATGTGTATTATTAAGTAAGCTTTTTTATGTCTGTCGAATATCAGATCAGTCACGTTCAGTCAACGACTGAATTCCCCAATACAACGGTTCAGTTGATCATGAACGTAGATTTTGATTTATATTTATTATATGGGTTATTTGAAACAGTTGTTGTAATTGTTATTCTTCTCTTGTTCGACCTCCGTTAAGAAAACATTGTTGAGGTATAAGTTTACTGTCTTTTTTTTAATGACGTAATTTAGTTTATCCGTCTGTCATCACTAATCCATAATTTATTTACTTCAAGTACTGAATTATATACTTAAATACGTATAATGACAGTTTATCATAAAAAAAATAATCTTGCAATAAAATTTTATGTAGAATACTTAAAGAAAATAAAGACATTTGAAAACAAAAACTATACATGTGATTCAAATGACAGTCAGGTGTATCAACTGCAAATTACACAAATCTAGCTGTCAGTTTAGTTTTAATGATAGTTATAAAACACACGACTTATGACTGAAAACAGCTATTTAACTCTTTGAGCGGCGGTGGGACACGCATTGTACCACCCTTTGAACATGACTAGTGGGGTATTGTTATATTTTTTTTGAAAATGTCCAGGAAAGAGGAAGTTGTCTCATTCGGTTGTCTAGAAATTTAGGAATCTTTGGCCGTTCAAAGAGTTAAATCTATAGACAGTCATATGCACAAACTACTACGCTGTCAATCTATGACAGTGATAGACATCATGAGATGTTACATACTTTTATAAATATTTAGCAATTCAAAATGTTAACTGTAGTTACATCAATAAGAAAATGTTTGAGTAAGAAATCAACACGATTGCTTCTATTGTAATTGTATCACAATCCATTGTCAATTGAAATCAAGTATCTAACAGTGGAATAATCTTTGCAAGAAACATATGCGGATTGGATTAGGTCACGCTGTTTTGGAATGCGATTCACTCGAAATCTGTTACAGATACATTACAAATTTCAATCACGCGTCTCGCGTTAGGAAACACGATAATCAATGGTACCGAAGTAGCTGATGTCACACGATTCGGTGCGTGCAATCAAAGTGCCATTCACGAATTCCCTCTAAGTGGGCTAATTAAGGACCCAGAAACGAGCTCGGAGGAGCGAAAAGAAAGAGCATCGAGACTAATTCACCGTTAAAATATGTGAACCAGAGGTTTCGGTGCTCCTATAAATTATAATTAAAACCGTTCCTCGCGTTCGCTGCTCTTTATTTTCTTCAATTTAAAAAGAAAGCACGTAAAGAAAAGAGGAACGAGACGGCTTACGTAAGGCGATTTCTTTTGCCGATTGTTGGCATACATTAATAACGCGCTCGATGGAATTCCTACAATGCGATTATGCAACTGTCGATAGAACACTCTTGACCACAATTGCAACAATAAGAGAAAAACAAATGCATTTCTTATAATTGAATAATGGCCTTATTTTTAAGTAATATTTTAATGTAATATTACGGTGAATTTTATTCAATTTTACGATCTAAATTTACATAATTATTTCCATAAAATACAATATGTTAATGCCTAGTTAAATTACATAATACATTGATTGAGTTTCTGATTATCAGTGGGATAATTTTAAATCAATTAATTACTTTTTGTGGGAGTATCAAAAATATCCTTACTTAATATATTACATAAAAGCCTTATAATGATATAATTCCTTGAAACTCTAGAATAAAACTATTTACCTTCGTTTGTATATGCAAACTATTGTCTCTTTTGACATTTTTGGATAATGTTTGTGATTAGAGTGACATTAAAGTGACATATTGGAGATGTCAGTATGAACTGTCACTTAAATTATACATACGTTCCTTCAATCTTTGAAGTTGGACATTAGAGTGACATTAAAATGATATATTGGAGATTTCTATTTAAAGTCAGTCTAATCTGTCACTTAAATTATGTATTAAGGCTCGTACATTTTTGGAAGTAAGAAACATCACTTAAATCTTTGAAGTCTAATATTAGAGTCGTTTGGAATAGGAATTCATATTAAAATTTAATTAGTATAATATAATTAAGCAATTATAGTTGTAAGTTAGTTCATAATAATAATTGTATGTTTTCTATTAATTAATCTAATATATTATGATGATAACTTGTTATTCTAAAGGTAACTTTTGTGGATTTGGATATATTAGCACATTTTCCTAAAATATATAGTTTTCATTTTGTAAATTTTACAATTACACATCTGGATAATTATCATGAGATGATACAAATTCATCTGCTAATGTTATCTGTTTTGATAATGTTAGATCAGATTTATAAATGTAATAAAAAAACTCCATAAGGTGACATAAGAAATAATATAATGTTTTGGAACTTTAATAAAAATAAACCTGTTTAATATGATAATAAAATTGATTTATGCAAAAAAGATATTTTATATTACATTTTATGTATAACAAATTATATACAAATTTGCATATCTATTCAAAAAAAAAACAAACTTTATAGCAAACAACACTGAGTCTATAATTATAAGCATAATAAAAAAAAACTATTTAGTTCATTGATCATAAAACTAGTTTAACATAGATTACATAAAGTATAGTTTTATAAACAAATTGTTGTTTTTTTCTAAC